CACACAAAAAAACACAGACACTGCTCTTCAAAAGAAAGAAGATCTGAGCATCTGAAATGATAGTAGAAGAACAGAAAAGCTATTTTTCACATCACGGAGTTCACACAGAAAATTAAGGAGACAGAAAATAGCCCACACAACAGCAGTCCAATAACTCCTGGCAATCACCTGCACACTACAGCACCAGCACCAGACTTCAGGGTTGCTGCTTTGCTCACGTGCCCCTTCACCAACTCCACCTCCGATCCTCCATTCCACCATTTCTGTCCCTTAACCAGGACCGTCGACGCTGGGAGCAAGACGCAGTTGTGAAACCCCAATGAAACCCTGCCAGCACCACCGGAAGGGCAGCTCCACTCAGACAGGCCACCTGACCTGGAACCAAGCAAGGGCTTCTAACCACCTCACCACCACAGCTCGTCCACACGGCCAGCCTGCCGTCACTCAAGCCCAGCAGTTTAAGGAGTCCCCAGGTTTCCATGACATTTAACATAAACCTGGCTTGTTAAGGGGATCATCTGTATCTCGCCAACACGGGCTCACTGCTGTATTTTTTTTTAATTTATACTTCATATACCAACAGTCTGTAGCTACAACTGCTTCTACTTCAGTACAGCTGAATTTGTAACTATGTAAAGTAACTTTTTCCTGCATTGTTGAGTTCTCCAATAATCATTACTGAAATGCTGACTAACAAGTCATTTATATATCACCTTATGAAATTCCTCTTTTCATGTCAATCCACCGTCTTAATGTTTGTGACTCTCTTTTTTTGGTTTTCTCAACATTTTTTGATACTCTAATTCTGAAATTGAAAATACTGCATGATCAGAAAAATCCTTACTGTGGAGGCAATTTTTGAAGTGCATGTTACCCCAAGGTAAATTAAATGTGTATGCAATTTGCCTTTCCTCTTTAACAATGTAATATCATAGCCTGATACATTTTAACTTAATTCTTGAACGTACTGTATTTCGAATGAAATAAACAGAAAACTTAAAACGGTTTGGGATATAAATCTGCAGCTGACATTTTCTAAAAGAGATTCCTATCAAAACAAGATGGTGATGTCATGGACAGCTGCTTTTAATCTGAATGGTAATCTCTTTTGGTTGCAATGTTTTGCATTGCATTTGCATATTACTGTTAATATGCAATGACTCTCATTTCTAATTTGGATCATTTTGGGCACAGTGGATTCAGCAAAGACATACACATTTAGATTGTGACACTAGAGGCCTCAATTTGAAATTCAAGTCAAATGTTATACATCTTGCCTTGTTCTCGTGTTGGGCATAGTGCAGCATTTCTGATATTTTATTTTTCCGCAACTATAAATATTTTTATTTGCATTGGAAAAATGTAAATCTTGTCACCACCTACTACCAGTAGGATGATTAGCACAGATCCAACAGAACAGTACGGGTTGCACTTAATCTTACCAGCTGACAATATATTGTAACGCAACTGCACCGTCCGGGGCTCGAACCCGGGGCTTCCGCGTCTCTCTGCAGCGACCTAGCCCCATGAGCTAAAGAGAGATCTCTCTTTAGCTCACGGGGCTAGGTCGCTGCAGAGAGACGCGGAAGTCCCGGGTTCGAGCCTCCAGTCGGGATGGGGCCGACCAGATGCGGCAAGGGCACCCGCCTGAGCCCCCGTTGCGTTACAATATTAACACAAAACAAAGATCACAACTTACTGTATATCAATTTCATGTGCATTTGAGAATTAGTTAAGGCAACTGTTCTGGCCTCCTTCAATATATTTTGATGTTGTGATTCAGATTTGGAACACATGCTATTCTCAATAGCATTCCACACCATGTTAACAAGGTGTTCAGAATACTTACAGTACATGATAGTATCTAGTACTTCCACAAGGATAGCACCGGGCAGATACCTGTGACGGCAATCCACAATGCAGCAGGTCAGGTGGGGATGGCAGAAATGACCTCACCGATCGAATTAAGGGGGAACTGTCGGCAGAGCAGACAATGCAAACCCAGGGGAATTTAGCCAGGACACTGGGGTTTACAGACCTGCTCATACAAACAGTGCCATGAGATCTTTAATGACCCATGAGTCCAGATGTTGAGTCAACGTCTCATCTGAAACATGCAAAATTTACAAAACGCCAACAGACCGCCCTAAGGAAAGTAAGTTTTAGCATGAAATAAATAGTAAGGTATTCAGTTCTGTACAAAGGTTCAATGGTAATGGCTCTTAATGACTGTTTTAAAAGACGACTTTGAACAGTAAGGAGGAAATACAATTTGTAAAGAACAAGTAAAGCTTTGGTTTCCTCCCACAGTCCAAGGACTGGCAAGGTAATTAGCTTCTGGGAAATCTGGCCCTGGTGTGAGTGTGTGTCTATTTGTGTCGGTGTTTGCCCTGCCATGGACTGTCGTCCTGTCCTGGGTGTACCCTGCCCTGCACCCACTGCTTGCCAGGATAGTCTCCAGCTCCCCTGAGACCCTGAAGTGGTTTAAAAAACAGATTGATGGAAGACCACATCCTGCACATTCATTTCCTCTTGTCTGTCCTCTAAGCTTCCTTGGACAAGAAATATGAAGTCATGGGGCCTTCAGGGTGGCTGGAAAAGTAAAGGCATTGGGCCCGGGTGCAGGCTGTGTTCTACGCTCACGGGTTTGAGTCTCAGTCGTGTCACTAGCTGACCGTAACTGAGATTCTCAAGTGGTGCTGCACAATTAGCCGAGCGCCTTCGAGGTCAGGCTGGGATTAGTCAGACAGGATTCTCTCAGATCTCAGAGACGCAGTGACCACTGCAGCCTCCTGCACGCAGTGAGGGGCTCTCCTCCAATCACCACTGAGCCCTCCATACAGAGCTGTCCAGCCTGTGACGTGTTAAAAGACTAGTGGCTCAGTTGTGGGCGAGATGGAGGAGTCTGCGTGCCCTCCCGCAATCTCCCGTGTGCAGTCACATAGTTTAATCGCTGCGAACTGAGATATAAAAATCACACCACCGGCTATTCCAGATCTGGTGGGTGTAACAAAAGATAACTGGAAATAATGAATTAATTTTAAAAAGAATATAAATCAAATCTAAACTAAAACACTTGAATGAATTAATAAATGCACAAGTAAGTAAAATACATGAAAATTCAAAAGCATTTCACAAGTCAATATAAATCAGAAGACTCAGTTGGCTGCCTAAATACAAGAGCCAACCCTCCATCTAGTGTTCATCCTGATATCTGCAGATTGTTTTTCTTCAGAAACACTACCCAAGGGGATTACACTGACTGGATTACCAAATGTGGAACAGAAGACCTTAATATGTGCACACAACAGCCAGCCAATTGCATTTCCACTCTACTGACTTTCACTGGATTATTCACAAACCTTCTTTTCTCTTATTTTAACAAACAAGGTTCAGAAATACAAAAATAGAATTACCCTCAAGGCAGGGAGATATCAGGAAGAGCAATGTACATTATCATCAGATAAAGGGTCCTTTAGTTTATTTAAAGTATAACAAACTAATTCATTCTGAAGATTCCCCTGAGTTAGACTGCAAGTCAAGAATCTATAGTGAGTTTGCATTTCCATGATACTATATTTATTTTAAATGTTGAATGTTATGTTTCCCTTCAAGACTACACAGCCCTAACCCTGGAAGCAAGGAAAGTCTATTGGATCAGTAAGAGGATCACCTCTCAATTGAATGCATTTGCTCAAGTAACCATATCTGACCATCTGTCCTTCCACTTATCAAGTTGCATTCTTGGCTAAAATCACTTATAGTAGATGCAAGTCTTATATGGATGGACCCTCGTGCTGGTGATAACTTTCCCATTCTGATTTGTGCCTTTTAGAACCCTTTTAAGACATTTATAAGAATTTGCGTATATTGTCCTCCAACAGCTTTTTATTCTCGTTTTAGAGAGGGATCAATTGTCAGATGATTTCATTAACAGTACAACAGGAAAATCTTAAAATCACATTTTTGGTTGGATTCTACATATGTAGCGGTTGTTTACCCAGTAGAGCTGTGTTTTCTTTGTAAATCTTCATATATATTATACTTCAGTACATTGTTTCTTCCAGACAATCCACATTCCATTTTCCACTTCCTTATACAAAAATATGTTTTGCTTCAGTAAATGTTACATGGTGACAAGACTACTTAACAGGTTGTTGCTCAACAGCTTCCAAACTGTGTTGATATGTAAGACAATCATAAAAGATGTTTTTTCCTTCTCACTGATTTGTGACAAACAACTCACACAAATGCAGCAAAGATAGCCATCAATGATTCTCAGAATGCCCCCCTACAAACACACTACAACATAAAAGCAGGACAAAACCCTCAGGCTTGTTTTCTGCAGCTTATGACAGACTTCACAGATCACCGCACACTGCACACACAGCTGTACAATGTATTCACTCTTCTCAAGAATTATTCTTGTACTACTTTAACCTGTAATGTTGAGCCTGGTCTGGACAGATTCAACATATAAAGGGCATGACAAGCTCTAACGCTGAAAATGGTTTTATCTGAAAAAGACATCACGGCCCAAAACTGAATAAATATTTTTAAAAATTATAGATACCCTATGCTATGCCATTACCAGATATTCTGCCTAGAAATTTTAAATGCAAAAAAAACAATAAAAATACATTACAAGAAACGTGATCAAAGAAAAAACAGACAAATACAAACTATCTGAAAACTATCTTAACATATGTAAGTAATGAATTCCTTATTGTCCAAAATAGGATAAATCATCACTGTCCAAAAATCATGACGTCCTGCACAAAGGATATAAGTGAACAACCTCCCTTTAGGATATCTCAGCAATATATGAAGACCTAATAATTCATTTCTATGCTTTAATTAATATTCTGATTTCATGTATATGCACACCATATGAACAGAAAGACATGTTATGTGTTCCATGATTTATTAATAGCACATGGTGTGAGCCCTCATTTATCTGGATTCAGAGCAGGACTCGTTATCAACAGAGATTCTCTTACCTACAATTACAAACCCATCGGACTCCTTCTCAGACACTGGCTTCTTCGAGGATTCTTTACGGATTCCAAAAAAACCCAACATTTCTGCGTCTGGTGTATTCCTAACGCCTGTAAAACAAACCACATCAAAATAATTCTAAAATCGTATGGCTTTATGATAAATATTTATAACAGATTAAAAAAACAATTATTGGGCCAACGCCACTGAAAAAATACAATGAGCACTTCTCAAAAGGAAAATGCACTCTATTAGTGACCAAGTACAATATATAAAGAAAAGATGTGATAGCATCACATGTATAGTTAATTGGGACACTTGTCTACACCACAACTCTAGCGGAAACTTTTCAAATGTTTTCATTAAAAATATTTTCTACATCCTGACAACTTTGATTTAAGAAGACTACCTCATCTAAAGACAACATTCTTCACCAGTGTAAGACAACATACTACAGTATAACAGCTGGGTCCTGGCATCTGAATGTAAGAGCCACTGCTTATTGATTAAGGTGCAGCCAATATTGGGCCCCTCCATCTTAACAGAACAGAAGATCCACACTGCAGGACTTTATAAGTACACAGACAACACATTTAGGTGCCTGTGACCACTAAGATCTGAAAATGTGAGTCTCTGTCAAATAAAGTAAAGTTACACAATTTATTTTTTGTAAACTCATCTTTATATTCCAGGAAATAAATCTTCATTTCAACATAACATGAATCCCCTGTGCATGATAAGGCAGACAGTCCTGAATAGTTTTTGTTACGGAGGGAACCCTTCTTTTGAGTGATGAGTGGAAAAAGCCACTCAAGGTCACTGAGCTACCGAGCTCAAGCCTCCCACAGATGAGATATTGAATTTTTTTGTTGATTCTACAAAAGGAATACAAGGGAAAAAAAAAAAGATCCTGAAAACATGCACCTGTTTCTTGTTGTTTAAATGCCATGAAATCAATCACAAAATTCTCTCATGACATCTCTAATTTAAAACCGCTTCTCCCACCCCATCTTCCATCCCTTGTCTCTCCGTAAGCCTCTCCTGCTCTGTACTCCTCCTCTTCTGCCACTTTCTGTAACTCCATTCTGGCCAGCAGAACCCCCCCCCCAGACTTTCATCTCCTGCTCAAGACTCACTGTTAAAATAGCACCTGTCATCGATGACCTCTCAAATACACCCTTCAACTCTTACACAGTATTACACGGGTTCTTAATATTCTAACAGATAATGTCCCCTCCACATTCCCCTTATTCATCAGAAACATAGCATATACTGTACCAAAAGGGCAGTTCCATTACTGCCTTTTAGTTATTCAATCTGTATACACTTGGCGTCATTGTGGCTTAGTTTTAGCTTTGCACAGCTGCTGTGTTGCATGTCCTTTCATTATTTTTATTTCATTGATGTTACCACATCTATCGCATCACATGGAATGTGAACTTTGTACAAATGTGATGTCGCCTCAGTTAGGGCATCTGTTAAACAAACTATTCATAGCGGTGATACAATTGCAATGGGTTACCAGTCCTGATCAGTATGTCCATGTAGTTAATGTAAGCTAGGTTTTATGTACTAAGAAAAAGAACTGTCCTGCAGTTCTTGGCCATAGTAAAAGAGTCAGTGTGGAAAAAAACAGTATGCATACACTTTGGCAAGTGGCTGCTGAGACTTATACTTCCTCAAAACAAGGGCTGGAACCCAATATCACAAACTAAGACAATCTTTTCACACTGGAAGATCTGCCTAGCCTTTCCCTGGACAGCCAAGTCCCATCATCTTTGCAGTTTTTGACATTAACATTAACAGAGCATCACTCTTCCGTTCAAACCTCCTGCTAAGGTACTCCACATCAGCTCATTCAGATCATCTGTCCATTCCTCTCCATTCAGGGACAATCAAAATGATATGCATGGGAGAAAAACGTATTTTGCAAAAGTGCACCACTGGCATAACATATTACATACAATACCATTGCCTAACGCACACAGTTTAGACGCAATTAAGACACTCGACACACCAAGTGTAACAAAAAACATTTGGAGCTGTACTGTTCTGACGGAAACGTCAAGAATAAAATGCCTATTGTAGAAACAGGATATAAAGAACTGTTCACATATTAATACGGGTTCACCAAGACACCTCTTACACCATCGCAAACAGTTCATAATCCTTTGTTTTAACGAGTTTCCTTAGCTCAGACCCTTATTAGGGCATGGTATTGCTCTTCACTGGGAGGAGATCGGTGCCGAACTCGGGTTCCTGAAACAGCTGACGCGCCGTCACTTCATGTCCACACCAATGGTACTTACAGCGCTGTTGTTTACGCGTCAACGCCGACAGAGCCAAAATAAAATGGGTTAATCTAACGTTAGAAATAAATGCCAGTTTCGGGTTATAATAATAGTTTTTTTTTTTAGTTTAAAATATTATACTTTAAACCGTTACTGAAGCTACGTACGTGCGTGCTGTTTACAGTCAGCTGTCAGCTTCCTCTTGTGACGTCACAGTAATGCGCCCCCCTTCTAGGGGAGATCAGCAAATTTCCAGCTTGAACGAGCAGCGCTCATTTAAACCGCGCTAGGAGAAGGATGCACAGGACAATTTCTAGGCTGAACATAATAACTCTTTACTACCTTTTCAAAGTGGGATGGCGCATTTTTTGCCAGATCTTCTTTGCAAACGTGCTCAAACTGACACGTTGGTAGGGGAATCACTGATGAGCAGCTATTTTCAAGTCTTCTCACAGTTTTTATACCAGATTCAAGTCAGGATTGAACCACTTAAGAGCAATTACTCTCTTCTTACTGAGACACACCAGTGTAGCTTAAGCCTGTCCTTTGAATCATTGTTCTTCTGAAAGGTGAATTTTCATCCAAGTGTTAGGTCTCGAACAAACTGAACCAGGATTTCCTCTTGACAAGCTATCCAGTGTTTGAGCAGAGAAGCAGCCCATTAACACATGCTTTTATAAAGTTCTATAAACATAATTTCCAATTCAGCAAAGTGGGACATCATTAGAAGGGAGTGAATAATTTTTAGTCAGAGTGGATCAGGAATCGGAATCTGTAGACTTCATTTCAGTGGAGACATCCCACAGAAAAGAAATGATTCATGCAAGTTCACTTATATCAGAAAGATGTAGCAAGTCTTAACAGATATTTTGTTTAACTTATAAAGACTTTTTTATTAAAAGTGTCTAAGAAATGTGTTGGTTTTTGTAGAATTTATACAGCAATATTCAACCCTGGTCTTCCTGGAGGGTAGTCTACCAGGTTTTTAAGGAGTAAAGACAGGTAGTGAATACGTGATTCCAGTCACTCTTCCAATTAAGAGTTCAGGCTGGAATGAACGTGAGAACACGAGTGAACGGCTTATTAAATCAAGATAAACCAGGTGTTTACTCTGTGCACTTTCTACTCCGCTACAGTAGGTGGCAGTACTACACTGAAACTGCGCAGCCTACCATGAAGCCCATATGACTGAATTGAAAAATAGCAGAACTCCAGAACCAAAGCTACTTTCTGTTTGTGCTTCAAATGCTTTTAGGTCATCTTCCCACCGACACTGCTGTTCTAGGACGGATCAATGAGCATCATCCTAGTGCCAATAAAGTTATCTGGAAAAATGGGTTCGTACATAAATCACATTGGCTGTCTCGCCGCTATCTTGCTCTCAGACGTAAGATATCTGCTGGTTTAGGAACGGCAAAAGTACATATTCAACACACCTCACACACAATCGGCATAGACCAACTTTTGAAATATTTAAGCACTCGTCTCGTTTCCTCATAGTTTATTCGCACTGTTAAACTACTTAGAAGCTTAAACACCAGCTTGCAGTTTTCTAATTGATAAACTTTCTTGGTGCACAATTAAAACTACTCCACATAAAACGGACATCTGTTTGGTAAATTTGCGGGGGAAATTGTTGCATAACACAATTATAATATCCCCGGCAGGGTGCTGTGTAAAAAAATATATTATTTACAAAAATCTGTTATGCTACTGTAAATTTGGAACAAGATACCAGTTTCCCTTGTCTGCTGTTCACTATTTTGAAACACCATTTCCGAGTAAGACAGGTTACAATCTGAGCGCCAAACGCATATCTGTGTTAAGTCTAATTAAAATACATTTTCAAAAAACACCCCAGATCCCAGCTAACCAGTGAGATCACCATACAAATACATGCGCACTTAGTCCTTTGTAAACAGGAGAGCACCGCACATGTGCGCTTTCTAGGATTCGCTACTGCGCAGGCTCAAAGCGGGGACCATCAATACCCGAATTCGTGTAGCGACACGGCCCGTAAACCGCAGGAGGCATCACTCTCCCTGAAGGTCTAGGGTTTTTTGTTTCATTCACTTTCAGTTTACCAAGGGCTGTGATTTGGAACTAGTTTAAATTCGTCTATCTCTATCGCCACAGCTAGGTAAGGCTTCCAGGTCTCTCTCGCTATGGGAGGGGGCGTAACCAATGGCGCGCAGGCTCGCGGGTTACTATTGGATTGTATCCAATCACAAGCAGACTTTCACCGAAGCCACGCCCACACACACACACACACCCTCCTTCCGTGGTTGAGTAGGGCGTGTCGTCCTCACGAAATCGGGTAGGGAAAAATGACGCAGGCGGGGAATCGCTCCTTGGCGGAAATGAGAGATTTCCCGCGCTGGCTGTTGCCGCTGTTAAATTGTGATCATGGCAGATATATTTGCAGGTCCTAAAGTTCGCATTAATGCCAGTATGCTATCTCAGTATGTAAATAAGCCGGTGTGTTTCGTGGGACGCGTCGAAAAGGTGCGTGATTGGTTTGTATGTTTCTTGGCTAGGTAGGAAAGTAGGAACAAGTGTTGCTTGTTCAATAATATTACCAGGCATGTGGAGTTGGTAGAACAGTGTTAAATTTACCCCCTCCGTTCTCGGGGTGGATTTGTAATCTCTCTAACAATGCAAGGGTCTGTTCAGAAACTGTATCACGTAATTATTGTTAATTACCCTGTCAGCGAAAGACATAACCTCAGGCCTTAGGGCTGAAATCGGGTTGTTGAGGTTGTGTCGGGAAAACAAAACTGTGAGCTCATGTTTATGCTGAAATGAAAATGGTGAAAATATTTTTCTAGGATGCAGTGTGTTCTACAACTTCTTTTTTTTTTTACAAGCGATCTAGAAGGGCTTTGCAATGTCATTTACGTCTAATGCTGGCGTTGGTTTGGCGCTATGGACACATAACCAGAAAGTTGTGAGCTCAAATCCGAGGTGAGACACTGCTGTGGTCCAATTAGGTTCTTCATTTAAAGTTACCCCCCAGTAAAATACACCGCTCTATAAATGGGTGCAGATGTAAGTTTGTTTTGAAAACAAAATGGCTTAGTTGCACCTGAGAGAGAGATGGGTGACGCCTGGGTGCAGAAAAACTAGTCAACGGCCATAGAAGCAAAACATCAAGCATCAAGAGAGCTCCGATCAGTCTCGTCGCAGTGATTTCAGCTATTGTATTATTTGACTGTTAATCCCTGAACGGATGTTTTTTTTCTTCCCGAATTAACCCTTGAATTGTAACCTCTCGGCCCGCGCCTGCTTTGTGGACGAACACGAGGTGCCGCGACTCTGCGACTCTTGTCGCTGTCGTGGCTGAGAGCAGGACAGAGCCCCTGCAGCCACGCGTGTCTCATCCGATCTCTGCTTTCCCAGGTTCACCCCTCTGGGAAATCTTTTTCCCTTTCTGACGGAGAAGGCAAGGCCGTGTCAGTGGAGCTCCACGAACCCGTAGGTTTCTAAAACCGCTCCGATATCAATCTCATCAAAAAAAAATGTCTGCTCGTTCCTTGTATTCGAGAGGTGCCCTTTAAGACTGTAAGATTGTACCGGATTTGTTAGATAGGGCCAGTTCAGACTGTACTCCAGAGGGTCAGTATGGAAGTAATGCCTTGTACTTTTATTGCTTTATTAAGTAGACTCAAAGGCGTTCGTTTAGTGTATTTCACAAACATGTTTGTTCTGTATGAATTGCAGAGGTTATTTGAGGTTATTGTGACTTCTGACATAAGACTGGCGTTCTTCCATGCACCAGTGCTTGCAGGTGGTCGCACCTCTCGCCAGGAATGAAGAGCTTCGTTATGATGGACCGCTGGACACCTCATCTGTATTGGCTAAACTCCGGCTTCTTGCTTGTTCCTCTTAGCTAGAAGAGGAGCTGAGTGGGGTCGCAGAGGTCATAGGCCGGGTTACACCTAAAGCTACCATAATGGCCAACGCGTACACCTCGCTCCGGGAAGACAAGAACAGCTTCGGTGAGTGAGAAGCACGTCTGCATCGCCACATTCTGCCAGAGTCCGCCTCGGATCTTGTGGCGCGTTTGCAGCGGAGCTCGTTCGGACACGGTGACGTCATCGCCCTCCCTGCGTGTAGCAGGGACCTCAGCCGCCTGGGCTGGGTGGGGTCTCCTTTAGCTCGCTCGACTGGTTCCCTGTTGCGCCCGGGCTCCCGCCCAGGTGTTGCGGGACGAACCGACGTTGTTCTTGGGAATGGGCAGTTGAAGAGCCATTCCAGATTGTACCAGTAGTAATAGTAACTTCAGCACACAGTCCGCGAGACGTTTTGTGCACTGAAATGAGCAACGAGGCACAATGAAAAACTTAGCAGGTTGCCTCACTGCTGCAGACAAACTTCCCTTCTCTTATTGTCTCTTCCCAGCCCTCGTATCCAGATAAAGAAACATGCCGTTCATTTTGACAGTATGAGCTCTACTTACTGTGCTTCACAGAACCAAGAACGATTCCATGTGTGATTTGTTTGGAGAAAGCTGTTTTTTAATGAAAGTTTAATATCTTTTTTTCTGATTCTATTGCAGATATGGGGCTATACAATGAAGCCCTGAAAATAATTCATGATTTTCCCCAGTATTATCCTTTTGAAATTTCAGCAACTGAGTGATGCTCTTGGCTGTCGAAGCAAACTGTCAAAAGCTCTGTAAAACAGAACATAGTTCTGCTCAGTTTCCAGAGGGCCTGATGTCTTCTAGTTTTGAGACCCTTGCCGTAAGAAATGAGATGTCATTAACCCATTGACTGACTGAAGCTTTTTAATCACTAAAGCTCTTGCATTGTTCTGTTTTTGTGATAATTGATTTTAAGATACTGAATTATATGACCTGCAGATTGTTTTGAATTTGTCTTAGTGTTTGTCCTCTTTTGCAAAAAATGTTTGAAACCATTTCTTAGAAATTATAGGATATTGGATTATACAATAAATGTTTGGATCTGATTATGTTTTTAGACATAGTTTTATGGTGTTTGAAACTAATGGAAATGGTTTTTGGGGGCAACATGTATTTCAGCAGCTTAATTGTATTCAGTACTATCGAATATTGAAATTCAGTTTTTCACCAGCACAGTGTTATTTTGTAGTCCATAAGTTTTACCATTTTACTTTCAGACATGAACTATTTGAATAGTATTGCACTCATTCTTCTTTACTTTAACAACTGTGCCACTAGAAATATATAATACAAAACTGCAGTATTTTTCATAATGGGTTAATGTTCTTTCCATGGTTTTTAAAAATGGAAAAGTTCTTGACAGGTTTATAACCCTGCAACACTCCTATAAGCCCTGTGTTTGGCAGCCATGGTCATTCTTAGACGTTTATCACCTTCTGTCAAGACCCGGTCCAACTTTTTTTTTTTCCTCTGAAGTTGGGTCTTCAGTTTATTAAAACTATTCTGGTGAAAGAATATACTATGTAAAGCAAGCATATCATTAAAATATAATTGGTGTAAAGACTTACTGCATCAATGTATTATTAATAGATTAAGTTTACAGTTGTGGTTCTGTAATGTTTATTTGAAACAAATTGTCTGTATGTAGTTCAGGTGGGGAGCTGCGTAGGCTGCAAAGGACCAAGTAATACGTTTATTCCATGCTGAAAAGAGAAGAAAGAAAACACAACATTTCGGCCATGGAGCCTTCTTCAGGTGTCAAGGTGACAACCACAGAGGTGGTCAAGGTGACACCTGAAGAAGGCTCCATGGCTGAAACGTTGTGTTTTCTTTCTTCTCTTTTCAGCATGGAATAAACCTACAGTATTACTTGTTCCTTTGTCTGTATATATACATGCCAGTCACCTGAAGGGTACCCACAATCTTTGACTGCGAGTTCCAGTTCTGAAAACTCTGAAAGAAGCATTTTTCGCAGTCCCTAGAAGTCTAGGGTCCACATAATCATAAACTAATTCTCAAAGCGTCATTCTGACACTAATAAAGGACCCAAAAAGTGATGTTCCAAACCGATGTATTACAGTTCACGTAAGTATATCTGTAACACCTCTCACACGCACAAATGGAAAGAAAACATTCCTTTTTCGATCTTACAAACTTGCATTAATTATCTTTGACAATTTTATATACAGTGTAAAAAAGAACACAGCTGTCAGATTAATTAGTAATCATTACATGGGAGTGCTGCCTGCAAACAATGTCTTCAGCATTTACAGCCTTAAGCTTGAGAACTTTAGACATGCACTTGTCTAGTCAAGTCAAAATGACAAAAAATTCAACTGAGTGATTGAAATGTAGAACTGCTGCTCATCTTATTTAGAGGATGGCCAGCAGCCATCTCACCCTGCAGCTCACAACTGGCAGCCCACTGAAGCTCCGCAGGTGTGAGCCTGGCCAGTACCTGGATGAGAGACCTCCTGGGAAAAACTAAGGTTATTGCTGGAAGAGGTGTTAGTGAGGTCAGTAGGGGGCGCTCACCCTGAAGTCTGTGTGGGTCCTAATGCCCCAGTATAGTGACGGAGACACTATACTGTAAAAAAGGTGCCATCCTTCAGATGAGACGTAAAAACGAGGTCCTGACTGTGGTTGTTAAAAACCCCAGGGCGTTTCTTGAAGAGTAGGGGTGTTATCCTGGCGTCCTGGCCTTTACCAATCATAGACTTTTAATAATCCCCATCTCTGAACTGGCTTCATCACTCTGTTCTCCCCACTGAGAGCTGGTGTGGGGAGCGTTCTGGCGCACTATGGCTGCCATTGTATCAGCAAGGTGGTGCTGCACATTGGTGGTGGTGGAGGGGATCCCCATTACCTGTAAAGCGCTCTATTAGTGTAAGCAGTTATTCTAAACAAGAATGGGTTGATCCTCATGAATAACTTATTCTTTTTGTTCATCTTCTCTTAGTGGTTTACCATGGGGTGGGAGGTACTGGCACCCATTTCACTTCACGTCGAAGTTCAAGACCCTGACCAGTCAGTAGCGAGCTGAGAATGTTGAATCTATACTGTGTTAGGCTGCCATCACACTCCCTGGCTGTGATCTCCTGAATGGGTGACACCTCCCCCAAAACATAACAGAACTGCCACCAAGCCTGTCCAGAACTCGTTTGTGCACAGCATACAGACGTGGATATTATGCTCGTCATTGTAGTGTGCACTGATGGAGTGTGACATCTAAAATAGTTTGTAACAGCAGACTTTGATATTCAAGTTTAGCACACTCCATGCTTGGTTACACTCAACATCTAGTTTATCGTGGCATCACCATGTAGGGAACAAGACCTTAAGACATGTCTTGTTAAATATTACACAGATCTTATACATTTTTGTAGTTAAACTGGGTTTACATTTCGCATGCACATTTCAAGGAATTTAGTCACTCTTTTTCATCCATGACAAATGTTTGGTTGCATTTGGTGCATATAATATGCAAATCTCAAACAAACAGCTCACTATATTTATGGAACAGTCTTTCTTTCCAAAGGGCATTACATCCATTTTTTTTTCTAAGAAAAAAGGGCCCTTTACATAAAGGGGAATACTCGCCTGAAATATATTTTAACTTCAAACTGTCTATGTAAGCAATTTTATTGGCACAGCAAAATCAAATAAAAAAGTCTGTATGCAGTTAAAATGTCAGCTGCAGTTGAAGTATCGAGCACTGTTTTTGATTTTTGTGACATTTACTGTCAGCGGTCTAGTTGGATGTACAAGAGGGTTTCATAGCAGTTGTGCAGTAAAATAAGGAATTATATTTTTTACATTTGTCTAGTCCTGTTCTTGGGTTTAGAAAAAATGCTAGAGGCTAAGTTTCTCAGTTGTATTCCAACAGAATATGATCATTCACATACAGTACAACAATTAGACCCATCATTATCAAATGACATAATATGAGAATGACAAACGGTTCCTTTTTTAATTTACAGAAGTATGCACTTTCAGAGAAGATGAGTACACAAACTTATTGGATCTGAGATTTATTTGTTGACCTCTCTTTTTCTTCAAGACAAGGATTTTCAAAACAAACATCAAAACAGCATTAAGTTTATTTTCATTAAAGTTTCAAGTACATTATGTAACTCATTTAAATAAGTAGAATGTTAATCGTTCTTTTATTTTAAATACCTGTTCTTTCTGTGCAGCAGATAAGGACACAGTAGTATGACCTCCGAGAAGTCAGATTTGGCAATAAAAGTTGGACACTACAAGGCAACAAATGTTCATTCTGAAATTCATACCTAAAACTACTGTCATACAGTCTAGAAGTCCAAAGCTTTTTTTTTCTTTATGATTTATTTTTAAATTCAGCTTTCCAGTGTTCTGTTTCATTTTCCTGGTGTGACGTTCCTTAATGTGAAGTGAAAAAAATTAAAATGCATTATAACTAAGGAATTCAAGAAGTTTGTGACATCAAAAAACAAAAGGACAGATATGAAGTTATTCTTTTTAAATACCATGGAGTCATTTCACAAATCAAATGATATCAGAAAAGGGCCTGCTGTTTTGTACTCCAAGTGCAGCATAAGCAACTGTAATGCCAACTGATTTGTTTTTTTTTCTCCATGACACCAAAAAGTTAATATATTATGCCTTCATATTCCATGCAAGGGAGTATAATAATACTAATGGACTCCAGTCCATCGCAGGACAGACACCCACAAACACCCACACACTCAGTCCAGGGTCAATTTTCCCAGAAGCCAATTATCGTACCAGGATGTCCTTAGTGGGAGGAAACAGGGGCACCTGAAGGAACTCCACACAAGCACAGGGAGAACATACAAAGTCCACACAGATAGCACAGCAAGATTCAAACCCAGGATCCCAGTGCTACAAGGCAGCAATGCAAACTGCTGTACCACCATGCCACCCCATATTAATATGAAAATACTGATACTAAAAACCACCAATACTTGATTTGATTTGTACTTTTAAGGGGGGAGGATTTTAAAATTGGACTTGTTCCTTGCAAAATCTATACAGTATAAGTGAACTCTGCCTTGTATTAAAGACTATCTTGTTATATGTTAACTAGCAAAATCATTCATCCACCACCAGAGAGCCCCTTTTTCTGGTGTGCTAAACCAGTTCCAGAACCAGAGGGAGCAAGGCAGGACAGACAGCACAACTGCTTAATTAACTTTAAAATTAAACTTTGTACTCAATCAAGACGGAGCACAAATGCGTCCCAGATTGAGCAGCCTTCAGTTTTGTGCAAGCATGTGGAGTTTTGGCACCTGAAGCTACGCATGAAATTTCAATATTTCATGAAAGCAACATACTCTGCATGTGAACAAGAACAACTTAATTCCAAACTGAAAAGTAAGAAAAGGAAGAACAAAATTACTCAAACCGTTCCCTGATCTATGTTCTGCATTAGTTTCATACAATACTCGTACTCTGGAGTTCTACTGGATTCTCAGGCTACAACATGCTGAGATATGCCTTGAGGTTTTTAAATTAGGAATGCTAATACTAAGCCCAGAAGGAAGAACATCAGTAATAAAATTTAAGTACACAAATGGTCACATTGTGAAATACTGTACTTCAGTCATCTCAATTTATTTACGAGCTTCAACACAAAAAATGTAGTTGTATTCTCCGCCCCAGAGCTTTTGACATACTAAGTTGCAGAAACTTAAAAAGAAAAACTGAATTTTAGAAAACATTCTTTAGGATCTGAAAATACAAACATAAATTTATTTTGTTGTCCCTTCCATGTGTATAGAAATCCTTTATAAGGAATAAATGTAAATATACAAGATTATACAGAAGATTTGTTTTTATCAAAATGTAAAATATGCATAATCAAATATTCAAGTATACTATTTAACTCATTAGCAATATAATCAGGAACACAAAAGTGTAAGCCCTTGCATTTTCCCAAACACACATCAGCCCAAAATGTTTAAAACACAAACAAGCAATAATCTACATCTTCTTTTATAATGGTCATTTTGTACTACGTTTTTTTAATAATTTAAGATTTTTTAAACATATCTATGATTTTACGGACTTCTGTGAATTAAAAGGTTATTTTTTTCCTTTTTTTTAGCATGGGCAGTTTAAATAAAGCAACTAATGGCCAGTTCGACTCAGCTGTCTGTTGTTCGAAGGCATGTCATTATTTCAGCCTCACGTTTCAGACAGTGCCAGTACTTAATTCTGGGTTTGTCTCACATGATCGGTTCAAGGACTATTCAGTGTCAGCGGGGGAATTTCCCTGAAGGGTGCTCAGAACTGAAACTACAGATCAGTTCAGATCCTGGAGGGGGTCTATGACAGTGAATGGCCCCGATCTGCTGAACAAGACATAGTTGACACTCTTGACAGGCTGGTTTCAGGAGCACATGCCTGTCAACCCATCAGAACCTTTCACACATCAAACTGCTTGGATGGATGATGGAAATTTTCTTCTGTGCTTTACTCCAGAGCCTTGAGTGCTTCTCGTCAAAGAGGTATATACGAAGGCGTCTGAAAGACACTTTGCAGGAAGCAGGGCGTTGAGTGTCATCCTTCATGTTTAGGCAGTGTCTGACGGGGCTAAATTTCCCGTAGTATCCAGCTGCATGCACTTACAGGTGCAAGCAGAGACAGGGCACTCATGGTGATCCCTGCAGAAGGAAAGTACACAGTTTCAGCACCTCCAACTGCATTTGTTTCCTTTTGAGCAAGATGCTCTAAACTTAATTCGTTTTCATTCAGCATCGTAGGAGAAATAAGCTTATTATTACGCAACCTAAAAATCCAAAAACTCCATGAGGATGTAATCAAAGCAGTGTGGAACTCTAATTTGCTTTTCAGGCCTGAAATAAAATCACTTTTATACGCATTTGTGGTGTTATGTTACAATGTGCATTAGTCTAGTTCAGATAATAAATCGTAAAAGAACAAGTAGAGAAGAAAAGAAACAACGTTTCGGCTGTGGAGCCTTCTTCAGGTGTGGACATCTGAAGACACCTAAAGAAGGCTCCACAGCCGAAACATTGTGTTTCTTTTCTTCTCTTTTCAGCCTGGAATACACCTTTACTTGTCCCTTTGCAGCCTACGCAAGCCGACGCAGCTCCCCTACTTAAACTTCTATAAACTGTCAAATGCTCATTCCCTTAAAACCTTGATGAAAGTGGAAATGCAGTCGAGGTGTCTATTTCACATGCACGGTCGGACATGGCAGCGGGCTGGAGGCAGAGGAGAGTGCAGCCGGGCCCCCGGGCCCCCGTCTCACCTGAACCAGCTCAGCATGTGTCCCGCGTGGCCTCCGTGCCGACAGTTGTGACACCAGGTGAACCAGTTATTGAACTGGGCCAGCTTCTTGTCCTTACTGAGGTCTACCTTTTCATCCGACTTCCCGGTTCCTAGCACAGATGGGGAAAAATCAGAACGTGCCCACAACATGGTCATCTTGGCAGCCAGCGGGGCGCCATGTCTTTCTGCCTCCCTCCCTACACAAGACTGATAAAAGATGATGTCAAGGAACAGGTATAGGTTTATTCCACGCTGAAAAGAGAAGAAAAGAAACATAACGTATCAGTTGTGGAGCCTTCTCCGGGTGTGAATGGGTGTGAAGAAGGCTCCGCAATCGAAATAAGTGTTTTTCTTCTGTTTTCAGCATGGGATAAACCTGCACTTGTTCCTTTGCAGCCTGCGCATGCTGACGCAGCTCCCTACTTGAACAGATAATGTCCTCTGTTTGGCGGTTTTGACTTGAACTAATTATAATCTCAACAACCAGTGTTGTCCCTTTCTGCCTCCATCCCTTCATGAGACCAATAATGTCGTTTGTTTGGTGGTTTTTATGGTTTGTCACTAAAGTTCCAAGCTGTCAAAAGCTTGTCCGAAAACCTACTTAAGACTATGCGCACAGGGATTCGTCCTCCTAAAGGTGTCGCTATGCCCTAAAACTACCCCCCCAGGTACCTGGACAGCTGGATACTGGGGTGCCCATGTTCATGAGGCACAGGGCACAGCGGGGCAGGGGCTTGCGGCAGCCCGGACAGCTGGTCACCTTCGACTTGGTGGGAGAGCTGCTCACTCCGTACTGGTTGAAGCCCCGGCCCTGGTGAGGCATGGCCGAGCAGCTGTAGGAGATGGACTTCCCGCAGAAGTTGCAGCTCACAAACACCTGTGCGGCCGTTGTGGGGACAGGGAGGAAGCACGTTAAGGTGCGCTGCAGACTGTACCTCTTCTCCTCACCCTGCTGCCAGTCTGGCACCCTTCTGTATACATGACACCCCAAAATGCCGAGCTGTTGCACGCTTTTCACTCATACCTGGGAAACACGAGAATCCCAAATGGCTCCCAAAATACCAGATCTTTTCACATATAACGGGTAACAGCAAATTGTTTTAGAGTAATTCATATGAAAATGTTTTTTTTAAATTAAAGAACACACTACAGACTGTGTAGCTCTCTGAATCATCCATATAAAGTGCTATGCTAACAGCACCATCATGTGGTGAAATCATAAACCTATCACGTTAAAATAGAAATCCATAGATCTATGCATATAAATGACTGAAATGTCTTCCACAAACCACCTTTGCAATACATTACATTATTTCATCAGATTTTTAAAAGACATGCGGCACCCGACCCACAAACCTGATGAAATAAGCTTTCTTTATCATATCACAGTACATAACACATTTCATTTAGGAGTGGACTTTCAAAAACCTCAAGTTGTGCAATAGTAGATAGACAGCAGAAGTAAAGAGAAAGGAAATAAAACACAACACTTTTGCCAAGTAAGACTAAAACTAAATTCCACATTAAAAGATTGGCCTGACAAAGACTGAAATGACAGGTGTTTAAATGCACTTTAAAAGCATGCACAATCACAGAGCTCCATGGACATCTCTACTGCCCACTGTGTGGAGCCTGGTCTTCACAGAAGTAAGACTGTCTGAACAGCAGGTCTCAGACTGGAGCATAACCATGTATAATCATACATCCTTAAGATAATTTAGAGATAGACTATTCTGTGCTTAACATGTGAACAGAAGAACATTAAAGGTACACATATTTCTATCTCTAAATTGCACAGAGAGCCAGAGCAACTTACATAGGCAGGGATCTATATGCATATGCAGAGCAGTTTTAGTACATGAACTGCAAAATTATGAAGCTTATCTTGTACCTTAATACGTATTACAGTAATCTAATCTTGATTAAATAAAACCATATATCAGTACTTCAGTATCAGATATTTGAGAAATGGTTTTAACATAGCAATGACACGCAGGTGAACAACTGAGATTCTTTGTAATATTTGTAACATGACCTTTGAATGACAACAGAGTCAAACATAACACTGAAGTTCCTTGTTCCTTCTGGCACAGGTTTGATTACAACAAAGTCAACAACAGCACTGAAGTCATCACCTTTTTGTCATATTTTAGTTGATGAATGTTAATGTCTGCTTACACCTGGGCCACACCTTTTTTTCTGTTAAAAACCATAAGGGAGATATCTCTGGTTGAGAGGAAATATACTACCATCGGTCTATACAAACAGCTTTTCAGTTACATACAGAACAAGTACATACCGATACCCTAAATCAAATAAGTAAGCAGTTCCACAAATCATTTCATTATACTGAAGATGTGATGCATTAAAAACAGCATTTAATATTGCAATCTCACTGTGCAGAAAGCCAAAAAACTTAATTAAACAAGCTGTTTGATGTTGGTGGGTGAATTAATGGATTCTGTCATTTGAATTTTTTTGCAGCACTGTCTATTCAGTGGACAGCATATGTCTAAAGGCTGGTCATGAATTCAGAAGCCCGCCTCACCTGTGCCAGGGGCTTAGAGCTAGGGTCCAGTTTGCTCCGATGAATATCAAACTCTGCTCTTTTGTGCCAGAACCTCCAAGCGTCCAACAAGTTGCGATAGCTCTCAATCCAGCACTGGACTCTCCTGTCCTTGACCACTTCTTCAGGAGAACCCTTTGCGGGAAAAGAAAAACTGCAAAATGTACACAATGCATCACACAGCTAAGCCTTTGATTTAGAACATCAGCTACTGTATGAAGGAATATGCTATGTGACTGGCATCCCATCCAGGGTGTAGTCCAGACTTGAACCCTGTGCTTTTAGGACAACCCTTAGGCTGCCTCAGCGCTCAACATTAATAAACAGGTTTTTCACAATGGATTAAGCTTACTGAAATTCTAAAAGACCGACCAACTAGTGGGTGTAATGGGAATACTTGCTAGCAAGGCATAATTTAGAGCACTGTGTTACATTTCGGTCACCATACCATAAAAAGATATTACACTCATTTTGCAGATACTGAGAGCTCAGAGGAAAGCAACAAGAATGACTCCCCCTAGTATTGTAGGATTGTCATATACAGGTTAAAGAAGTGAAACTTGCTCAGTCTGTAAAAAAGGAGATTTGATCCAAGTATATAAAATCCTAACGGATACAGATATGTCTATTTCATATCTGGTAATGAAATAAAGACACCAATGAAAACCAAAAGGAAATTCATTTAGGGCGGAGATTAGGAAAAGACTTCTTTACACAAAGAGTTGAAGTTAAGTAGTAAAGGAACTTTTTAAGAGACAATGCGGCATAATTATACCAGCCACTTAGCTGCTCAGTCACCAAACAAGGAAGACGGGCCTTAAGGCCCCCTCCTGTTGGCCAGCACTCTCGTGTTCCTCTTGGGCCTGAGAAAGTACCCACAGTACCTTCAGCATGCAGAAGCTAGCTGTCTGGACATCCCCAGTTCTGTCAACATAACTTTCCATCAGATCCACACCATCCTTTGTCAGGCCGGTGAGGAGGATCCCTTCAAGATTCCCAGCCTCCTTCATCTCATTAGTCAGCTTCTCAATGAATCGGGGCAGCTGAAAAAACACAAGAGCCCAATTAGTGCCATCAGCAAGAAAACACTCATTCAATTAAATTCCATCCTCAAAGACGACCACAACAGTAAATACCGAACACTACTTAAACATCAAATGTCCACTTCAGTTTAATGCTTACGCCCCAGTAAAAGGAACATCAAAGTACAGCCGCAAATCACTCTTATTACAGACCCAATTCTTATTTCCTCAGAATTGTGTAATTAACCTCTGTCCTTTTTAACTTTAGACAACAAGAGTTGAAATTTATCAGGTCAGCATATATACTTTTGAATACAAAACACCTCACCTGCCCATCGCTTAAAAACATACAGGCAAAAGCCACGCGGTCTCGGACAGCCACTCTGCTCTCATACTGCAGGTAGGAAGAGAAAAGATAAGTTAAGATCAGTCTTGCCTCAGACATCAACAAGTGTATTTATGTTATATCAACATACCAGCACTCCATCATACGCCCCTGGTTCACTGGTTAGGAAGGCAAACATCACACAGAGATAGGGGTTGCTCAGCTGCAGCCTGAGCGTACTGCACATCTCTCTCCACAGCGAATTCTTCTCATCAGTGTACCCAGACAGGGCCATCGCTACAACATTGAGATTCAAATCCCCTGCAATACAAAAACACACATCTTAATCTCCAGCACATCTATCAAAACAACCGTCTAGTCACCCTTTTAGGCTGGCCAGCGTTTTCTGATCACATGCTCCTCAGCTACACGTTCATTCTTCATATTCTCAGATACCATAAAACCACTGACATAAGATCTAAACCATGCTGGCATTTGCCCTCCATTACTGAAAGTAACAAAATTTTAAGCACATTTTAAGTTGTACTATCAATACACATTGTCTACAGTGTTATTAGTGGAAACAGTTACGACAAGCTTATGACAGGACGTTTTGTTGTTTTTTTGCTCCATAGGAGCTCTTGATTGTTTAAACGAATTATTTCCTAATCAGACTAATATCTGAGGTGTTCTCCATTTCTAGAACTGCCAGAGATTTTAATTTACCTAAAATGTTCATAAATACCTGGGGATGTAAGCATAAACAGTGAAAAGAGCATAATTAAATGATCAGTTCAATTAAGTATCCAATTATTGCAAACCAGCAGACACACTGGGGTTACCAGGCCTGGGATCCTTAATCAGTATACTGAGTCAGTATCAGGAGTGCTTAGCCAACTTCCATATCATTACTGTTAGAGCAGACTGCTGTCAGACAGCTCTTGCTCATCAAACACAGATTCATCAAAAGACCACAAAAGGGTATCAGAAGGAATGACCATCTGCTGCTCTATCTGAGGTATGTCTATAACACGACACCTCAAACCACAACTGCACCAGCTTGTTTCATGGCTACTGGAGCTCTGCTTTGTGACTCGGTGTTACAGTTAACAAACCGAGGAGGAGAATGACCCCAACTGCACCTGGGACGGGAAAGAAAAATCTTTACTTTTTCTTACAGGTTAATAATGCGCCTTTTTCAAAACAAAGGGCACCTTCCCAGCGCCAGACAAGCCCTGACAACTTTAAAGAAGACTTAATGCTTATAACGCTTAAGAAGGGTTTTCAAAATTCCTGCTTGAAAATATACAACTAAAAAAAAATCAGAATCGTGGTTCTATGGGGAAAAACAAATGTGTATTACAGCAACTCTGAATAAAGATGCTTCCTAACAGACACAGACACAGTTGCTAACATCAGCACCAATTATCAAGTACCCAATGCATGTACGTCGTTTAAATCTGTTAGCAAGCGGACCCCCACCTTTCCCGGAGGAAGCTCCTGTGTTGAGTATCTGGATGGCCCTGCGGATGTCCAGGTTGAAGAGGGCAACAGCAGCCGCTCGCTCCCATTCCCCCTCCTGCTCCAGCGACTTGAGGAAGGGCTCCACGTCGATCTCCGGGCCCCTCTTAATCCAGCCGCACAGCCGCAGTGCCAGGCTCCTCTCCTCGCTGCGGTACTGGGTGACGTCGGCCGGCCGGTCAGACCCGTTCCAGCAGCGGCAGCTCTCCAGCGTGCCTGCGGGCCCAGTGGGAGAGGACGCCCGTCACTGGCGGCGCCGGGACACGGCTGGCAACCCGACGCGCAGCTACTGAACCTAAGCTCATTAAAAACATCTTTAGCTCAGACACACTAACACCATTCAAAAGTCCAGTTACTCTAACCTAGAACATGCAAGCTTTCTTTCGGATACCACAATCTGTCAGTTAGCACTGGTCAACAATTTGATAGAAAGCAGTGTGATGGGACTGAAGCTCAAATGTCTGCCAAGAGTTTCAAAGAAGTGTTAAAGAAGAGTACGGGCAGCTATGACACCCCAAAGCCTCCCGAGAGCAAGACTAGGCCTATTTCCTGTGCACGGAGCATAATGGGGAAAGAGATTACAAAAAATTATAAAATTAATTAAAAAAGAAAAAATTCATGTGGACAGCACTATCTCACACGCAATACACAAAATGCACCTTTTTAATTATAGCTCCTCAACACTTACACTGATCATATTGTACTTGCTGCCCATAGAATCTGGTCCTAACGCTTATCTACAGGCAGCTAAGCTACTTCACTGCACAGGTTCATACTGCTTTCGTTTTTTTCTGTTTCTGCACTGTGGTAACATCTTTAAAAAACTGCTGGACCTTTTAATGAAACGCCAATGACTTAAATTGGGCTTTTGGGCACTTCTAAGAAACCGTATGTTCTATTGCAATCACTATTAGAGAAAAAGATCGAAAGGAAGAGGAGACCAACTCAATCATAAGACACTGCCAATTCGGTGTGAAGTGAAAAAGTGTGTTAAAAATGTCTTACCTGAGCTTGACTTCACTATGTTTTTTATGCCTGAATAGACAAGAGGCAATCTGTTCCCCAAGTTCTTTTGTTCCAGGTCTTCAGTGTACTGTTTCATAAGTGGTTTATGCATAGGAAATTAACACTGAAATAAAAAGTGCTCTGAACCTTTAAATACAATTAAATAGAACCTAGAAATACAATTCAAAAAGAAAAGTAACACATTATACATATATATATAACTTTTTATGCTTTGTTTTACAGTCTCTGTAATTTGGATTTAAGAGGATATATTACAGAAAAACCACACATCGGAGACTATGATGGTTCTGGCAGGGGGGAGTTGGTATATTACTGAGCTCCAGCCAATCAATCAGTCTCTCGACAGTGATCTGGGGAATGTTGGCTGTTTCATTAAAAACCGCAACACAGAGAGGAAGGGACAAGCAAGCGATGCTCAAGTGCAGAGCGATGCTCACAGCAATGTGGACTCAGATGCAGACAGAATCACCGGGCGTGTCACAGATCACCCTTTTTACTATAAAGGATATAATACAGAGTGTACCAGAGAGATTTCAGTTGAGGATCATCCCCACCGGCTAAAAGGTGGTTCCTCCAGATCTGCTCAGTGTCATGGCCATATCTGGACTGCGCTCGCTGCCTCATTTTAGTGGCAATGTCCATTTCGAGGGAGCCGGCCTCTGCCTCCTCCGTGCAGTCGTACAGGTGCCTGCCACACGCCCACATGAGGGAGGTGCTGGAGCTCCAGGCCAGGGAGATGCGCTCGAACACCGTGAAATCCGTCATGCAGCGGTTGGGCGACACCACCACCATGCGGTTCTGGCTGGATGGGTGCCACGCAAAGGAGCCGATGACGTTCTCGCACGGCTGCACGCTCCTCTCGATGATGGTGGGCTCCGTCTCATCGCCGAGGGGGGTCGGGGTGTGCTGCATGTCGTACAGACGGATGACGTTGCTGTCTCTGGTCAGGGTGGCCAGAAGTCCGGTGCGGGTGGGACACCAAGCCACTTTGGTCAGAGGTTTCGGCTGCTCGGTTAAGGTCAACACCGGCTTTTCGAATTTCCGGAGATCCCAAATGGCCACCTGGCCTTCGAAAAAGGAAGCGACTCGGTCATGGAAATGGGGGTCAACAGTGACCCCCTGGATGGCCTTAGTGTTGACAAACATCTTCTGGCTCGTGTTTCGCAAGTCGAAAATGGCCAGGTTGCGGTGCATGCCGGCCAGAAGCAGCTTCTGGTCCCGGGGGAGCCAGCAGAGGGACAGGCAAGCGTCATTTTGACCCAGCTCGTAGAGGGGCTTTGTCACCACGAGGCCTGCGTCGGTGTCGCCAGCCGAGAGACGCAGTTTCTCGGTGGGGACAGAGGCTTCGGGGGCAAATTTGCTGCTGATGTCCCAGATCAATACAGAGAAGTCGGCCCGGTGCTTGTCAAGTCCGGCGGCCAGCCAGTTGCTGTCCACAGGGTTCCAAGCCAAAGTGTTGCACTGCCTGGCGTGCTTCGGGACGAACTCTTTGCCCATTAATTCCTTGCACTTGGTGTTGTGGCTCTGCCCAAGACTGGTCAGCACCACGCGTCCGTTCGCTTGCCCCACCGCAAGCAGGCATTCGGGCTCAGGCCTGGGGTACCAGGCTACACATTTCATGTACGGGGTATCCGAATTGATGGCCAGCAGCGTCGCTGCCGTCTCTCCCGAGAGCTGGAGAACTCCGGCTTTGGTCTCCGCGCTCCCCAGCGACGCGATGCGATACAAGCTGAGCTCCGAGTCACAGATGACATAGCGATCAACGTGATGGGGAGACCACAGGATATCGGGCTTCGAGGCACTCATCTTCCTGGGCGAGTAACAATCACCGCTACTCCAGTGAGCTCAAGATCCAGGCATCACTGGATCACTTGGGGGAAACAAATACAACAACTAAAATTAGGAAAAGTAACGTGTTTTCCCAACTTTTATTATTATTTTATGACTGGATTAAGGGAACGTGACCAAAGGACGGCAGCTACTATGTACCGCGCTTGCAGAGAATCGTGCACGAAATATTAACTCTTAAGAAATCCGGACAACCCGAAGCAGGGAGGAAATACCTGAATCAAACCATGTTATAACCGCAGTTTCTATCTAGAATCATAACCTCTCACGTGAACACAAAATGATCTGCAAACTTCTGAAACACGCTACTGGCAGCTCAAGCTAATAAACAATTAAAGCAAATCCTTTCTCCATTAACAAAACTATATGCGCACCATAACGATAAGCCACCGCGACAAAATGCGAAACGCACAAAGTAACAGTTGCAACTCACGATGTTTTTGTTTCTTACATTAAAGTAGCATCGGGCACCAAAACAGTCCTACACCAAAATGATTCCCCGGGAAACAAGTTACGTGGCAGGCAGTTCTTGCGCAGGACTCGAGTTAAATTATACAGCGCCGCTTACCGCATCGCGCTTGAATGTACGCCCAATATGTGAATCTAAGAAAAAGAAGTACCAAATAGCGTATAATGTTAATAATATATGTAGTTTAGCATTCTTCTACACATGATGTGTCTTATAAGGAATACTGTACAAGTCGGCGAATTTTAATAATCAAAATAATAAGGAACAAGTATCCATGTTGAAAAGAGAAGAGAGAGTAATATTAATTATTATGATTATATTGTGCTATAACTTATAGTGTTTTTCCTGGATACTCCACTCAAAGTGCTTTACAGGTAATGGGGATCCCCTCCACCACCACCAGTGTGCAGCCCCACCTGGATGATGCACCAGTCCTCTCCCCACACACCAGCTCTCAGTGGAGAGGAGAGCAGAGTGATGAAGCCAGTTCAGAGATGGGGATTACTAGGAGGGCATGACTGGTAAAGGCCAGGGGCAAATTCGGCCGGGACACGGGGGGACACCTCTACTCTTTCCGAGACACACGCTGGGATTTTTAATGACCACGGAGAGTCAGGACCTCAGTTTTACGTCTCACCCGAAGGACGGCGCCTTTTTACAGTATAGTGTCCCCGTCACTCAGGCCACAACTAGGACTCAAGAAGACCGCGGGGATGAGCGCCGCCTGCTGGACTCTCTAATACCTCTTCTAGCAGCAATCTGAGTTTTTCCCTGGAGGTCTCCCATCCCGGTGAGCTGTGGTAGCTCAGGCAGCAAGGGTGTCTAGTTCTTGACTGGAAGGTCTCGGGTTCAACCCCAGGTAGGGGCAAGTGATTTTGCTTGCTCTAATTCCTTCCAGATGGTTCCCAGGTCCACTCAGCCTGCTTTCCAAATGAGTACCAGGGGGTTAATCCTTCTGGGGGTAAAAGGCCAGCTGGAGTGTGATGCTGCCACCTCCAGTGTCATATGGTTGAGAAAAATGGTAGCCCTTGCCCCCCATGGGCCTTTATGGCCCGAAAAGGGACCTACCTACCTCCCATCCTGCATCACACCTGCTGAGCTTCAGTGGGTTGCCAGATGTGAGTTGCAGGGTGATATGGCTGCTGGCCATATCAAAATCTGAAGATATTAAAACAGAGTTTTTTTTAATCTTTAGTCTATTTTAAAATCATATTCCAGAGTTTAGGTTTGTGTCACATCCTTCCTTTAGCCCGTTTTTGGCGTAATGATAATAGATATAGGAAACTTGCTTAATTGAAAAATACACACACGTGATTTCCACTTGAAAGCACAACGGTAGTAAACCCTCCCGTTAAACTGTTCCGGTAGTAAGAGATTTTTGAATGATCTGTATCATTAGACTCTGTAATTTGTGCAAAAGCAGCATGTACTGTGTACACTTGAATAATCACGTGTCACAAATTCCTGGGAGCTGGCAATAGCTAGTGTGTACTTGTAGGAGTGGGTGTCTCATCACCAAGTGTTAAAGGCTTGTTTTATTAGATTCGAATTACTCCCCCAGCAAAAATGTTCTCCCGTCACAGTTTTTAAGAGAATTATGACAATCCTCCTCTTCATGGGTGATTTCAGTTAACGATATGCAAGAGACAAGAATCTAGGCGCATGTTTACAATGGGATACTTGTTTTTGACGTGTAGAAAGATATGCAGACGCAGTGCCTTGTCTCGTTTTAAAATAAGCATGTTTCTGTTGCTTGGAGCTTAGAGCTCGGAGCAGCGAAGGAACAAGGGAAAGTAAACTCCACGCTGAAATAGAAAAAAAACACAACGCTGAACACAAGTCATGTTTTCATCAGAAATAGACATCACAACTTCTTTTTTCAGAGCAATTTTAACCTCTAATGTTCCCTTTCTATTGTTTATGTCATTCAGGGGTCTTTTCTTGAGGGATGCATTTTTGTTACTTACAGAATATTCTTCAACATTAATAATGACCTTTAACGCACATCCAGATAAACATGTTTAAGTAATGTATATTAGAAATCAACATAAAAACATCATTATAAAAATCCTGGGTTTTTTTCAGATCTGGAAAGATAATTCTCAAAGGGCTTCTGGAAATGTTTCAAATTATATCTATTTTTTCTTTAACTTCAGCTTTTCTGGTGGGAGGGTTCATGATGTATGAGCATAACAGATATCAAAGCACAAAAGGGCTTCCTAGTACGAAATTCTAGTTTTAGTCATTTGTTCTTGTGGGAAGTTAAAGTTTTTCAATTTGTCAGATCTGTCTTGGAGTAGGAGGTGGAAAATAGCAAAAGCCAAGTGTCTGTGGTAGCAATTAAGTGTTTCCGAGAGTTCTCTGATTTTGGAATAGCTCGATCCTGGCAAGGCACATAAAGATACTTAAGTTGCTGGCATAAACCCTACAAAAGATTAAAATCAAAGAGACGATCCAGGCCAATGTATCTCATTAGGTTGCTAGTAGCTAATTCATTTGAGAACTTAATTGTGTTGCTTTTGAAAAAAAGCCACTGTATCACCTTCACCTGCCTGCCTGGGGTAGCTTGTTCCATACACCCACAACCCTTTGTGTAGAGAAGTGCCTCCCGTGTCTCTGAAGATCCTGTGTGTTCAACATGTCCTCTTGCTATTCCCCGTCTGCTCTATCACACATTCCGTGGTCCCACGGGAAAAATATTCTGGACCTTTGTTCCCAAATACTTATCCCACATGACTATAAATATTTACTTTTGTTAAATTTAGGTGACATTTAAAATATTTGGTCAGAAGTGCATAGACATTATTTTCTAAAAGGGAGTGTGAATTCTGAAAGTTGCACGGCTGCACATCACCTTCTAGAGAGGATTCTGAACTAAACTCTACTTTTGTGGTGTCCACAGGAAACTCAGTACTTTTCCTCCCAAAAGAAGAGAGTCTCGTCATAGTTAGGAGATGCTGTCTAGTTACGATTCTGAATTTGTCATTTTGCACTCTTTCAAGAGCCGGGGAGTGAAGGCTCAAAACTAAAAGTGTTGAGAATATTATAAAATTCATTCATCACCCTTTGGCAAAGCACCTGGTGAAGATATTTTTTTGGAAAGAATTTTATTTAAAAAAAACGCAGGTCATTAGCTAAAGTAGGGTACATTCATAAAATCTTCAGAAAGTAAAGCAAATGTAAATGTTGGGAAAAAAATCAGCTTTTATACCAGCACTCTGTCTAGTATCTGTTCACAAAACGAATATTTTGGATTGTCTTTTTGAAAATAAAACACAGATCTTGTATCTCATTTCATACTGAATGGTGAGGGAATTTTGCTTCTAGCAGTGCAGCTGTTACATGGTGGCAAGCCTTGACAAAGTAGTGTTTGTTAATGCATCTGCATCTGTACCTTGACAACTTTAGAATAATTGTTCCAATATTGTAACAGGTAATGCTTGTTACATCAAGCGGTTTAGGAATGGCAGTATGAAAGAGCTTACCATTCATTCTGATTATTTCTATTTTAATACTGCTTCTATTGTTATTACTACTGTATCAATGAATTGTGGCAAGTGACACTTGTTTCTTTCTTCCGAAGTTTTGTGAGCATAAATAAATTAAACATGTTATCCAGTCAGGTATTTAACGCATATAAAACACATTCTGGTGATTCCGCATTCAGGTAATACCACAGGGGAAACTTGTAGTTATGGATTATTTTTCATCATTAATGATGAGCTTTAACGCACAGCCAGATTACAACCCATTTGCTTTAGAATGAAAAAAGAATAAATGAAAACACTATGAGATAAACTTGTCAGGAAGCAAAACAAAGCACAGTATAAAAAGGAGACACCTGCCATAAATAAACCTGCGTAAACCACTATGGTCAAATTGGCAAAATTGAACCTTTACACTTTGCTGAACTTTCGATAAGAAAAGTTTAGTAGAAAGCTGAGAAATATGAGCACAAAATATCCTTTTTAACATTTATTTATGTAATATTGATGGCTTATGTAGTCTTAGCCGTGTTCATATTCCTGAGTGTGTATTAATATTTAATTAACATTTTATGTTGGCATCATTTGGTCTTTTTATTACATCTGGTGTGGAAAGTTGTGCTTCACACATTGCTGTTATCTACATTTGAGAGAGGAGCACTGGAGATTGACAGGGCATTTGGTGGTTACTCCAGATCTCATCGACTGAATCCTGGCCAGAATGTCTCCAAGGGTCAAAATGTTGCAGTTGTTGTGAATGGACCAGTTGTATGGAGTCCAGCTGCTTGGATCCAACTCCAACTAATTCCTGCTTTTTAGAAATAATTGAGTTTATGGTGATTTTTTTTCAATAAAACTGAATGAAAAAAAAAGACATGGTGAAAATCAGCTGCAACTCAGACAGGATTACATGCTACAAAGGTTTCCAAAATGTTCATGTACTGTACAGTAAATGAGACATCAACTTTTCTTTAAAAATGGTTTTAATTAATTTTACATTTCTGTGCATACTTTGGTACCATCTTGTAATTTCATAATTTATTGCAAGAATCACAGTTTGTGCCATCTTCAGATCATTTGTCTTCTTTTTATACAGTATATCTCATTATTCAGTCCCTGCTCAGCTAATTTAAGACAGGTTAAATCTTTTAAGAAAAGTGTTAAAATGTTGACTGTCATTACTCATGACCTAACATTTCTAAAATACCCTTAACTTGAAAAACGTTTCAGATGTCTCTGTGGAGCCCAGGAGGAAAGGTTAATGCTGTTTTATAGCTTTACAAACCATGGAACGCCTTGTAAGCCACAGGGATGATCATTCATATGGACTGGTGACATGTGAAACACATTATCTGATCTTCTGCTGAGCTCCAGAAAAAAAAAGAATACCTGAAAGCACTGCAGGTAAAGACTATTTCTGCCCAAACTGACATGCAGTACTTGGGGTTTTTGACAAGTATTTTAGTTGCTTTTTACCAGCCTTGTATCCAATTTTCTCCAGTTTAAGCAACTGCATCATATCCCTGATCCACTCAACTGATGTGGGTGGGGCAGCTTGCTTGTAATTACAGGTGATAAGGCCTCATTTACTGTAAGCGGAATCACAAAAGCCAGGGTGTCAGACTGTATTTTTCACAGGGAGAGATTATAAGGTGGCACATCAGAAATAGCTGGCAATGTGTATATTTTACCCCTGCCACTGTAAGTTACAGCTCAGAGAGGGAAATAAAAGCTGTTGAGCTTTGTCCAAAGTGGGGATAATTCTCTAGTTAATAGTTTTTCCTGTTAATACTCTCTTCCCTGCCCATCACTTATGATTCTGCCAGAATCCAAACCGGAAGACCAACAAAACTGCCGATCACTGGTAGCCAGCCACAAGAAACAGGTTCCCCAGTAAGCTCTAGTCCTGCCACTGATCTAAAGCTTTTCAATTCCAGGCTGACAGTGGCAGCTCCCTGCAAGTCAATGAAAGGCTCAATTCCCCTGAGCGGTCAGATCCATATTTTAGGGTTCACAATTCATGTTGTGTGCTCAGTTGGTGTGAGAATCTCAGATCTTCTATATCTTGGTATCCTGAAACGTATTTTAAAACCAGGTCCAGAAAGGCGCACATTTGTAATATTGGGGTTTTTATTTTGTAATTCCAACTTATTTTTCCCTCGGATCCTCTGAAATGCTGCAGGAAAGCAAACACTTCCCTCTTCTGCTAGTGTGGGCCCGGACTGCTGGCAGGGCTCTTGTCGTTTTCCTGCTTCTGACTGCTGTGCTTGTAATCTTTCCAGAGCTCATCTGTAGACATTTACACCAATAACTACAGCAACACAGCACAGTATAACATTACATACACTCCGCATATAGAGCCTTAAGAGTATCCGTTTAGTGCAGCTTCCAGTAGTTAGTACAGATCTTACTTAATTTACTTCGAGAAACTGCTATGGTTATGAAAGTTAATCACTTTCTTTAACTTGACAATGTTTGGGAAACGAATGACAAAAGGACGATAAAATGCTTTGATAAAGTAAAATCAAAGAAAATTATTTTAAAATGAATGTATCTCAGGCGGAATATTATGTACATTTTTGATCACCACACTGTAAGAAACGCTGGAAATCCAGGTACAGAAGTTCAATCAGACAAATATTTGGTCTGTTCGACTTGGACAGAGGGACTTGTCCTTTTTTTAGCTTAGAACAGAGAAGATTGTGTAGGTGGGCCTTTAATCGGGTATTCAAAATCCGGAAAGGATATATCAGCTGAAGGGACATCTTCAAAGTCAGCAACCCTGCAAGAACTGAGAACGCAAGCAGAAATCGGGATTAGGGCTGTTCAAAACAGAAAAAGTGGAGACTCTTCTTTATACAGAGGATTGCGGGTGTCTGGTTCAAGTAGGTAAAGTGGACACATGGGGTCCGTAAAGAAAGGGAGGGTCATAATTATTCTTGAGATACTAATTAGCTGCTATTGAAACCAAATGTGTAAAGTGTTAAGTGAGCTGATTGTTCTAAAACGACCAAATTGTCTTTCCTTACTTTGCAATCGTTCTTATTATTTCATATCCTTCCCTCGGCGTGGCACCTGAATAATTACTCATAGAAAATCGTTTCGTTTTATATATTTTTTATGTTTTCTGTAAATCTGTCAGTGGTAGAAAATATTTTCTATATACGTGAAAAACGTAAGGGACAGTCGATTTGTTAGCTGTATTCCTATATTACAGGTCAGACCACACAATACTGTATTCACAGTCCATGTGCTATTTTGATTTCGTTTTTGCACAATTGTGATGAGTCTTTAAATCCATACGTTATCTTATGTTTAGATTATCTGGCTATTATTTTATTCCATTATTTAAAGGGGGGTACCGACTCGTCTACGAGACTCAGTGTGTCATCTGACTATTTTTCGATGTTAAAATAATCCGACAAAGCTCTTGTCCCAGTGCTAATTCCACAGAAGAAGAGGCAACCACACCTTCATAAATATTCATTGAACGGTCCAGCCCTTTCCAAGAGAGAATGGTAAAGAGATTACAGCCCCTCTGGTTTCACATTACTACTGGACAGGGAGAGCGTATTTTTTTGGTCATAGAAATTATGTAATTCACTCCAGATTAACCAAGTATTTACAGACATCGATTATGCTTTAAATGAGAAATAAGGTAAGATTTAACTAAACTAAGCAATCGCAAGGAAGCGGTTTAGTTCGCATGAAAGGTGTTTTTTTTTTTTAATTGACGACTCATCGAACTAGAAACTACACTGAAAACACAGATAACCTTTTCTTGTCTACGAATTTAATTGCGGGAATGAAAATCCCATATCACGTCATTGTATGTTTAAGGAAAACTTGAGACGGAGAATTAGCGGTTTAATGACTGCTGTCTTAAAAGAAGCTGACTGTTCTTTCTACTTTTGATGTAGAAGCTTTCTTCAATGACGAGACGGCTGATATAAATATCGTGATCTTTGCAGTGTAGGTATTAATTATATATACACTTTAGAAAAATAAATAATTTGTCATTTTAGTTGGATGCATTATTATAATTAATAAATCATGCTAACATTATCATAGCATTTGGTGCATGCAAGATAGCATAATATTATCTATAATATTTTTTTTATTCACAGCAATGATATCGTAACAGTAGTTACACAATCGTGTAATAGTGTCTCGTTTATCAGCTTTTCTCTGTATTCGCATATTTAAGATCGGGGTGTGTGCTGAAGAACTGCTGTTTGTAAATTCAGCTCCCGGCAGGTGCCGGGCACCTTGTTCACATGTGACTCTTGTAGCTGGTGTACTTATTTGTTCTGTTTTGTGTGTGTGGTTGAGGCACTATCTGGATAACTAATTGTGTGTCTGTGAGATGGAGGTGGAGTGAGTACCGTCTTCTTCCTCGGTCATTATTAGATATTCCCGCTGATGCTTGCCTACAGACAATGGAAACTAATTCAGCAGCCTTTTCAGGTATTGAATAGAAAAGCATCTCTGGTCTTATTTTCAGTTACTGTACGTGCCTTCTTTGGTCGTACGCCCGTATGGTTATGTTGGAAATAACACACTATACTTATTGGTATTGAAAACTCTTCAAAGGCAAAAGTGCTCCAAAAAAGCTTATTTTAAAGATGCACAAAACGTTAATATTTTGCCTATTGGATTACTCTCTTTTGTGTACAAAATGAGTAGGCTACTCGAATATGATAACTTCGCTTGAGATACTCAGCGGTTTTGCTTATATCAATGGCAAAAAGAACTTATATTATAACCACTTTATGTTAAACTGTGGATACTTTAAAGTGGCAGCTTTTATATGGTTTGAGTTTCAGCAAGAAAATCAATATATTTGGTTCTTGGCTTTCATCTTGTGGAGCATCTAAGGTCATAGTTGATTTGTTTTTTCCAGCCTTGTCGCGAATCTTGTTCAAACGTTATTAGTTCTGCCTTCCTTACTTTTTCAGCTTCTTCCCTTGAAGTGATGCTTGCAATGACCCGTTCTCCCCGCGTGTCAATGTCGTGTTGTTGAGCTGTTTCGAGGGTGATGTTCACACCATCCAGGGTGCTGTGTCGCGTAACATTACTAATGCGCCTTGTGTCCGTTCCTCCGAGCTTCATCTGCTGGTGCTTCGGAAAGACTGGGGAACCTGGATGGCTGGCCGCGTGTTGGGAAGGCGATGCTACACCTCATAGAGAAGAACAAATGTGTGTTGCTTTCCGATTTCAGGGGCAGGCAGATTCTGGATAAGACGAAAACATGTGGAGAGGAGTGAGTGTGTGCCTCTTGCTGCTGGCCGTTGTTTCAGATACAGCCAAGAGCCAGAGCAGAAAAAGGAAAGGCCAGAGAGCAAACAACCTTTTCATGAAAGATGAAGTAAAAGGTGTGAATTTCTGCAGTCTACTTTCCCATGTTACTCACATTCCTTATGATCATGAAGACTTTGTAGATTTAAGTATAGTGCCCAAATTCCACCGTAAGAAAGGCGAGGGTATGGCTGACTATGCCCAGGTAGACTCCACAATAAACTTCGCCAGGTTTAAAAATTAAACGTGCTTTATTCACATTCACTTTGGTTTCACAAACAAAACAAAGGAGAAGTTTGCCACAATACCAGAACTATTCCTCAGAGCTCAAGTGAACTAAACGCGCAGCTACACCAGCACGTCAGACCCTAATTTGCGCTCTAATTTCCTCTCCGTTTTTGAAAACTAAAACTTTTTTAGAATTTACATTAATGAACATCGGCGATGGGCCGTCTTAAAGGCATACGCGCAATGTACGTAAACAAAACAACGTGTTTTTCAAATAGTAGAACATCAGCATATTTGCAGGGATTGTTTATAAAAGGAATATAACCAAATTAAAACATCACATGGCTCCTACAGTAAGTTTAAAATATCTCTTAAAGTGTTTGATTTCTTATTCATTTGGTCAGTTGAGATTTTTCCTTGCTGTATATTTTATTCAATCCGTTTCCCTGGAATTCGGCTTGAGTTTCAGTGAGTCGCCCACCCTGCATTGTTCTTCATATTGAGGCTCTGTTCACACAGGCCTCCACTGGTTCGTGTGAAGCTGGGTGACAGTGGCCTACAGTGACCGTGCATGATTAGGGGTGCAAGTTTGTCCAGAACATAAGAACGGCCATTGTAGTCACTCATAAAAACTACAACATCTACAGTAGTTAAAGTTGTAATTATTCCGTTCAGCAAGTAGATTTGAGTTGTAACTCATGCTGTTTTTGCCTTTCATCCCAGATATGATCTGTGAACTTGACATAGCCTTCATCGTGGACAGTTCTGAAAGTGCCAAATTGTTACTGTTTGAGAAGCAGAAGACGTTTGTTGAGAGCCTCACTGAAAGGATCATGCAGCTACAGATGCCACTTGCCTGGAAGTTAAAAGTCAGGCTGGCTGCCCTACAGTACAGCAGCACAGTCAAGATAGAGCACAACTTCAGAGACTGGCAAGATGCCGATGTCTTCAAAAGCCGAGTTAGCACAATGGCCTACATTGGGCATGGGACTTATTCGTCCTATGCAATAACCAACGCTACCCAGCTTTTTGACGAACAAACAAAGCCTAACAGTGTGAGAGTAGCCATTCTCATGACCGATGGAGTGGATCATCCCAGGAATCCAGACATCATGGGTGCGGCCTCTGTAGCAAAAGATCGCAAAATTCGACTTTTCACTATCGGGCTAACAGATCTTGCCAGAGAGAGCGTCAATAATGCTAAGCTACGCTCTATAGCTACTGCCCCTGCGCAGCAGTATGTGCACAGCCTGACTGACCCATTACTCGAAGAAAAGCTTTTCCGTGAGCTGGTGAGTGAAACGCCATGGTGTTTCGTTAGGAACCTGACAGACCTAAAACATGTAATTTTGTACATCATTGCAAAGAATACACCACTGCAAGGTCTGGCTGCAAACATACGTTGATGCTCTACAATAAATATGAAGTTGCCTAAAGATGAGACAGGGGCCCCCTTTGTGAACTCTTTTACACACATGTTGACTGTTTTGATGGTGTGATGGCCTCCATATTGAGATAAGCACCAGCTGCAAGTGTCCAGGGTCCTTAGAGATCTGAAAGATTGTCTGATACTCTGCTTCATTGTAGTGTAGTGTTTTCATAACACCCTAAGTGATCATGTTGAATCAGTGCCTTCCTAATTCAATATGGAAATTTCACTTTGCAAGGGCATTTTAAGCTCTTTCTACAGGGAAGTCTGTCCTGTACTTTTGTCCTTCTTACATAAATTCCCACAGTGAACTCCACCACATTCAAACCACAGGCGCAGAGCTTTATCAGTCTGAATTCCAGTTTTCAATGGATTTTTGGGGCTACTAATTATAGAATGGAAACTAAGCTCATTTCATTAAAGTTCATTTAGTGATTCGGGCCATTTTTAGAGACATACTGTATGGAACAGAGCAATTTGCTACAGCCCTTTCACATTCCCACTCAAATGTACTTTTTTTGCCTTTTGTTTTTCACAATTCCACCACACCCTCTAACTGCTTTTTATTTTGGAGCCAATTAGAAATAAAGGGCTCACAGTTTTAAAAGGCTTCAGACAGACAATGAGAGGATTGATAAAACCAGTGGTCTTAAACAAGAAACAGAGCTTGGCAACTCAGTTACTACATCGATATCTACTGAGTGTGCTTAATGTCACGTTCAGCCTCAAAATGGTCATTAAAATAAACAAAACATTTAAACATGTGAAGCAAGTGAATTGAGAAGATACTGAATTAAATTTAAGTATGACAAAGTGAGTTCACTCATTCTGAGATTTCTTTGGCATTATGTTGGTGATTTATACCATTTACCATTTTGCAGTGTGCTTCACAAACATATTTTTAGTCTTCCTTTCCACATTACGGGGTGTTTATTTGACAATTTACTCATAGCAAGGGTGATGTTACACTTTATTCATTTCCATCATTATTTATAATGTCTGGATAAATGGTCTTGAATTTAAGACACTAGAACAGATTTGTTTTATCTACAGTGTCTAAAACTGTTTAAAAAGTATGTTCCTGGGCCTTTAAGGTTCTGTGTGTTCTGTTTCTTGAAGCATTGCGCTGGGTCTACAATGCTGTGATTTAACTGTAGGTCTTTTCTGTCCTAAAGATGGGCTTACTTCTCAATGCTTTAGTTGTTTTCATTTTTAAGAGCAGTATGGCTGTCAAATTCCACTTTCAATGAGACGTTTCCAGAAATACTGATAATGTACAGAATTATTTAAAGGTCAGACTCTGTTCATGCTTGGACAATTCTTCAATTGTTTCAAAGATTAAAAACATCCGAGCTAGCTATGAATACTGGACATGCATGTAGTTAAGCCATTTAGATATTACTGACAATTATAGACTACACCTCCAATTCTGGAGAGCCACAGTACCTTCTGGGTTTCATTTCAGCAAAGTCTGAATGGCTTAATTGGATCAGTTGCTTAATTAGGAGAAATTAATACCTTCCAGATCACTGCTATTTTAAGGCCACCCATAAAAACTGCAGGACTGTGAGCCTTTATGATTAGTGCTGAAGACCCCCGGTTATAGTTAGTAAATCCCAAGACATCTGTGCCTTACAATGAAGATTGTGTGTGTGTGAGGTTTGCATGTTCTTCATGTAGCTGCTTGGGTTCTCTCTGTGTGCTCTGGTTTCCCCTAGAGTTCAGACATGCTGTCTGATTGTAATGTCATTAATTGGCATTAATTAATTAAGGTGTCCCTTACCTTGTGCCCATTCTCATTTTCCACCATGAGCCTGTATAGGACTAAAGCAGTTACTGAAAATGCTTGGATGGATTTTCATAATGACACTTTCATATCTTGTTGTTTTTACATTATCTATCATTTTGTATCTGACTTAAATGTTATTTTATTGTTAACTAATACTTGATGTGATAGGGCTGACACATCTAGTTGTGTGAAAATGACTTATTTTTTTATTTGTCTTTCAGAGCGTGATTGCAAATAAAGGAGTAAGTATTATTTCACAGCATTTGGTTTAAGTGGTAGCTGTCTGCAACTATTTAAAAAGTAAGGCACAATAAATATAAAGGTAATAATATATACATGTTGTGTACAATTAAAAGTAATGTATGTTATGTACATGACATTTAAAAACAGTCTCTTTTGTCTTCCTGGACTGGCTCTTCCTAGTGTCCACAGCCATGTTCCTGTGAGAAAGGAGAGAGGGGCCCTCCAGGAGGTCCGGTGAGTAAGTTCTTCATCCTTGACCAGAGACAGGCAGGACTACAGGAAGCGTAAGGTGCAAGAGCCGGAGGACATGGTTGCTGTACTTAATCAGGGTTATTATTAACATATGTGACTAAAACATGCATGATGGGGTTGCATGATGGCGCAGATTTGGGGGCCCTGGGCTCAGCCCTGGACACTGGGACACTGGGACACTGGGGTGCTGTCTGCGGGGATTTTTGATATTCTCCCTCTGTTCTCCCTGGCGCTCCAGTTTCCTGGTCCTGCTGTGTGTTTGTTTCTGTATGCGTGTGCGCTCTGTGCCGGACTGGTGTCCCATCCAGGGTGTATCCTGCCTTGCTCCCAGGATAGGCTTTGGCTGCCCTGTGACCTTGAATTGGATGAAACCTGCAAACTGCCGCTTACAAAAGTCCAAATCAATACCCCATGCTGCTGCCAGTTTTCCAGGGCACTGGAATCTTCCTCTATCAAAACAAACATTAAACATTTTAACAAACATTAAACAGCAGCCAAACTGCAATCGTCAAAAATGCAGTATAAGCACAGAGGTTATTTTTAGGAACAAGTAAAGGTTTATTCCATGCTGATAAGAGAAGAACACCCAAAAAAGGCTCCACAGCTGAAACGTTGTGTTTCTTCTCTTCTCTCTTCAGCAGGGAATAAACCTTTACTTGTTCCTATGCGTGCTGATGCAGCTATCTACTTGAAGTACAGTAGGTTGTTTTGACATCTATGGTATTTATTACTTTTGATTTCCATATATGGAGACAGTTCTGGAACATCAAGGGTTGAGAGCTGTAGATTTCTAATTCATACACACTCTGCAAATGATGACAAAGCCAAGTTAAATCAGCTGTAGTGAAACCTTGTAGCCTCAATTTGGGAAGATTGACAGCTGCATCACCACTTCATCATATCGCAGGCATTATGCAAGATTGGGACTGGACAGTACTGGAATTGAGGACCCTCAATGAACACAAGTGTTTTGCTGGAGGTGGTGATGATGGACCAGTAGGTGGCGCTCTTCTCTGCGGATCAAAATTTACATTTACATTTGCATACCAAAATGTTCAAGTATGGAAGAAAGGGAAACTATGTTGTAGGAGCTGCCTTCCTTTAGATAAGCTAAACTTGGGGTCCTGATTGCTTGGCTGTTAAAGATCTAATGACACTGTTTGTATATGTAAGATTATGGGTGTTAATCCCTTTGTTTTGGCTAAATTTCTTTTTGGGATTGTACCTTAAACATCCTCCTTAATTCAATTAGTAAAGAAATTCCTTCTCCTTATGATCTACTGTGTGCTGAAGATGCACTGGAGCAGCTATACAGTACATCACTGGTGGAAACTTAAAAGAAGCAGGAATATTTGTTAAGGAGAAGTAAAACATCTATTTAGGAATTTTCTGCATGATAAAGAATCTCTGCATTAAGCTAATTTAAAGTACTGAAATCTCTGAAAGAACAGCCACACTTGAAAATAAGATGCTGGACTCTTTTGTGCCTGTCTGTGACTACATTAAAATGTTAAGGGATACAGCTGACAAAAAATGAAAATGAAAATTAGAAAACACTGTAGATATATTAGGGACAAGATTAGGACAGGATGAAAAAGTGACACACAGCAAATGCTTTATGACAGTCTAGATTGCAAACGTTTGACTAAACAACTTGCATTTTTTATGTAAAGAAATACTGTACAATCCTGTCAGCAATACAGTTCGTATATTATTTTTCCTTTGAGAAGTTTATATAAAACTCTTGAGTCTCGATTCTATTTCAGTATGTTTTGCATTTGACCCTATAGTGTAAAGTGCATGTATATAAAACATACATGTGGACCATGGAATAGTAAACACATGTATTGTAGTCTGCAAAGATTTTTGTGTGCATAAATCTGGTAAAGACTATTTGCCATGGAGACTTTTTTCATTTCTCCACAGAAGAATACAGATGAACAAAAGAGACAAATTACAGTCTAGCTAGAATCAGATGGTATCTATCATACTCACATGTTCAAGTGTTAAAGTAGGTCAGTGCAGACCGTGTTACAGATGGACAAGTCTGTCAAGGTCAACTTCCCTTTTGAATGTGGTTTCCTATGTGAAAACATTGTGCTTATTGAACTGTGTTGTTTCTGGCAAGATAGCAAAGAGAAAGCATTTGTATTCTGGGTTTCAGCAGTTCGCTCCTGCTCTTTTCCCTGCATGTGGATCTCTGGAATCTAAAGCTCTTTAGACTGGCAATGAAAGAAAACAGTACAAATAACTCCCCACACTGCAGGTATTGTATGTACAGTATCTGTCTTTTCGAAAGACCTGAACTGGTTTATTTTCATAACCATGTTTGCAAAGAAAATAATTCTTTAGCTTCTTTAGCTATGTCAGAAAGACACAAAGATCCAAAACAGAATGAGGAATAATAATGTAACCAGAACGTACTTCACAAAACTAAGCAGCTCTGAAGTCGACAAGACTTGATGGAAGATACAAATCCAAGGGAAGATTTAGCAGCTTCTTCTAAAGCCCATTTTAAGAGAAAAGATACTTCACTTATCTTCAGAACAATTGTCATGTGTGAAACGTTGCCAGAGTAATACAAGTTTGTATCGCTTGGTGGAATGAAATGAACATCACAATGCTTGAACTCTTTGTAAGTGTGTTTTATTAATGGGTCTGACTGACACTGTTTCCCAAAGCAATTTATGTTTATAGATCTGTTGATCTATTTATAGATCAGTATGTTTTTCTGAAGCAGCCTGGGTGACATGCCTTGTTCAAGTGTACAACGTCAGTGGCCCACGTGCTATCTGAACCCACGATCCTCCACTTACAGTCCTGACCCCAGACGGCTTCCCTGCTTCTTCTGTTTTCAGGGGAAAAGGGGCGATCCTGGCTACGACGGGTCTCCTGGTGAGAAGGGATCAAAGGTAATGAGTTTTTCTTGTGAAATAATTCACATGATTAAAACTTGTCCTTAATGAAAATGTTAGTGTAACTGTCGGATTTTCTGTTTTGAAAAATGTTGTATGAATTCAGATCTAGACACAGCAAACACATGTGTGTTCGGTGTATTCTTCTCAAAGTAATTAAACTAGAACAGTCCTTAAATATTTTTCTGTTATCCATCATGCTTCCCTGTGCTAACAAGTTTGGCACTGTTTCAAAATCACGCACATCTTCCTGCTTCCCTTTGCTAAAGATAACTTCTTTTAATACAGTTGGTTACTTAAGTTCGTAGCACGCATTCCTACATGACAGTATAGAATAACATAGCAGCCCTTTTGTCCAGCATTCTTTCAATCCTGTGCAAACCAGTTCTGAATGTCCACCTTATAAAATATTGCATCTTCTGCAGGAAAAGAGACCCTCTCAACAATTTATAACACAATGTCATCTGGAGGATATTAGATTATTTTCTGATTAATTTCCATACTCTTAATATTGTAAGAATTCAACAAGTATTTTAAAACCATGACTCATGTTGAGTTGAGCAGCCTATGAGTTTAAAAGGGCAATGTTATCTCCAAACAGTCAAGGGGTCATATGAAGTGCTTAATGAGTAAATGTATGGATAATTCTTCAAAGCATGGGAGAAGCTGAAAGAGACAGCAGGCAATGACATGCCCTAGAGCAGGGGTTTCTAACACTGGTCCTAGAGAGTTCCTGTCCAACTGGTTTGATAGGCAACCTCTAAGTTATCAATTACAATTTCAAAGACCTGGGAATCTTTACCTATGATCTGCTTAATCAGGAGCCAAGTGTCTCCTGGGTACATGAATTAAAAAAATTAACCTAATTGTTATATTCATCACACATGTATATCTTTTCTTAAGGTCTTTTACAACTGATTACTCAAAAGATTCACCTTATTAAATGCACAGTTACCTATAAAACACTTTGGAACCTGATTAGAAATGTTACATTTTATTAAATGAATTGACCAGCCATGTAACTAAGAGCTCACGTGGAACAAAACATATATATATAAACATAAATATTCTAGGACCCCTTGAGTTTGAAATAGACGATTTGTTATATTAAGTAATTTAGAGATCATATGGGCTGAAAATCATAATATCCTTCTTCTCTCAAGGATCAGAGCTCTGTTAATTGAATACATTATTTGCTTAATAGATCAATAACTTACAAATATTCCTAGTATTTTAAAACCTGGTGATTTAGGATAACATCTAAGAGGGCTTTCGATGGCCAGGAAGGAGACCCCTCTCTTAGGAAATATTGATTAAAAATGACTCATAAGTAATCTCATAATGCACAGACACAGGAGTAAAGCCACTCTGAAGCAAATGCACTTTGAATGATTGATTTCTTCCAACACATTTAACAACATAAAACTGTGATTTATATTAATAAAAAAAGCAACTTTACAATACTGTTTCAGTATTGTCTCTTGTCATTTCCTTAAAATCTGTTCAGCTTGCACGTCTGTCATGATCCTATTAATATGGGCAGGGTGGAGTAAGTTACCCAGCTACGGTGTCCTGTAGACAATACGGTGGCTTCTTTCAAGAAAAGGCAGGATGAGAACCGGGGATCAATTAGCTACTGACTAGCAAATGGACAAGAATAGCTGATTGGCTCCCCTTGATTATAACCTGTCGTATGTTCTTATTTTACTGTTTTGGTTAGGGTGAGCCTGGTATCAATGGGAGGACTGGAAATGAAGGCCCAGAGGTATGTTCAGCAAATCTAAAAGAACATTTTTGAATGAACACATCCAGATGTGGACTTGTACACATATGAAGCACGGTTGTAGCTTGTTGCCTGGAAGGGCAAGTCGACAAAGATGAAGTGGAAGCTGGGAACTGGGGTTATGCCCTCTGGTGTTAGTGTGTCCTGGGTTGTTGTTTTAGGTTTCATAATGCGTTGTCAAATGCGTTACTTAAAACATATAGGCAGGGGTTACTAATCACTTGATTGTCATAGAAAATAAAAGTGGCTGTTGAGACCAGCGAGGAAGGGCTAACTCCATGCCTTTCAGATTAAAATGGCCAGTTTGCTCTTTCCAAGATCGTAATGTTTTCGTATCTGCTTTGTTTTTGCAGGGAAGACCTGGCTTCAGGGGGGATAAGGTACATGTTTTGTGTTTTTTTAATACATTTTCCAAAAGGTCTGTCGGGGTTGCATGTACACAAGAGTGAATAATTTTGGGTCCCCATTCATCCACCTTGTGGACTGGAGAAACTGGGGGAGAGTGGCTCACTCAAGGCACAGCAGCACTGTCTGCAATGAGGACTCGAGCCCACGACCGGCCAGGCGTGCTCCTGGAGATTCACCCGCTGTGCTGTTTCAGTGAAACAGACCTGGGATTTCCTGATGTTCCGGCTGTCTTTTTCAGGGTGAGAGAGGAGAATGTGGGGCTCCTGGAACGAAGGGAGAGCGGGTGAGTTTCGGCACATTCAGGAGCTCTTTGCACAGTTTTACCCAGGAGCCGTGAGACCCCAGCAGAAAGTAACGCAGATCTGACTGACTCCACAGGGAATGGAGGGGCCTCCGGGACTGAGGGGACCCAGAGGGGTGCAGGTACTCTGTTCACTTATTTAATCTGATTGCTGTTCCGTTGTTCTAAAGACATTTGTGGTGTTGTTTCTTTCTGTCACTTTCAAAGAAAGCTATTTAGTGTGCTACTAAATTGCAATTTTGATTGCAACTACAGTTTCACCTTCATGTGATATTGTTTCGTAGCCTAACAGTATACAGTATGCATAGTGACCTTGGTTGTAAGATGGCTCACAGTCTTGCCGCCTGTCTTAAGATCTCAGGTTCATCTCAGCTACTGAATGGCAACCCCAGTGTTCGTTGTCTTCAGGGTTCAGCAGCAGGTGACAAAGATGTCTAGTTTCGGTGCACCGGCTACATCTGCAGTATTACACCTTTTGTTTTGCAGAAGACATTTAGATTAGTTAGTTTCATTCATCAATTTGATTAAATGTGTTTTATCACCAGAAAAACTCCACTTATTCTCATACGAGTTGAGTACATTGTGATATGCTGTAAGTGTATATACAGTGTGGGCTTCTCGGTTATGTTTTAGTCTGCTGTTACAAGGAGCTATAGGCTTGGGTGTTAATGAATAGGAGAAGAAACGTAGACCCCGCTGACGTACTGCAGTATCCATCTCTGAAGTGCAAAAGGAAGAGTAAAATTCGAGGAATGGAGGCTTTGTCTTTGGTCTGCCTATGGACAGCTTCAGTTGTGTGGAGGGGAAACTGTATACATGTGAACACCCACACTGGTTTAATAAAGGATCTTTATTAGAAATTAAATACAAGTCTCAGTTGTTTCTTAGAAGTATACTAGTAATTTAACTTCACCCTCACATTCATGCACAGGCCTGAATTATATATTTTTTGGTCATGTTTCGCATGGAAATTGTTTGGTTAAAATGTAGAATTTCTTTTTTATGTGCGCATGGTAATAATTAAATATTTCTATTATATATTATATTTGGTACTGAGATCCTTAAAAGTTAAAGTGGCCCTAGTTTAAGCCTGTACCTTTCCAGATACTGTAAATGCAGTTTGTCAATTTTATAACTTATTTACTTTTTCATACCATACCATATATATTTGTACCATACATCTCATATACTGTATTAATTAGGGGGACTATGCAAATGTACTGCAGTAATATTTGAGAAAAAACAGTGCACTTCAAAAAGTGGGAGGTGTAAAGCAGTACTCTTAAATTATATATATACAGTATGCTAAAAATGTAGGCATACATTTTGGTTTAATAAAAAAGGTACTGGTCAAAACTATCACATACAGAAAATGAAATAATAAAATGAACATGAAAAGATGTATTCTGAGACTGTGCAGTGAGCCAGAGTTCTGCACTTATGGAATGTGAAATAAGGCTTATATGTAATCCAGTTTTAATCTGCATATCTAAAGCTGTGAATTGAACCTTGCAATGTATTATTTTTTCAGAAGCAGACTTTGTGCTATAGGATTAGAGCTGAAGCACAGGTGCTTAATTCTACTTTGCTTCATGATCTGAAAGCCCAAAAGCACCAGCAGCGTGTGACCATTGGCTTTTTGAAATGCTCGGACGATGAATTCTTAACGATTCCCATGCTTTGCTTTATGTGTATCATAGCATTGAAAATCTGCCCTGCACAAGGTGTCTATTCCAGTTTCCTGATGAATCATGAACTTTATAATGTTTGTCATCCTACCACTTCTAACTCACAAAACCAGACTGACCTGAAACCTGTCATGTATGAGAAAGAGTAGTGAGAAAAATAGATAGTTGGAAAAAATAACGCAAAAAGGCTTAAAATAGTAAAAAGTTAAAACCAATTGGCTCTGTCTCACCAGACCCCTGTATGTGGATAAATGGCTATTGTACTGTAAATAGATGAATAAATGCATATCATCACTTAGTTGATTTTTTCTATCAATTGTACATTTATTGCATGGAAATTGTGTTTTCTACCTGGTTTCATCCTTTATTTAGGATGTTTATTTGAAATCTCAGAATATCAAGTAGTGTCTGTACAGGCCCTCTTGGTGCTCTGTGAACCAATGATAATATTTCAGCCCAGGGAGACATACGCCTAATCCAGGAAATCTGCCTTGTTTCCCTGGATGCATAGCTACAGTAACAGGGGTCACTAAGGAGTGGTGAAGTGTCTTGATTTTGTCAAATATATCACAAGAGCTTTACAAAAGACCAAAGTCTTGCTTTTGGGGTTCCCTTAGGGTCCAACATGAACCTAGTACCTTATCACCACATTTTGAAGCTACAATGTATTTTCCAGAACACTTTATTCCTACTTTCCATTGCTGTTATGGTTTTCATTCTTGTTGCACTTTAGGGCTGAGCTATAAAACTAAAAAGGCAACAAAGAATGGAGCATAATATCAAGGGTTCATGAGAATGGATCATGAAGAGACCAGGTCATTGACATTCTTATCCCTATTTTAAGATTTAGCATCTTTGTAATATGCCTGCGCGGAACTGCGACGGGCACACAAAGACAATTCAGATAATGCACTTGAGTAATTATGGCTTTATGCATTATGGCAGCTGAGATAGAGAGAGAGGAGGCTGTATCAGGAATTGGACAAGCAGAATTTCTGGGCTGTACTGAAATCCAAGCTCACTTACAAACAAAAGGATAGTGCTGGGCTAGACAAAAGCAAAAAACAGGCAAACCACACATGAATCAGAAATCAAGTGCAAATAAAATGAACATTCATTATGCTTGAGAAATAAATTAATGAGAAGAACATGCTTTATACTGATTAAGGACATGTTTTCTTAGTCCTAAAACTATTCATGTGAGGTAAGAATAGCTGTGTTGAGCACTGGCTTTTCACTTTTGAGTCTTTATGGCTGCAGTTCATTACTTGTTATATGGATGTCTTTTGAGATAAGGGAAAAGTATATTTCTTTTCAGCAAACAGTGATAGTGATTCAGTTTCGACCAGCTGTGTTAGATGTGTGGTTTGATCACAACTGGCTGTTGCACAGTACCTTGAACTCCTCCTTCATACCTCACCTCACAGGGTATAAGTGGACCTCCTGGAGAGACTGGCCCAGAAGGAAGCCCTGGACCCAAAGTAAGGACATTCTAAGAAATGAGGATGGATCACAATGATGATTGTCAGGGGTTGTCATCAAAATGGCAGAATCTGTTCATGTTGAAATCAACAATGAGTTAGAAGAATAGATTCCAATAGATTTTCCAGCACAACTCTTTAAAATCTCACATCACAGATTATTTTAATGCGTGACACAGCAGTCCAACATCAACAGCTAATGCTGTTGCAGGGGTTTTCAGCCCAAAGTGTGTTTGCTGAATTACTTCAATATCTGTACATGATGCGAGCATAATGTATAGATATGTTTATTAGACTAAACTGAACAAGTTTAACATGGATGAATGACTAATTCTGCAAAGTTGTTTGTATTGCTAGTTTTTCCACGGCATAGAGTACAGTACCATAAAAAAATGACACAGTCTGTTTAGGCTAGCAATGGGTTTACATGCTGAGAATTAAAGCATGTTCCCATTTAAAAGATAAAGATTGACAAATGAAGCATTGCCACCTTTTGACACACTGGGACCTCTAAGGTAAAACTAGGTTGTGACTGTTAGTGATGTTTCCCAACCAGTAAGTGGCACTCTCCCCCTTGTACCAGAATCTCCAGACCTACATCTGGAGGTGGTGAACCCAGTGTGGTTGACTGGGGACACTGACATACAGCAGTTTCATTTTCTACCAAAGACATGTTTCTATTAAATGGGTGTAATACACTAGCATTGTCATTCAGGGAAAAATGGTCTCTGCCTGTAGTTTCAGTAACAACAATCTTCTATCTTTTTAGAAAATCCGTATTAACACAGAACCCTTTTTTTTTTGCATTACTGAAATTTAGAAGAGGAATTGCCTACAGTGGATCATGCACACTGGGTTGTGTTGCTGTGTTAGTGGCTGCTGTGGCTGTTGACCTTATTCTGTGGTGCAGCTAGATATAACTTGGATGCATATTTGGCATCTTGGTTGGTCTGTCTTGTATAAGAATGTTCATACAAGGAAATCTTTAAAAAGAAGACAGATTTATGGGAAGTTGGAAGATTTTCAAACACAATTGAGTCTGGGGGAACAATGAACAACTATTAGATCTTTGCGCCATAAACCACATTTCATCTTTACGAGGCACCCAAAGAATGGGTTTTTTGTGGGTTAGTAGACCCAGTTAAAGAAATAAAATTCTTCAGAAAAAAAAATCACAAAACATCTTTGTTAGAATTATATTAAAGCATTAACAGGAGGTAGTTAAAATATTATAATTTGATGACTTCCTGAAGGCTCACTCGTGTATCTGCGATAGGACAGTTGAGAAGGTCATACAATATGATATATTCTCATTTCAGCACTAAATTCTTTCCAGCTTTGCTGAGAAGTTAAACACAAGTGGTACTATGTGAAGCGCGGTTTGTATATTTAATTTAAAAAGTCCCTCTACAAATAAGGAAACACTGAAGTTTTTATGGGTATCTTTATGGGTGGACCCCACTGTCCAGCCTGTTATGCACCTCAGTTTGAGATGTATAGTATGGTGTCACTTGTTCAGTTCTGCCTGACTAGGATTCCTCAGGCTGCAGTACACAACTGGGCAAACAACTCCAGGGCTATGCCGGTCCTGAGCCAGCTCCAGCAACAGCACCTATGACTCACTGTGTGTCATGGATGTCAGAAAGGGCGAACCGTGGAATGGCAGGAGAGCGAAAATAGACCCTATGTGTAGCGGCGAGACAGGGGTTAGGCGGGGCTCCGCTGTTCAGGAAACCTATGCCCTCAGGCCATGGACAGGAGTGACCTGGTGCTAGGCATCAGTTCCAACTGATGTGGGTTCTCCCTGTGGGTGTTGTGATAAAAAAACAGGGACAGAACAGAAGTGATACACGTTTCACAGGAAATCATAGGCACTGTCCTCACCTTCTTTGGCTTGTACAATGTTGCCTATGGAAAACGTGAAGGTTTATTCCATGCTGAAAAGACAAGGAAGGTGTGATGAAGTAGGCTCTACAACTGAAACTTTGTGTCTCTTTTCTTCACTTTTCTGCCTGGAATAAACCTTTACCTGTTCCTTTGCAGCCTGCTCATGCTGACGCAGACACCTACCTGAACACGATGCCTCTGCCTGTTGTTAGTTTTGATGTGTTACTTGTAGTTTTAGTTGTTAGGTTTTTCCTGTTCATTTTTTTATTGGATGGTCAAGTTAACTTTTTATTGCACTAACAACAGTCTAGGAAAACCAGAATTTTTCACTATCAGGTAGTGTTTGTAATAAAGCCAGTGATAAAAAGTAACAAGCGGCAGAATGAAAGGGGATTAATCTCAGACTCGATGGTTTGGCCTGTATCAAGCACCTGTTCTCCTCACTCCGTTCTGTGACTGACACACCTGTCTTGTCCTTCAGGGGGATCGAGGACCGTTGGGTGCCTCGGGCCCTCCAGGGGACGCTGGCATCGGGTTTCCTGGCCCAAAGGTGACGACTTTATCGGACGGTGAAAGGAGAACAGGCACAATGGACCACCTGTTACGCAGACTGGGGGATCATACTCACATACATGGCTTTCCTACACCTGATCATAACAGTATTTAAGCCCAGTTTCAGTTTACATTTTGGCCTAGAACTGAAACTAATTGCATAAGACCTCCTGAGTGTTTCTTCTTGAATTAAAGTTTTGCTGTCTCCATGTGGCTTTCCTGTAATCGTTTGTAAAGATGCTGGTTAATTATGCTGCTGGATTTGACATAAGGAACAAGCCCTGAAAACTTAACCTCCTGAACATATATTGGATGAGGGGTACCGGGGCTCTGTCAGTACAATATCATGTCTGATGTTGATGACAAGATGAATAAATTAATGCTTAATCAATTTCAGATATTAAACAAAGTGAAAATATGTTTATTATTGTCCAGGGAATACCTGCGCTACTGTACCCCAGTCTACAGATCACCAATGTGTTCTGTGATTTACCTCGTCATTGCCTGTTTATTTTGTTATTACGCTTTAGCTCTTAGTTAACAGTCATCTAATTTTTTAAGGGAGACAAAGGCATTCAGGGAAGACCTGGCCCCACTGGTCCAGTTGGCATCGGAGAACCAGGGCTGCCAGTAAGTCTGCATTTTAATTTATGCACTTTACTATGAAGCCCTCCCCTGTTAGCTTGTTCTGGTTCATTTATATCGGTGTGTAAATTTGAATCCTTTAGAATTGCGACTTACAAGACAGGACACAATCATTTCTGAAAGTGATTATGGGGAAGACAAAGTAACACGGAAACTGGTGCAGTTTCAACACGTCGCCATCCTTAAGCTGGGTAGCCTTTCTGTCTTCAATGAGCCTCTTCAAACACCTAAAGAAACTGCAGGACTGCCTGGGTGTGACGTCATTGTCATTGTAATTGTCATTGTCATTGTCATCATGAGATACAGTGAGCAATATCCTACAAGCTGTGCTAAGATGCTTCCAAATATTAAGCTGCCTTCCACAATACATATTGTAGAATATTTCATTTTAAATTCCTACGAGACTATAGAAAGATACGTACAGTATGTGTAATTTGATCAAGTAGATGAATGATTTGCCTGCTGGAGGTTGATATTTCTTTGTGATTAGGGTCCTCCAGGTCCCCAGGGGATACAGGGAAACCAAGGTCCTCCTGGAGAAGGACTCCCAGGTCCGAAGGTAAGATGCTTGTACAGTATATCTCTCCAGATATGGGTCTTCTGCAGGAGGAAAGCATTCTGACTTAAAGGGGCGTCAGTGCAGATCTTTTAGAGTCCAGAGTTGGTGCAGCAATTGTGTTAACAAGGTGAGGTATGTACTGTATGTGATTAACCCTAACACATGAGAAATGACAGCCTAATAAGCCTGCATCTGTTATTCCTCCCAACATGTATGATTCACCTGAAATGTATGTTTCTCTGTAGCCCACATGTGGGAGTCCAGTCAAGTGGGAAAAACAGACGATGGGAAACCAGGGAATTAAACAGCAGTGTCGGAAAGCTGGGGGGAAAAATAATGATGAAAAGCTCAACTAAAAGATTACTCATCACAGACAAAGAAGGAGTAGATAATAAAAAAATGGTATACCGTGTATGTCAGAAAATCCCCCGGGACAGCTGCAGTATTTCATGATGGAAAGGTGGATGAAGGGAAGGCTTGACTTGGTTTGGGTGGCTGGGGGTGTACTGTAATGTGAAAGGGTCATAATCCTTCAGATGATGTGAAAACTGTTCTGAATTCTTATTTACTTTGAAGCGTGAGAGTTTGGGGCGATAACATGGCCAAACAAACATATTTCTCCAACAGCAAGAACTGTATGTACGCTAACGGCGTTGTTAGAGACGATCGAACCAATGTATCTATGGAAAAGGAGGAGCTGTGGCAAGCACCGGGAAACAGTCAGCGCCCCTAACTGAGGGCCAGAAGGACCGGCGTGAAGTTAGCAGGGACCACAAATAACACAAAAGGGTGAAAAATGATCCAAAAAGTATCGTAACAGCTGTGTATCGCGACCTCCAGGCTGAGATTACCTTATTTAACAGGGACCAGCCTGGGAAAAAGAAGAACCGCTAGCACAGAGGCGATCAGACTGGACTGGACTGGACTGGACTGGACTGATCCTGTTTACTCCCCATCCAGGGGTGGCTCAGCTCGTCCCTGTGGGGGGGGGTGTCCAGTGTGCCTTTACAGGACCCGTACAGCTGGGGCTCGTCCTCTGGGAGCCGGGACAGCTGTGACCTCACAGACGAGGCTCCGCCCTTCCTCCAGGGCTCCGCCTCCACACTGGGCACGCCCCCACATCAGGCCACAAAAGCAATTGAGGGAGTTTTTAATACTGGACTGGACTTTGCACTGTAGATATGTAAATCCAACATTTTTAATTAATATTCAGGTCTATATATCCATGGGGCTTTACTGATTACAGATTTTTCAGCCCTAAAACTGATAAATAGCAAAACAGCCTAAACCCCCAACTTCCTTGCACACCATTTTTATACCAAACAAAAAGTGTAATTAAACCCAAGTGAAAATGTGGAATTCAAACTTCAAACTAATATATCATAGTCACTGTGACTATTTACAGGTATTTTTAGAGACCATGTTGCACTACAATAGTCCCTTTTTAGCTTTATCTAATCTTTACACTGTTTAATTAAGCTTCAAAGGGAAAAATCATCTCCTGCTTTTATTTAGACCTCACAGACACAGGAATGAAAGCTTTTTCCTGGCCTGTAGGAGTGAATTATTGACTTTCATGTACAGTATACCTGAAGCACTAACCATTTTCTTCATTCATATCTACCAGTTAGAATTAGATTTAGAGAACCGCTGAACCCACATGCTTATAAATGAGGTGAACATGTTTGTTGTCTAAGTGGAATTTAAGTTTTGATGGATACTTGGAGTTTCTTTCCCATTCTTATTTTCTGACTTTTTCTGGGTAGTCCCATTAGGTATTTGACTATGCACTACTACACAAAACACTTTATTAACATTTTCCAATTGTGTGCATAAACACATTGAAACTTGCTTAATTTTGCCCATTTAAAGAAATTGTCAGGATTCTTTTCATTCCAACTTGGATAGAAATTTTAACCCTAACCCCTGATTGACCCTATTTCACATAGCAGTCTCATTACTTCACTGACAAGTATTTGCACATCAGGAAATTTAGAGTGTGAAATCATTACAAGTCTTTATTTAGCCTGTCCAAAATTCCAAAAAAATATCTCTCTTTTGCCTTGATAGTTCTTTTCTATACTGATCTGTTGCTCAGACACATTCATTATATTAACTTACAGTATGTAGTCCATGCTCCATGTTATTGGATAAACGTGTTTCACTATTCTGTGCTTCCTAAAGTAAAAAAAAGTAATATATTTGAGTGTTGCTATGGTAAGTTAAAATGCACTTCTGGTTAATAATACTTATAGTTTGCAGTTTTGTATTTATGTAAATCCACTGCTAAAATATGTTCTTAAGGTTATGTTAAGGCCTTAAACCAATCTTGTTACCAAGAAGGTGTAGATTTAAGAGTCCAAAATCAAAGAACTGAACATGAGGAGCACAAAAATGTCATATATCTTTGTAAGACTGCATCATTCTAACATCATGTAGCCGATCCAACATGCTTGGATTTCAGTTCAGCAACCTGATCCCTGCTCAATGTTTTTTAAGTAGAAAATTCATCTTAAATCAAAAACACTATGAACTCAAGCAGTCTGAATTTTAGCTCTGCTCTAGCGTAGAGCAGTGTCGTGTAAGGAGGAGAGTCCGATTTAGAGGCGTTCGGTTGTAATCCCAGCGATGGGAGCTTCTGACCAATGGCTCCCCAGTCATGCACAAACACTGAACGTCTGAACTTGCAGATCATCTCTTACTGAACAGGGATACCTTTGCAGTAGCTTCTCATCAATGGCAAATGGCAAAAGGCATCAACAGACTGCTCTTGCTTCTTCTTCACCTGGCGTTTCTGTACCTTGCTGGAAACCTGTAATTTCCTGTCAGATGTCCAGACCGTCCATGTCTTTCCGTTGCAGGGCGATCGGGGGTACGAGGGGCCCCGGGGCAGCCCAGGCCCGTCCGGAGCCAGCTTGAAGGGCGAGAAGGTAATGGGATGTTCGTGTCTGTCCTTCTGGGTTGCTTCCATTTCCACACCACACCTCAGACAGGTTGTGGAAGAGATGTAGAGCCCTGCGCAGCCTGGCGTGACCAGGAGCTGAAGTGGAGTTAGTGTTTTTATTCACACGCTCTAAGTGATAAGAACACCCAGCCCACACACGCTTGACCCTTGGGATGTTTGCGCTTCCATGTTGTGGCACCGTGGTCCAGCTGTTTGCACTGGGGTTGGCTCAGTGAGGGGTCACTGCCCGCGGAGCAGTAACTCAGAGTTACAGCAGTCTTATCCTGGCAGTGCTCTGTGGCATCGGCCTTTTATTTACTGTGGCTGCCCACAATGTGTCTCGTGCTACATTCTTAACTCATTTCATAAATATTACGCTTGACAAAGCACTAAAAAAAAATGTTTTTGCAGATACATCCTTGAATGCAATCCAGTTGCGTTTTCGATCTAGTTACATTGAATAGAGACATGCACAAATTAAGGTGTATTGTATGATAAGGAAGGGGTGAAGATTCATTCCATGGTGAATGGTAAAGGAACATATTTCTATTCTTCACCGTTGAAGAATGAACCTTTACCTGTCCCTTTGCAGCCTGACGCAGCTCCCTCCTTGGGCGTATTGTCTAATAACTAATATCACCGATAGTAACAGTAATATTTGGTGTCTGCAGGGCGATATAGGACCACCAGGCTTACCTGGACCAGTGGGTTTTCCAGGAATGGGGATACAAGGTGAAAAGGTGAAGTCTGCTCTCTTACAAATTCACTGTTTTAGTTCTGGAAAAATATTTCAAACTGTGAAAAATCACCCACTATAGTTATATTTAGAATAATACATTAACCATATTAAAATAATATTTGGAATTATATAGTACTTGGAAAATACAATGCTTCTCAGGCTGTGCAGTTGGAAATACATTCCTGCAAAACTATTCAATGCAGTTACACTGACATTTTGGGATTATAAACACTGCAGTCGATCTTTGTAATCCCAATATTTTTCAATATTAAATTTTAAATTTTAAAATAGGCTTCTATTCCTCGACTTCACAAGTGCTTGCACTTCACACATTTTATTGAAAGGCCTTGGGTCTTCTCTGATTTCTCTCTTCAATTCATCAATCTCTTGCCCTCCTTTTGAGAGTCTAAACATAATGCTTTCGCCATTTCCTGTGTAGAACTGTTTTCTATCAGCAAACAGACTACGGACAGTTTAATACCTGAACTGTGTAAATAACACATCTCTGCACCTACAAGGCAGACTCACTAGCTCTCCTTAAGAAGACTTTTAAAGGGTGAAGAAGGCTGTAATTTTCTACACAGGCCATCTGCACTGCTATGTGGCTAGATTAGGTAATGCTTACACCAAAGTACACATATTGAAAAGGTTAGGGAAGCTGCAAAATGAAGGAGGCCATGGGACCTATTTAGCACATTTAGTGAAGTTCTGGAAAATGTGAATAAACATACACAGTGCTACATCTGTTCCAGAATTCATGAAAGCTGTTTAAGGTGTTTAGTTCAAGTTTTGTCACTGCTGTTGATTTGACGGTGTTTGCTGAGTTTGCTGAGTTTCTCTAAAAAATGTTTCTCCTTCAGGGTAACCAAGGTCCTGCAGGGCCCCCTGGCCCCAGAGGTACCCCTGGAATAGGGTTCATGGGCCCAAAGGTACAGACTCTTACCATGTCCTCTTATCCCATGGGAATCTCAACTGAGAACTCCTTTTTTCTAAGCTCTTTTTCCTATTGAGCTGTGCAATTCATTATAAGTGTTTTGTAACTTGTCTGTTCATTGAAAACTTTCAAATGTCTGTGCTCATTTTGCCTCCTGAAATGAGTCTCCATGGCTACCCCACAAGAAATTTAGAAATGGGGACTGACTTGTGAACGTTGGAGCTGTTCCTCTGTTCCTCTTTATTCTTTAATTCTTCCTGAAATGCACTAGAGGGCGCCTCGTGCCTTCATTACTAAAACGTAGTGAACCTATTTTTTAGAATGTGTTACTGCATGGCGCCACTTTCTTTTCTGACATCCATAGTTTGCTAGGTGATGTACTAAAGTAATGACTGCAATATGCTGCAGTAAAGTGCTCTTTACTCCACAGGGTGATCAGGGCTTTCCTGGAGAGTCTGGGGTTCCAGGGGAAAGGGGCTTTGGTGAACCAGGACCTAAAGTAAGGAAGTTGTATCTTTTTTGGGATGAAAGAAAAACCAATACTTTCAATGGACTTCCCTGGATTATATATCAGTAATTCTAATATCCAGATTTACATGTTGGTATAAATTATGTTATCTGTATCTTGGCATTATATTGTGCCAAAAAAATGCATGTACCAGCTTAGGTGTGACTTTGAAGTTTGCTTTTTTTTTCACAGTCGAGAAAACTATTTTTTTTAAAACATGCTGCTCTCAGCTATGGTGATTATGGCCACATGCCAGCCACTTGTCTGAGTTAACAGTCGGAAACATGGCCTTGTGTCCAAACTTTACCCAAAACTCTGCGCTCAGATCTTTTGCCTTTCCTACTGTATGTATCACAGTTGTGTAGGCAAATGAATTCTGTGATGCGGATCACAACACAATTTACAATGAGACGTTTTTGCAATGAAACTGTGAAAGACTGTTGTTTAGTCTATTGTGGAGATCATTTGATTTCTTTCTACAATCCAGGGTGATCCTGGTCCTCCTGGGGCAGCAGGCATTCCAGGCATCCCAGGGGAGGATGGTGTTGAAGGGCCAAAGGTATTGGGTTCAATTCAGGGCATGCAGTGTGAAACACCACACACTGTTTGTACATGTAGACTGCATGGATGTGTCAGAAACATATGATGTACAGAAAACACCACCGATGACACTGCAGTAAAATTATCCATGGAAATCTGTATAAGAAATAAAAAAGCAGGAAATAAATGTCAGTGTTACTGATTAGCCAAGCTTTTTGCTGTTGCATGCTGCAACTTCGCTGCATCCCTAAGAGCAAGTAAATCTTGTCTGTAGTAATCTCAGTTTCAAATACTTTAAAGACAATGGATACCCTTCACTCTATATTACAGTCATGCTGAATATCAGTATGTTCAATTTCTATATTACAGTCAATATGAAGGGCTACATAAGGTTGTCAACACCACCTTGTAGCCAGATCTCTTCCGATCTCAGAAGCTAAGTGAGATTGGCCTGGTCAGTACTGGGGTTTTATAGTAGGTGGCGCTCTTCCCTCTGGCCCAAAACTTCCAAATCACAGCACCAGCAGGGTGACAAGGGACTTTGTGCTGAGGGCAGGTGTTAAATTGAGATATTAAATTGAGCTCCTGATTGCTTGCATATGAAAGATCATATGGCACTGTTAATAAGAGTAGGTCTTGCTCACAGTGCACTGGACTAGTACCTAGATCTGTGTTAGCTGACGTGGTGTTAATGTTGTTACAGTTAAGTAGACTCAATGTTCAAAAATAATTTAGGAAAATGTAATGGATAATTTTATTCAATGGATTGTAGACATGCAGGCCTTTTGATTTATTCAATAATGTTCGTACTAAAATAAAACTTTATTAATTTAGGGGGAGAGTGGGTTACCTGGTCCAAGAGGCCCAGACGGAGCAGCTGGAAAGGGGATTCCAGGTGAAAAGGTATTGAAACAAGTAGAAACCCCAGGCTCACTCCCTTCATAATGACGTCAGGTGTGCCGTGGATACAGAATAATCAATAGTATTGAAATAACATCACTTATTAAAATATTGAAGGAACTTCTGAACAGGGATTTATTTTACTCTACAACACAGCACAGCGACATTCATGAGAAATCATATATCAAACAAAGACACCTGCTTTCCAGCAAACTAATAAAGCAACCTGGAAAAAGAGTAGAGAATAGTTGGATGTGCACATTTTAAAGGCAAGTAGGAAGAAAAAAACAGGAACTTAATATTAAAAACTGTTTGGGCAAAGTTCTAGTACAGCGTAATAGGGTAATTATTTATCAGTTATGCTTTCCTATTATGCTGTGCAAAAGTGGTTCAGAAACATTGAAGCTGAACCAGAACAGGACTGCTGTTTGCTTAGTGGAGCTGGATAGCGCTCTCTGTGTCTAATACAAATCAGGAGTTTTATTCTGGATCCCTTAGGGAGACAAGGGGGACAGAGGTGTGCGAGGACTTCCTGGAGCTCAGGGGCAGCAGGGACCTACAGGGCCTAAGGCAAGTCAATACAACACGTTGGATGAGTTTCTGCACTGTTTTCTAAAAGTATCAGATCCTTGGGTTTCTGACTATCAGGAGGCCTCATTTTTTCTTAAGAACTAGTGCTGTCTGGGAACCCACAGTGAAATGAAGTGCTGACAGGGCCCACGTTTCTGAAGAGTGCAGCTGAAGGGAAAGTGAAACAATCACCTAGCCAGGACTCGCTTGTTGTCTCTCAGGCCACAGCCGTGAAACCTGCTCATCCAGAAGGCCAGCTTCCTGCCACAGGAGACGTCAGCACTACCAGACAGCCTAGGAACTAACACCACTGTGAAATTCTCTTCTTACACACTGGGAGACATGTCATCCTGAGCATGCTGTCCATCGTACTATTTGTTTTGACAAAATAAAAGACAATTGTGTGGCCCTGCTTTCTGAATGTATGTAAAGTTAAAGATTATTTGTGTTACTTAAATTTCAGTACTAATGTTTGCAGGACATTAGGATATTCTTTTAAAAAACAATTGATTTTTCTTAACCTCCTGTGGTCTGGCCGGGGCTGGAGCTGTTAATCCCTGGCAGTTTATTTAACCCTGGATTGTTGATGTCTTTTTAGGGAGAACCAGGAAGTATTGGACAAATTGGAATGCCTGGTCCACCTGGCCGGGGAATTCCTGGACCTAAGGTACATTTTTCCCTGTCATACTACATGAAGAATCAAAGACAACTATGTGTGAACTAATGCGTACGTGAAAAACATTTTAGCATTTTAATTTTTTAACTAAGGGATTCATTTTTTGACAGTCCTTTGGACTTGCATAATGGATGGATATTTGCCTGTTATGCCTTCTAGCACGTAGTGGTAGCAACATCCTGTCGCTGTTTCCGTAACATTAGTTTTTTACAGGGCAGAGTTGTTAGCCTTGTGCCCAACCTCCAACATTGAGAACCTGGCGCCCGACATGGGATACGAACCCACTACCCTGGGATTATGAGTCTCATGCTCTACCAACAGAGCTCGTTGGGGCCCAGCTTGCATAATACCACACCTTAAATACCTTAAAACCGTGTTTCTTGAAGCAGTCAGAAGTCATTTTCTGTTGTGTGCACTTTGTTGTGCACTTTGTTGAAATTACAGTGGGATTCCAGAGTGTATCAGACAATAAAAAGCAGTTTGCCAAGCGTGACAGATTTCCAGTTTGATATTAAGTTTGAAGTTCACAGATAAGATCACTTTATTAGCCCTATACAATTTCTTGTGTTAGGAATTTCTCTTTTCACATACCCCAGCTTGCTCTCCATGAGACACACAGACAGGGAGAGAAGCTTGGGGTCAGAGTGCAGGGTCAACCATTTATACAGCACCCCTGGAGCAGTTGGGGTTAAGGGTCTTGCTCAGGGGCCCAACGGAGCAGGATTCCTCTGCCAGCCACGGGCTATGAACCAGCAACCTTCCGGCCACAGGTGCAGATCCTGAGCCACAGAGCCACTGAAATTGGGCAGTTCATCATTTGTGATGTGAGACAGTATTTTAATTGTCTTTATCCATAGGGAGATACTGGTCCAGTGGGGCCAGCTGGACCTGTAGGAGAGACTGGAATTGGGATCACTGGGCCCAAGGTAAGCCTTGCAGGTCTGCTAATTGCTGAAACAGAATGTGTCTTTTCCCTCTGGGGACTGCAAGGCTGATTGATTTTTAAATGCATACAATTAGGGAAAATGAGTATAAAACGCCGTTGGTATGTTTATGACACCCAAAGCCAGGGAAAAGTGAGTTAATTAGATATCCGGGATGGATGGGCCAATAGACATTCAATTTGTTCTGGCTGCTTTGCATAGCGTTCCTTCATCTTGTATGTGCTTTTAAACTTGTTGGTTTCACCAATTTTTAGGGTGAAAGAGGTCTGCCTGGACCAACGGGCTCACCTGGACCTAAAGGGGAAGGCTTTCCTGGTCTTCTGGTATCGTATTCTCCATGTTCTGTCACATTTCCTGTATCACGTTTAAAAGATACCTTGTTCGTTTCCCATTCCTATACTGTATGTTAGTGTGGAGCTTGGTGTTCAGTGAAGTTGATGTATAGAATTTTGTCCCAGATCTACAAAAGACAATATATGCTTCATAGATCTACACCTTTCTATCACTAATTTGTCTTAGTGATGGTTCTTAATACTTCTTTTGACAATAGATAGATAGATACTTTATTGATCCCGTGAGGGAAATTGCAGTGCAGCAGCAGCTTAACACACACAACACAGCCACAGTGTAACGAATTATATAATAATAGTACAATACATACAATACAATACAAGAGTTACTCACAGTCCGGACACACAAAGAACAGACTAGAACAGAACAGTACACAGAAAAACGTATCACACATATGAATATAAATATAGATGTAAATATAGATATAGATATAAATATAGATATAAATGTATTGCACAGGTCCCTGGCATATATTGCACAAAAATAGAGCAATAGAGCTCTGGACTGCACTTAATGATAAGTTTGTTGTATATAGCAAACAATGTGTGATAGCAAACAATAAAAAGTAAATGTTGGTTTCAGGTGATCATTAGAAAACATACAGTACATTTCAGATTATCATTATCATGAGAACTAATAAAGATAGCAGCAGTCGTTAATTCGGCGCCTTTTCACAACAACATTGAGTTCATGATCAAAGGTAAATCAGACGATTTAAACAAACCCGTGTCACTTAATTCAATGCAAATGACCCCAGATTCATGTTAAAGATTTAATTCCTCATTAGATCCCAGTGGTTCCTATATCTGTAATGTAAAGTATCCAATATACATCTTTATAAGATCAGTGGTGTTATTTTGATGTGTAAAAAAGATCCATGTCCAGCAATTCTCTTGTTTGTCAGCTAAGTAGTCTTGTATAATGTTTTCAATTACAGCTTTATATTCAGCAGCACAACAGAGATTCTCCTTCTAACAGTGATATATCATTGTTGAAAGGTCTGTGAACAGTAATATATGATCCAAAACCAACTTCATGCTGAAAGTAGGATCACACTTTCCCCCTTCCCTTACCAACAGACTTGTCTTCTTCTGATCCTCTCTATTCATTTGCAGGCATTTACTTCACACCTCTCTTCAAGTGCTCCCTGAGTGTTGATACTCCTTTCCTGCTCCGCACCTCCTCTCAACTTCCCTCTCTTTTGTTTTCCCCTGCTTTATTAACTCTCTGCCTCACACCTGAAGAAGGCCCCTCGGCCTAAACCTTGAGTCCCTTTTCTTTTCCTTTCAGTGTGGAATAAACCTTTACCTGTTCCTTTGCATGTCTGATTGTTGTACACATTATTCAAGTACAATTAGTAATACATTCCACCCCCTAAAAAAATTAAATCCATGGTTTTATGGTAATACACATGCCATTTACACTGGATGTGTTCCTCTGACCTGCCAGTTGCAGATCAGGGCTTGAGAACTATGTATTGCTGAACATAAAGTTACACCTGACAGTAAAAATCAAGCCTACTCTGTTTTGATTTATTACAAGTGAAGCTGCACACGGACTCTGATTCCTCTCTCCTCCACCAGCTCTGCTGTGTGGTGGGATTGCTGGCGCAGAAGGGCTTTTATATGTCACCCATAGCTGGGTTCCCTCCATAGCTTAAAGCCTTTTGGGATCCTTCGGGGTGAAAAGATCTATATAAGTCCAGAGAGGCTATCTTTCTCCCCCTCTCAGAATGAACTTTTTGTATTAAGTTCTCCCAGGAAGATACAAGCGGCATTCAGAATAATTCCTCAAGGGACTTAGGAGCAGATTCTTGGAAAATTGCATGCAATAAGCAGCAAACATAATACTCACAGTTATAAACAGCTGGAAAATGCCATTTTTATTTAGAATTTTTTTTAACACATCAACACAGAAGTTAGGAAATGGAACTGGACCTAAGCCTGGGAACCCCTCCCCCCTTATTCTTCACAACACACACAAACCATCACCCCACACTCCCACCTTGAGCTTCCAGGGCAATATCAGAAGAACCATAGAAGAACACAACTATTTAAAAATAAAATATGACTTTATTAGTTTCCTGATCACTGATAGATAGCAGGGAGTCTGGTAACCATTATTTTTGTTGTTACTTTAGAAAAGGCTCAAATGTCATTGAAAAAGACCGTTTTACTTCATAAGGAAGAATGTTTGTACAAGCTCTGAGCAGGCACTTGGCTCACAGGAAGAGCAAGGCAGGCTGTGATGTTGGGAAGCATTTAGGAATTTCCTGTCATTGTATACAGGGTCCCCGAGGGCCACCAGGAACTCCAGGAGAAATAGGCCCAGAAGGAAAAGGATTGCCAGGAGCCAAGGTACACTTTTCAATAGCATTCCTTCATTCCGTTTCTTTCTCCACAAAAGTCAGTACAGCGAATGTATACTGTAAATGAAGTTAAAACTAAAACTAAGAGTGATACAACAGCATCTATCATCCTTGCACTGTTGGGTGAATGTAAGAGTCTTGGGCTAGTACTCTATGATCCTTCAAAAAGCAGCTGGACGAGTTTCTTGCACCAGTCAGTCAATGGCTTCTTACGTTGTTGAGTTCTGAAAATCCTTCTGTTGTTTCAGGGTGACCGTGGCTCTCCAGGTCTTCCAGGACCATCTGGACCACCAGGAATTGGACAAATAGGACCAAAGGTTTGAAATCTTCCTCCATAATGAAAATAGTAGTGTTGCTTCTTTACACTGGACAATACACATAATGCCACCCAGCACCGACTGAGAAAAATAGTGCAATAGGAATTGTGAAAGGGCATTGCCGACTTGGAGCCTGGAGTTGACATTGAAAAGTTATGCAAACCAGCTTCAAGTCATTGCCTTGAATACTATGCAAGCTTGGTATTGGCAGAAATGCTGGGATGGAAGATCTCTGAAGGAGACCAAGCTTCTGCAGCAGATGGTTTTGTTGAACCATTAAAGCAGTGTGATGTGAATGGGGGTACTGTGTGGTTGGAAGAGCCAGTATGAGATGCTAAACTGAGGTCCTGAAAGATGCCACAACTCTGCTTGTAAGAGAAGGGGTGTTAAACTCGATGTCCTAGTTACATTCCACTCGGGGCTTACGTCAGTGACGTTCTCCACCTCATCAGCGAGGTAGTGGGGTTGCTGACACAGAAGAGCTGCCGCATGTTGCCCAGGTGGGCGCAGAACTTCACTGGTGTATTGACTGGCTCTTCTTGTTGTTGTTTGTGTCTCAACACAGGGCTCTGTTGGCCAGCCTGGTCTCCCCGGTCTTCAGGGTATACCTGGAGAGGGCATTCAAGGGCCCAAGGTACTGGACAGTGTCATCAGCTGCACGCCCACTCTGCTATGGCTGTGGTCAGCTGCAGTGATCGTGTAGTCCTCAGTGTAGTCCTCATTTACCATGGAGTGACCCCTGTGCCAGGAAGAACAACCCCCAAGTATGTTTCCTGGGTGTGAGGCGTGGGAAGATGAGGCTTCACACACTTGGCTGAGGGCTAAGCCCCTAGCTCGGGGACAGGGAAGCCAGGGCAGAGTGAAGAGCGAGTCAAGGGGGAGCCATGCTCGTGGCGATGGCGGGGAAGAAGGGTGCAGGAAGACTGGGAGGAAGAAAGAGAGGCTCGCTGTGGGGTTTATAGGTGTTAGGAAGTGATGTGGAAATTATGACATGTCAGGGCATCCTAGCTGCTGTCGGCCCTGTTTTTCGTTTTTATCTTTAAAATTACAACAGTGGGAATTTGGATCATTTCTTTCCCCAGTGCGAAACGTCGAATTAATTTCAGGCACGGGCAACTCCGGCATTGCGGTTCTGACCACGGTCTGATTTCTTCTTTTCATGTGCAGTGCACGTGCAGTGCAGTTTCGCCAGAAAATAGTATATATATACACTCTAATAACAAAATAAATTAAAAATATATTTAAGCTGGCAAACTTATGTTTTAAAAACACAAACTCGAGGTCCTAAACAGCTAGAAAACGCCATGTTTATTTAGAATTTTTTAACTAACACCAACACAGAACTGCAAAAAAAGGTGGGATTTTGTGCTGGCAAGGCTGGTATCTTACAAGAACAGATGAGTTTTCTTGGGTAAGGAATATACTTATAGGCTTTGAAGATTTTCAGGAAGAAGTCATTTTCACATGACCAGACAACTGTGTGTTTTCTTTGCCCATGTGGTCGTTTTTAATGTTGCGCCCATTGAACTGGTTGCAGGGTGAACCGGGATTCCAGGGATCACCGGGCCCCAGGGGCCCTCCAGGAGAAGGCCTGCCTGGAGAAAAGGTAACCAGTCCTGACTCTTGTGAAGTGCGTAGTTTAGGACCCTGTGCAGACGGTATAATCTGGAAGTGACTGGAGTAGGGCTACGGGGAAAACGCGGTGAGGAAAGGAAGGGATGGCGAACAGGGGTGGTGCCGACGGTGATCCAGGTGCATGGAGGGGAGCGCAGGAGAACGAGTCCAAAAAGGGAAGTCCAAAGTGGGAAACTAGGGTGCAGTCCAGGGTCCAGCCACCAGGAGATCCACCCAAAGAGCAAGGTTAAAACCAGGATAGGAACAGGAACCAGGAGATTAAAAACAGGATGACAAGGCCAGGCGCTCCGAGCCCCGGACTCAGCTGGTTGGGACACTGTGACAAAGCCTATGCCGTCAGGCTTCTCCTGGACCTGCTGGTAGGCGGGCTTCTGGGCAGGTCCGTCTTCCGCTGCAGAGTCCTGAGCTCCCGGAGCACTGGGTTTAATTAATAACCAGGAAACAACGAACAGGTGTACGTAATAAACTAGAAACAATACAAAAACGGTAGGAGCGCCGTCTAGAAGAGGGAGACAACCGTGACAACTTTCGACACACAGAAGCTGTGCGCTGTGAATATCCGTTCTCTTTTCCCACTCAGAAGTGAGGGGCCCAGGTTTCCCATATTGTCATTGCCCTAATGTCCTAACGTCCTAATCCTAATGTCTGGATTGTTCGTCCACAGGGAACAGGAAGAACAGAAATCTCTTGTTCTCGGCTGTAGTGCCTTGTGCTGGCACAGAACACCCACTGTGCTCTTCCTCTAAAGCTGACCCCCTGACTGTGTACCTAATAATGTGATCACAGCATCAACAATTGTGATCCAAAATGAAATTAGGCTTACATGTTATGTTAACAGTTATGGCTAAAGAGCACCAGGAAGGAGAGGAAATGTATTCACCTCTAGCACCTCTAGCATTAATTACTGCCCTAATTAATCATAAATCATTCTTTGGAAAATTGCATTCCCTGATTACATTTAGAGAAACATGCCACATTAAACCAGTACCATCTATAACATTTTGATCCCTCTGTTACTTTCCGCATGTGTCCGTGGAACATTGCAGGGAGATCGAGGCTTTCCGGGTGATCGAGGGAGGAAAGGAGACAAAGGAGAGTTTGGAGGACCTGGATCACCAGGGTCACCTGTATGATATTTCACTTTTACATGTGCATGAATTTCCAGTGCCAATCCTAAACAACACTCAGGCCTGTTCGAATGGATTGAAGTATAGAAATGAAGCAAAATGAAACCAAAAGGCATTTTTACAAAGCCACGCAGATTTTATGATCCATTTGAACAAATGCAAGCCACCAGACAGCAATGTTTAAGCAGAATATCTTAGTGGTAGGCTGGTAAAGATTAATTAAAATAAATCTGTGAATATGAACTATTCTGTTTAGGAATATCTGCTGAAAGGCAGATGTGCCCTCAGTTGTTATGCCAAAAACTTTTTTTGTCATACCAAGCACTGCTCCAGCAACAAACTCGTTATTGCTCTTGTGTGATGTTGCTCACTTGCTTTCTGCTTGAAATAACACAGCATTATTTATGTACTCAGTTGGCTATTTGTTATTAAGCTTAGACTGTTGAATTTTCATTATATATCCCAATGATCATTCTTTTGTATTACAGGGGAGAATAGGGCAAAAGGGAGATCCTGGCCTAACTGTGAGTAAAATTAAAATACGTATTTGTGTGTAGATCAATCCAGATACATGAGTCTATGAGCTAATGCTCTTTAACTTAAGATAAAAATTGATGAGATGGGAATATAGCTGTACTTATCTATTGCAATCGTAAAGAACCCTCGAAGGTATTTTCCAAGATCAAACAAATTGGAAAAGGCCTGAAAAAAATGAGATCTATTTCCATTATTAGCATATATAGGAGAGTTTTCTTTCATGCTTTTAGATGGCATAAATCCACTCAACCATTTTAGCAAAGTGCTTAGACAGCATACATTTAAAATAAATATATTTATTGATAAATAATGATAAGTAATAATAATATCTTCATTGTCTATAAAAAAATCTCTTACAGTACAAATAGATGTGAAAATGTCTGTTAACAAAACTGCATGTTGTAAAAAGGTTAGTTCAGAGTTAATGCTGTCATATTATTCAGAAATTAGAGAGAGACAGATGTACAGTATTTCAGGGTTAGTAGATCTTTGTTAAATCTTTGATCTTTGTTAAACATCTCAAACCTGTCACAAACAAGAAGAGCTTGTTATGTAGGTTCCACCTGCAAAGAATGAAGAAATGTTTTGTGGAGGTACAGTAATTTACGGTAGGTTTGTAGTTAAGCCCTTTATGAATATTAACATCTGGCAGTTCATGTGAGAATGTCACACAGATAGAATCTCTCTGATATGAAAAAATAGATAAGCTGAAGTTCCGGGTAATTACAGCGACACCAAGATTTGTTAAGAACCAGGAAACTGCATCTTGAGCAGCTGAAATCAGCAAGCCCATAAAGAGGTCATCTGGGGAAAAGCCTCTCCGCTAGCTTGCCAGTTAACATCATCATGCGAGAAGAATGATAGAATCGCATGATGAGGAAAGAAAGGACTTTATATTCTCACAACCATCCTCCGTGTGTGTGGATCAATGCAGAAAGAGTAAGGGCAGCCCCATGCCTGGTCTTTCTCCATACGCCTCTGGGCCCTGAGACTGTCAGACGAGTACGTTCAGCCTTGGAAAGTCCTGCTTTACGGTGGAAAAAGAGATTTCCAGAATAATTCCCAATGAATTAATCTATCCACCATTTCTTCCCTTTTAATTTTAGAGAGAAGAAGTTATTAAAATAATCAGAGAAATCTGTGGTAAGAACTTTATATATATTATACTATACTTCTGCTAAGCACATACAGTCACCAAAGAGTTTATCTATTTAGTTAAGCAGTCAAATATTGTTCTTCAAATGAAAATCAGTTGGTTATGAAGACTGACAATACTCAAAAGTCAGCATTTTTTGCTTTTACTGTTCTTTTAGTCACTTCTTTATCTTATTTAATAAAATATTTTTATGAGCATTGCAACAAAACGTAAATGGCAAAAATGATAATTGCAACCTTTTGAAACATTTTCTGCATCATTAACCTTTGAAAACACACATTTGTAACAAACAACGACAATCATTGTATCCATTTATGTTTTATGTAGAAAATATGTACAGTGCTAAAGAAATTGTTTTTGTATCATTAGTTCATCTTTCTCTGAAAAAGACATTTTGTTTGCTATTTCAATGTGATTGAATAGCTTATTGCCAATTTAATTTAATTTCAACAATATAACTTGAACACCAGAGCGAAATTTTGTTAATTGTCAAAAATGGCAGCATTCAAATATTTAAAAGATCCTCATTCGTAAAAGGGTTTTGACATTAACATAACTGAGAAGGAGTTCCTTGCAAATTAAAATGTGAGTGTTTGATTGTTTACACTTTTCGAGACCAGTGACACCCATTGCTGCTCTCCCCTTCCCACAGATTGTCCAGGTAACTTAAAATTCTTGAAAACCAAAGACCTGGAAGCTGGGTAATTTGGGCCTTTCGAATCAGTAATCAGTTCTATAGAGCTCTTAAGAGATGAGAGACAATGAAAACCAGACCCTGTGATCGTTCAATGGGAGCAAGAATGCGTTTCATGGCTGTAGATCTTGATAGCGATCAGGTTGTAGATCTGAACTCTCTCGTTTTTTTGTCGTTTGCGCTACTTTCTTTAGGGTGTGGCGTGAAATGCAGGGAAAGCCCACTGGAGCTTGTCTTTGTGATCGACAGTTCGGAAAGCGTCGGGCCAGACAACTTCAACGTGGTCAAAGATTTTGTCAACGCCCTGATTGACCGAGTCTCTGTGAGTCGAGATGCCTCGCGCATCGGTGTGGTCCTGTACAGTCACATCAACGTCGTAGTGGCCAGCTTACACCAGCAGTTAAGCCAGGAGGAGGTGAAGGCTGCAGTGCGCAAAATGACCTATCTTGGGGAGGGCACATACACGGGGAGTGCCATCAAACAGGCAAATCAGATCTTCCAGGCTTCCAGGCCAGGAGTGAGGAAAGTCGCGATAGTCATAACTGACGGACAGGCCGACAAGCGCGACTCGGTGAAACTGGAGGTGGTGGTGAGGGAGTCTCACGCCACCAACATCGAGATGTTCGTGATCGGAGTCGTGAACAAGAGCGACACCTTATACCAGGAGTTCAAGAATGAGATGAACGTCATTGCCTCTGATCCGGATGAGGAACATGTCTACCTCATTGATGACTTCATGACCCTTCCTGGTAAGTGCTTCATTTTCAGATGAGCAAGAAAGTTATTTTTCCCCTTTCCCATGTCCAGATTAGTTTGAAAATTACTGGTGTCCACATATTCATCATTTAAAAGAACTGTGATGTACTTCATTCCACAGAAAGGACTAATGTATTATAGGAACATTACAAACAGCTTTTGACGACAAACCTTGAACATCTTTTAGCCTTTTCTGTGTGATGTTCAATTATCAGAAACAAATGATGACAAGGAAATCAACCTCAGATTATTCTTACAATGCTCTCCTTGTATTATTTGCTGAAAGTACATGCACATGCAATATAGTCTCAGTTTATGTAGCACTCCATGTAGCAACAAGCTAATGATTTTTGAGGTATTTCCACAGGAATTTGCCAAATTGGAAATCTGTTTTTTAATTTCTTGTTTTCTTTCATCTGTCTATTAAGTTTGAGGCTTTTTGGGTGTATTTTTATGAGACAAGATCAGGGCTATGCCCATCAATATGAATAAAACTATGACATGTGATCTCTACTAAGTGGTTTTGTGACATCTAATGCAGTTTGCAACGGCATATTGGCTCATTCCAGCTTGAAGCACACTAAGTGCTGAATTGCGTTTATCAATGAATGACTGTGTTATCGCTGTGAATTCCACAGAGACTTTCTAGTTAATCTGTTGCATATGTCTTCTTAAATGCTGCACACATATAACGCACATATTCTGATTCATAAAAGAAGCCTAGTTCTCTGCAGGGATTGGTGCAGAGAACCGTTGTGAATATATAGCCAAATATAACCAAGTCTGCCCCTCTATTGTGGTATATTGTGGTATATACTGTAGTATAATGTACTACAGTATATAGTAGGTACTGTATGGTTAAAAGACATTAATAACCCTCCCTTATATAAGATAAGATCACTTTATTAGCCATATACAGTTTCTCGCATTAGGAAGTTGTCTTTTCTCATACCCCAGCTTGCTCTCCATGAGACACACAGACAGGGGGAGAAGCTGGGGGTCAGAGCGCAGGGTCGGCCGTTTATATGATGCCCCTGGAGCAGTTGGGGTTAAGGGACTTGCTCAGGAGCCCAATGGAGTAGGATTCCTCTGCTAGCCACGGGACTTGAACCAGCAACCTTCCAGCTAAAAAGCACAGATCCTTAGCCACAGAGCCACCGCTCTGCCCCATTATATGATAATTAAAGTACAGTACTAATGCATTGGCTTTAGGTTTAGTTAAAAATAATAAAATAAAATAAACAACAGTAAATCACAGACTTATAGTATTAAGCTAAAATAAACAACGTAAATCACTGCTCTACACCCAGCAGATTACATTAGTTAGGGCACATTAGTTATGAATAGGTTAATTTTTAAGGCAGTGAACTCTCATTAGGAAATATTGTCCCCCAGTGCCTTTATAGACTTTATAGAAAAATTGTTTCTGGTTAGAGGTGCCAAAATATGACTAAGCTAGGGGTTTAACTAAAGAACAGTGGGCAGTATTGTCCATATCCCTCTCTCTGTATATTGGATTCTTCCACATCTTTGAGCTATAGTGTATAAACACAATTTTGAATCTCGCATAGTTTTAAAATGTTGCTGTATATTTAATATCCATATTTGCTATAGTTTCATGTTGTGTTGTTTTCAAGCACTTTGAAGATGCCTTGACTGCGAATTGCATAGACACAATGCTAATGCAGCATCACAAGAAGTTCTTCTATTAACCTTGTGAATTTTTCAGCTCTGGAAAGTAAGCTGCTGAGCAGAATCTGCGAAAGTGAAGATGGTTCTCTGTTTAGTCCGATTCCCAGCTCTATTCTTCCCCCTGGAATCGCCACTACTTCCGAGGTCTTCAGAGAGACAGAAAGAACAGACACTCCTCGTTTCAATGGAGACTACAACAGGGTATATAAGGAGGTACTATAAATACAATACATGTAACCTTGTCCTTGACTCGAATTTCCAAGCTTTATTTTTGTGCAATCCTTTAAACTTTAGATCTTTCATAACTTATAGATGTTAGCAAAACCACTGCCAGAAGGCAAAGAGCTCCTTTTGTATTTTACTTTTTCTTTAATTGAATTAATAGGAACAGATTGTGCAGTCTTGGTGTGCAGTTGTGTTATATCTGTGTATGAAGGTATGAAGTTGGGGCTGGGGGGCTGTAAATCCAGGAGCCAGCATGGCCTTTAGTATTATTGTAATTATTTTCACAGCCGGCACCGCCTGGAAAATCAGTGTTAACCACTGCTCCTGAGGGTCCTGGTCCTGTTAATGCTTCCAGAACGGAGCAGATTCATTCCAGAAAGGAGCTTCCTGTCCCATCGTTTGACAGCGAAACTTCCATCGCCGCTGCATCCGGCCCTCACACGCCCACACAGAAGCCATATTCCCCGGAGACAGGATGGCTCCCCGCCCCTCCGCCTCTGCCACTGGAACGGGAATCCTTCCTGTCAGGTAATCACTCGCATGGGACATTTTGTCCCATAACATGTCTCCAGTTTTTCGCACTGAACTGTGAATACACAGAAATAAATCTGGGATCTCTAGTTGGTTTCCCACACTAAGTAATGCAAACGCAATAAACTCTTCGCCGGTTCAAGCTAGGGGTTTCTGATTGATTTTGTATTATCAGGAATATAGGGGGTCATGTTCCATTACTGTATCATGATTCCAATACTTATCTTAATAATCAATAACCTAGACCCCCATTACTTTCATAATACCTGCACTCGTATCTGACATACTGTAAAAAATAAGTAATTCAGATGTTATTACATATATGACAAATGTTCCTCGCCAACCTCTACAGATGTACGGCAACTGCACCTCGTCTGACCGTAAGGCACTGCAGCGGGTGGTCAAAACTGCCCAACACATCATCGGCAGTGCCTTACCCTCCTTACTCACCCCAGTCATAACTTGTTTGTCCCCCTACCATTTGGTAGAAGGTTCTGGACCCTCCAGTCGCACACAACTAGACTCCAAAATAGGTTCCTCCACAGAGCCATCAAGCTGGTGACGCCCCCACTCCCTCCCATCATACTATGAGCTCTCCTCACTTCTTCTTGTATCCACAATGACTGTACTCCTACACCACTACATACACGACAACTGAATGTAAGCCGAAATTGTACTAGTTGTACTATTAATTAATCACCATATTATTTTTGCACTGTTCACCGAATTACTTTTGCACTGTTTTTGTCCTGTTTGTAAACTTTTCTCTGCTTGCATATTTGCACAGTTTTTGCACTGGCACTATACTGTTGTTTACACTGTTTTTGTAATTCTGTTTATTGTCTTGTCTGCTGTTCTATTTATATACTGCACCTGAGAGACTAATGAGAAACACTTTTCACTATACTATGCACCTGTGTAAGTATAATGACACATAAAGTGAATTGGTTGTATAGTAGAGATGGAAAAGTCAGGGTAATTGGCAAAATGGATTGGCTAACAAGTACAAATGAAATATACTTTTTATGTTCAGGTGGGTAGCTGCGTCAGCATGCGTAGGCTGCAAAGGAGCCTACTTTTTATGTGTTTGTTTTCTCACTGTGAAGGGGGATTGTTTCAGGAATGAGTCATTCCAGACTGACTTGGTGAACACACACACCGTAGCTCCACAGAAACACACAGACACACACACCTCTAATTGACCGCTGATTCTCTCCATAATTACTCACAGTAAATTCCAAAGCGAAAAAGCTTCCAAGGTAATACATTTCATCTTAACAACGGCTAAAAAACTGGAATCATACATTGGACATTGAACCTATTAGTGAATATACAGTATGTATTTTTGAAAATTCCTGATTTTGGTCTTATAATGGCTCTCTTTTGTGTGCGTTGTCTTAGGCAAATCAATTCTTTTTCACAGGATTAGGATGTATGGACATCTAATACAAACATACATAAAAACACATTTGACAACTTTTCAAGTAATAACCTAGGAATAATGAAGTTTAAATGTACTGTATAAATAAATTACTTTATTACATTTCTCCTCATTTCTCAAGCCTGTACAGAGGGAACTGGAGCATTAAAGAATTAGAATGTGCAAAAGATTGTTATGCACTTGTCTTTAAACAGAATAACAGACTATGTATTTTGTCTTTGTGGTTTATAAAATGGCTTCTCTGTCTGACACACAGCTGCCTTGGGGAGGAACATAAGAACATTTGCAAACAAGAGAGCTGCCATCTAGTTTGTTTTTTAGTACCTAAGAACAATTAGAAACCAGAGGAGCCTGTCTACTCCATTTGGTAGTAAATAGTAAAGAAAAAAGAGGCAATAAAAAAATATAAATATCTCCTGGGTTCAGAACAGCAGCCAGAATGTTGCTGGAGGGCTGGCGAAACACACAAAACTCACTCACTGATTTTTCTGACTTTCAGATAGAGGATGCGATGAACATTTGGACCCAGGACCATGCAGGGAGTATGTGGTCAAATGGTACTACGACTCTACAGCCAATGCTTGTGCCCAGTTCTGGTACGGAGGTTGTCAAGGCAACAGGAACCGGTTTGATACAGAAGACAGCTGTAGAAATACATGTGTGAGAAGATAAAGGGTAAGTGAATGTAAACATTAACTGACTTAACTGGCTTTATGACCAGATTCCCTGGTAACATGATACTTCACTGATAAATAAACTGCTTATTGATCTTTCCAGGACCAAGGTCTGCTAAATTCAGATCAGAAAGAAACAATAACCATGTTTTTTTAGCCTATGTTTTAAAAAAAATCCGATTTCGTGCTCCATCATCTACTCATGCGTTGTAATTGTTTATTTTTCCACAGCTAAAGCAAATGGAATGATCTCCAGACCTTCATCACCCAAGAGGTGAACAGCTCTAACATTAAAAAAATATATTATTTTTTATTTGCTCATCTGTAAAAGATTCTGAGGAAATCAGAAAAAAAGTTCTCATTGTTTAATTTAACAAGAAATATCTTATAAGGAAGCCAAGCAGTTTCCTGTTTTCTGTGATCTGTTTTTTATGTAGTTGCTATCATCTTGGGGTTTACACAAATAATTATAATCAGAAGTGGGAAGGAAATATTCTTGACAATATTAGAGCTTTGAGGAAGACTATGGATGGCCCAAGGATGGCAAGTAAGACATCTGAAGAAGATGCCACTGCTAAATCAAGGTGTAATTTCTTCTCTCCTTTCACTTTTCAGTGTGGAGTTAACCTCTGCTTGTTCCCAATAAGCGGGCATCATCTATTACAGAATCCTGGTCACATGCATACATAAATATGATAACAGTATGTAGTCACATTAAACACCATTATTCAGAGATTCCTTAATTGTAGTCTTGCCTGGACCTTCAAAGATGATAGGTCATTTTAATCTGTAACACTTTGTGTACTTTGTGTAACAAAGTATACTTTGAGTAAGATCTTGTAACATTAAAATAACTGTTACAAGATTTTAAGAAACAGGATTTATTGTTACACCGAAGCAATGTCAATGGTTTAAGATAAGCCTACAAATTTGCAGTTTCACATTGAAAACACAACACGCCTTCACTTTTGACCTCACTCATGCACTCCAATGATTTGCAATTAAACAAATACAGCAGGAACACTTCTCCATGTGACTGGGCACACAGGACTTATGCAAACAGTAGGTTTCACAGATATGTTAAAAGTGCTCTCCTCCCAACCTGTTTGGCCAGATTATTCTTCCTCTGCGCTCATTGTCAGAGATGTTTCAGATTTTATTACCTACTTACAGTAGTTTTCCTGTCCTACAGCACTTTTACACCCTGCTGATACAACACACTGTAGGAATTTAGGCCTAAAAATTAAAAAACTCCTTCTTTTCAGGTTAGTTAGGGAAAGTAAACTGTATCTTAGTTTAGATTTCTGACCTGAAAACATTATAAAACAGTATTTAAATATTCATAATAGAAGACCCATGCCATTTAAACACATGCTAGATCCTGATGCAGCAGGAATTGGGAATTGGGTCAGACAGGTTAAAGGGACCAAGTAGCATGATAAGTGACGTAATAGGGTTTTAAGAGGAGAGAAGAGAGAAAGGCACCTGCACAGATTTCATTATTGTTGTGCTTCATTTCAGACTGACCTACATTTGATACTCTGTGGTGTTAATTATGGTTTAATTGGTTTTTCAAAGGACAGTTTTGTGGTGAAAGTTGAACATTATCACAGACCATAACCCTACAAAAGCAACTGACAAAAACTAGAACTAGAACTATTTTAAAAAAAAGAACATTTTCCACAGTTTTAAACAGGTAAAAATCAGAAACTCCAACAGTGAAATTCTCCTCAAAGTAGCTCGTGTGAATGGAAAGATTTACAGAAAATATATCTTGTGTTTTTACTACATTTTCATCTTAGTTGCACTGCAAATACAGTGCTGGGAACCTGCATTCTTTACCGATAGCTCAGGGTCATGCTGCTGTTTTGTTTGTGGTGCTTCATTGTAGGTATTATTCCTATAAAAACAGACATAACCACAAAAATGTGGGCTGTGTTCAGAGTGAAAAAAGGAAGAGAGTATAGTTGAATGAATGCCATACAAAAGATATAATACTCAATGTTCAATACTGTTGGTTTTAACTTACTGTGCCAAGCTGACTAAATTCCTTTATATTTAACCATCAAAGAAAGTTTGGCATATTGATTTATTTATAATGGACAAGTTTTAACTACCATACCTGAAGACTTTTTCGTACTTCAAATGGAAGTGTGAAAACCAATAAAAGATTTGAAACAATTCGATACAAACCTGCGTTCCTCTGAAGACATACGCTCTCTCCATTATGCATTAATAAAGCGCATAAGAAGATGACACAGTACCTAACCGGAAGGTTAACATTTATGTTTAAAGAACACGTGACACACAAGAACACAGTATGTTCCAACACAAAGACATCGAGGAATCGCCAAAACATACACACACAACAGCAGCAGCAAGAAGTTAAATACCATCAAGCTTAAAAAGAAGTCAGATGAGCAGTGTTGTATGGGGAGTTGATGTTGTTGACTGTACAATTCCCGTCGGAGGGGCTGGTGCTCTGTAGGTCACTCAGTTGCTCTGGCTAGTGGGCAGCAGTGACGCTTACAGGATGTGCAGGTCCTCATTCTATCAATGTGGGTAAAGGCAACGGAGCTGGACAGCCCAGTCTTAAAAACAGATCCTCATCGATCAATGTGGGCAAAGTAATTGTCGCTGGAAAGCCATGTCAGAAATTAAATGTGTGCAAGCTACGAACATAGTGAGTATTATCAAAAAGTAACTGGTGATATATATTTTTTTTTTGTTTTAGAAAAAAAGACTAACCAGCATCAACAATTTTAACATTACCAAATTATTTATTTTTTTTAAAACAAAAATTTTAACTATACATATGATATTATATGAAATACACTTTGACTATAAAGTGGAAGTTTTCATATCTGTAATTATTTCTCCTGTATTATTCCATCATACAGATATTCAGCATCTCAGTATTTATCCATCCATCCCTTATGAAAAAGCTGCTTATTCCTGGCAAGCTCCACATCCTGTATAGAAGTAGAGAAGGTGGCCTATACTGTGCACCCTGAATCTGATGCCATCCACATTGTACACAGGGCATTTCACTTTAATAAAGCTCCTAGGAAGCAACTCTTTAATAAAGCAATTCTGTTGCCTTTTATCTTTGCTCTTGCCTGTTTGAAAGTGAAAAGGCTCTAAAAAGGGGGTTTCTCATTTCCACAGTACTGCACCTGATAGAGCAGTGGTCCTTAACTTGGGGTGCAAGATGTGCCAGAATTTTAAGAAGGTACGTCATGAAAAACACAAATTACTGCAATGATTTTTGACAAGGGGTGCAAGAAGACACTCTTGAGAATCAAAGAGAAGCAGGTTAAGAACCACAGAACTGAACCTGTGATCCTCTTGTCCGAAGTCCAGAGTCCCAGTCGCTCGTCCTCACTGATGCCTAAACCAGCCTCATTAAAGTTTTATTTACAGCTATACAAATAAATACGTAGCCATAGAGGTCAGGTATTGCACAATAAAGACAATAAAAATAGTATTTCTTTAAATAAATCAACTTGACATAAAAATTGACATTTTATTAAATTGAGCTGTCGAAAAGGTTCAGGGATGTTCATCACACAGAATTCCACTTGCTTTCCTTCACGTGACTGAGAGGGTCTCTCCTATTGGCTGATTGCCTGAGCATGGACCAAGATGCATCTGGTTACCTTTTAATGCCAGGCAATCAAATTACTCCAATGAGGAAATACTCTACCTTCAGTGCTACCCTATCAATACCTCTTCTTGTAAAAGTGTACTAGACAACTAGGACTGATGCATAAGATTTTAACAACACTGTCTGCATGATGTGAACATTTTATGCATTTTTAACAAAATTTGTGTAATTTTATTAAGCTTTATTGTAAGTATATTTATCTGGGCCGCATCTGCTCTTTCATCTTGAGCAAACGTGACGCACAGCCAGTGTTCCTGCCCTGGTGAGGTAATTGCATTATATCAGAGAGAACGCCTGGGCGCATTCATTCATTTTCAGAAACTGTTTAGTTCAATGATCACAGTGACAGGCAGGAAACACTCTGGATGGGATACCAGTCCATTACAGGATAGAGATGCCCGTAGGTATGTCTTTCATCAGAGGGAGGCAGCCATGGGGAGAACATGCAAACGTCACACAGAAGACAACCCAGCAACCCTGAACCCTGAAGCTGTGAGGAACCAGCACTAACTGGTCGTCACACCACCACACCAAACCTGAAAGCACTCTTGCTTTTAAACCACAATTAGTCAAAACCCAAGAAATGGTCAAAGGATAGTTTGCTTTCTTCATTTACCTAGAACAAACACACTCCGCCTGTTTATTTATCTCCAAGGGTATTTAGAGATGTGGCTGTAGTGAAGGGGCAATAAGAACTTTCAGAACTGCTTTAAACACAGTTTATCTCAAAACACCTTCATATTATTTAGTTTTAATTACAAAGCTAGTAAAACATTAAACAGAAACAGAATCTCAAACCTAAAAGATGCTGTTGAGTTATGTTTATTTACTAGCTCTTCAGCCCTAAAAGACTGCATACAGTACATAAAGCACCGCATGTGGGTGCTTGTTGGTCACTGTTGCAATTTACAATGATGTTGTTTTACTATTAAACATCTTTTATATGTTAACAAGTTGAAATTTTTCCTAGTTTAAGATCTCAGTTTTCCAACCAGATAAAAGAACATTTAAATTAAAGAAGTGTTTCAGAGAGCGGGATGCGTTTCGGTTCTAACAACCCCCTATATAAGAAATATGATTACCTTTCTTTTTTACAACATTATGGCTCAGACGCAGTGGAACTCCATACTAGGGTTTTAGTCCGAAGGAAAAGTAAACAATCTGTTGAAGCAGCAGTGAATGGAGATCCGATCTTTAAGTCTGAGAAATGTACAGACCTGTTTCATCTCTCTTCTCAGTTATTGAACTCCGCTTAGCTGCATTTTTTCCCTCCAAGATCTTAAGTTTCACAGGTGTTGCTTTAGGTGTTGGCATTGCATGCCTGCTAGGCACTGAATCCGGATTATATCTGTACTTGTAGCCATAAGGACGCAAATGGTAGGTATAGTACTGGAGCTCATACATTGTCCTTGGACTGACATAATGAAAAGATACAGCTAAATCTGAACAGCATCCAGGGCCCTGAAAAAAGGAAAAATGCTTTAGAAAAAGATATAAACATTCTAAAATTTTAAAAAAAACTGGGTTTTAGAAGAAGAAAACATACTTTAAAACATGTCAACAAAGAAATGACACTGCAATGAAAACTGGTTAGTGGCCTGTGCTGTGCTTATGATTACGTTAGTGGGCTTACACAAATGTCTGTAACTGAGGAAGACACAGAAGTGTGCACAGCCCTACCCATTCATAACAAAGGAACAGCAGCTAATATGTTTGTTTAAGGAAAGTACAGCTTACTCATTGCATAAAAATAAAAGCCCGGTGCCGCATATTACATAAGGAAATCCTGTTACAAAGGACAGCTGACAATTTGCTAAGGTATGGGGATACTCATTATGCAAGTAACAGGCTTTTGTGTAATATCTTGATTTCTGTTGCATCCAAAACGTTTATCAAAGGCTGTGCTGCATAAAACATTTCCAGCAATTTTCCTAAAGCAAATTACACAATTGTCAATACATGCTTTTAGTAAATGATACACTCTACCCAGATAACAGATAGGTGTGCATACAATTTTGCAAACCCAGATGAAAAATACTACAGTAATGTATTAGTAATGCACCTCAAATACACTTCTCTTTACAACAGCACCCCTGTGCCCTGTGTTGCATGTTGACATTTTAAAATTACAAGTGATTTTAAGCACATTTAGAGCAGCCCTTATTTTTACTGTCTTAACATAGGGAAGTGAGGAATGTGGTTGCATTTTTGTACCAACTTCAACAGATAAAGAATTACAACCCAAGGGTTGGTAGGAACTGTAGATAATTTCCATAGCCATCAGACAACAGCTCATGAGACCAGAGCTGAAGTTCGAGTTTCAAAAAGACGTTTCAGCTATGGAGCCTTCTTCAGGTGTGACCTTCAGGTGTAATCTTCTTCTTCACACCTGAAGAAGGCTCCACCACCAAAACGTTGTGTTTCATTTCTTTTCTTTTCCTTTCAGCACAGAATAAACCTTTACCTGAACCTAGAGCTTATCCTGGTTTCCATGACGTAAACTGAACAGCGAAAACACCTGACATTTGAGTTAGGATTCAATTCGCCTGTAAAACGTTTAGAACATGTTATTAGCTGTCTGGAACTCAAACCAGCAATCTACCGGGGCCAGAACATCAACAACAACCATTGAGACAATTTGCCATGTTCAGACCCTCTTGAGCCAAGAACAACAGGAGACACTGTGATTTTTCTTTGGCATTAGAACATTATAACAACACTTCCTACAAGAACTGTACACATATTTATCCACACAGCAGGTCCTTTTCTGCTCTCACCTCAGTAGTGGGATAATAGTTGTAACCCCAGTACCATGATGTTTTAATTCCAATGTTTTTAATCAAGTGACCTTCAGGAGAAAAAGGATGAAATGTTTCCCGTTTCTTTTTGTCCCTGGCATCCCCGGCTTTGACCTCCATGATTTCCATGCAGATTCCCAAAGCCATATCTTCAATGGAAGAGGTGTGAGTGCACTTCCCGCTCCTGAAACCCTCAATAAACCTTCTCAGCGCTTCCTTGCTCAGAACGTACCCAGCGCCCCCACTCATATAGCCCTGCTTCACAAAGGGCCTGAACCTGCGCCCGAAATAGATGGGCTCTTCGGGGTTATAGGTAGAAAGAAGGTGCCGCAGGTTTTCTACCACAACAAACGTGTCGTCGTCGGCTTTCATGAACCAGTCGGCCTCATCAAAATGATGCTGATGAATGTGTTGGAAGGCCTTGATGGTTTTCCAGTACAGCTGGCCTCTGCCCTCGGTGACGTTGAGCCCAACAACAGGCAGCTCTTTATCCTCCTTTGAGCTCATGAAGAGCACTTTGTTGCAGTGTTTAGCCCAGGAGGCATAAACGTGTCGAGCTTTCTTCTCCAAGTTCTGTGGTCCAGTCATCACCCAGCACAACACGCGGACATCTCTGAACAGAACCTGAGCCACCGTGCTCTCCTCGCCTAGAAAACAAAATAGCGAAAAAGCAGTAGTATTTTATTTTTGAAAAGCTTGTCTGAAACCAAAATATTCACTGTTTTGATTTACAATAAGGCCGCTGACGTTTATATACCTTTGCTTGCTCAACCAGACTGTGTAATGTGGTCTCATTTACTGTACATTGTGTTATTAAATATGAAAGATGCAAAACTTATTGCTGTTCTTCATATAAGAAACATACTATGATAATAGTACATTACTATCATATCATAAGAACACAAACATTTCTGGAAAATGTGAGGAAATCATCTAATTTGGTTGCTCATCCCATTATTTTTAGAAAGGAGACAAGGGATCAGCTTCACCAATTTAGCTGGGTGGCTTGTTGCACACTCCCACCACCATCTGTGCAAAGAAGTGGCACCTTTAAGTCTAAGACTAATCTACAGGTTGAATATTCAATAGGAGTAAAGAATTTAAATTCAAATAAGAGATCACTTGGTGATGGCGATATCATGTGCAGTGGATATCTGGCATTTTAAATGAAAATCTTTATTACAGCTATTATGTTAAAACCTAAAATGAATATCACGTACTTGGTTTTACAGCACTTGGCCAGAAACCATTCTCTTACAGCACAGTTTCCTGCATGAGCAGCAAAAAGACTGAATCCATCCAGAGCAGAGCCCTCCAGTACAGTGCATTCAGACCCCTGGTTCAGCAGGGCATCTAACTCTGTGGCTTTTGGAGTCTTCTCACCCGTGTGTGTTTTTTTTTTGTTTGTTTCACATGAGTTCTTAACTGAAGTTAATTGAACTCTGTTAATGCCTGCGTCTATCTTCCTGTTTCAAAATACTTTGCTGCAGGTATGTTGTAATGAAAAACAATTAGCAAACAAGTCTCCATCTGGCTTATTAACGACTGGATGCCTTATTCCTGTCTGAACGGCTCCTAATAGCCAATTAATGTTTCATAAACAGGTTGACATTATACTGTATCAAACAATCCGACGAAAAAAAGAGACTTTTTAGCGGTCCAGATACGTACATTCCTGACACTTGAGTGACATTAAACGTGAAATACAGAAATGTACTTAAGGCTGATACTAATCCCCAACCCAGTCTAACTTCAGGAGAGCCAGACTGATTAATGACTCAGATTTAAGGTATTGTAAACATCCTGAGGATTACTTCAGGGTTAGGTTGCCAATCACAGTTTTATATCTCTGACATTTCATTTTTTTTCAATTGGTTCGTCGTAGTTATAGCCGTATTTTTTTAACTATACCGATTATGCTATCTTGCTTTATTACTCACATATTATAATTGAAATGCGATAGAAATATGCCCATTCTTACCTGTGTGGTGTGTGTGATCAATACTGGCGTTCCTGGTTTCCAGCCAAGCGTTTTCAGAACTGTCCAAGTAATGTCTGTGTCTTGCAATAGACATTAATTTAAGTCGGTTGCCTTTTAAAATGGGATTTAAAACGAAATAACAGCAAACAAAGCCAATCCACAGTCCAGAGAGGAAAACTACAAGTGATACAAAGGTCTTCATTGCACGTGCCCGAGCTAACTTCTAAAATACAATATAAAATATCGGCGTTTGTTTTATATATATGTTGATTCACTGATTTTCGCACATAAATATGCGACAATGTTAGACCTATCGATAAGAACTAAACTGAAAATAAGGAAGTCAAATGCGTTACAGTGTAACAGCTGTTACAGACTATGCTAAATAAAAGAATCGCAATACAATACAGTCGTTAAACGGCCCAAGTCAATACTAAAATTTATCCGTTTTTTTTTTGTTTTGTTTAAAAAGCAAATCGAAAGATGCGCCAGTTCCTGCTATCTCCAACAGCTGGGTAGTCGTCACCGAACTTAGTACTGTTCGTACTGTAGTTATAGCCAGTCGAATTGCCGGTTTTTCCGTTTCTTCTAAACTGTGTTTACCAGCTTCTTCCCTCTTAACTTCGTCACCGCAACCGCAGTGCAAAAGATCCAAAGGACACGCGTTGGAAAGACCCGTTAGTCGAGCTTCCCCTGTACTGGAATTCCTGCTCTGTCATTTAAAATGTAAATGGTCATTTCCTTAACTACAGGACACCTAGATTTACGTCAACTGTTTATTATTCAGGTGCCGGGCGGTTGCGGTAGTTAAGAGGAAGGACGTTCCAGCAGAGACTTTTTGGCTAGCTCTCAGTAGTCCTGCGTTTCGCTTTGCTGGTGGTGAAGAAGCTTTGAAATGAGAAATAAATGAGAACCAACAGTTTTTATTTGGTTTTTCAGTCGTTTCCATCCACGTAGTCCCGCGATGAACGGAGAGAGCTGAAGGCATCACTCTCTTTTAAATACATTTCCACTTACACTTTCAGCTGAGTTCTTAATGCAAATGGCAATGACAAAAACTCCTAACTGGTTACAACCAGTACCTGTAATAGTGACCTTTCATTAACGACGCAGAAAGGAGGGTCTATTATTACCATCGTCGTCGAGTGTCACTACGGTCATTATGCCCTCTTCTCTGCGTGCTCAAGGAAAGGTATGTTACTGGGACTGATCTGGACAAAGAACTCTGACGCGTATGAAAGGAACAAAGGAAAAATTCAAAACTTGCCTGCAATCTGAAATACACATAATTCTTCTTATGGACACGTGTAGTTCTGACACTTATAGTGCATAAAATGTTCACTTATTAACGATGGCGGGGCGCTGGATGCGGCCAACCCGCAGTGTTGTTGAGGCCAGTTCTCTGGCGTCTCTCAACTGCGTTGCGTCTGCTAGCAACTGAGCAAACTAGAAGGCCCAAATGTCTTTTGGGGGTGGGGGGGTCTGGAAATTATGTTTATATGTAAAACATAGGTTTTCTATTTCTCAGAACACGTCTCTCACTACATTTCTATGGCATTAATCATTCTGACAGCTCAGGACAAAATGAAGCAAAGCACTGTTCTCCTGAGAGTACACAACTACCACCTCAGTTGGCGCCTCTTTTGGCACCTTATTGGAGTTATTTAGAGACAGTACGGCTGACTTGCACGTGTAATGGTGTTAAGAAGCTGATAATTGTTATTGAATTGTTTGTTGGTGCTTTTTTTTGTCTCGCAGATGGTGTTCAGGTGAACCCGTTAAACACACTGGGAAGTTAAGAAAACTGCAAGTGTATTAAAGCAGAGGATGAAAGGGGAATGGTAATACTTAAAAACATAATTAGATCTGACAGGACAGGAGAAAAATTAGGAATTGTGTGAAATAAAGTGGAACTGAATGAAACACTTTGCTTGGTCCTAGAGTCATTATTATTATTTTTACAGCAAACTTCTTTATTTTTCATGTTCACGCAATTCTAGCTGATGTTTGGATATAGTACAACGAAATGCAAGTGCATAGAACAAGTTGTTTGCATACATAAGTGAAAATATGAAAATCTGTAAGACTATCAATGCTATCATAAAAATAAATCTATCCAAAATAATTGTATATATATATAATTTTTTAAAAAATATGCCATGTTCAAATGTATTCACGCTGTACAGATGTGTCACCTCTAATGTATTTAGTCATCTTGATTTCCATCGGGTCTTCAAGAAGGATGAACCATGAAAGTTCCCTAAGAAGACAACAGAAAATATCCATCTTTATGCCATTTTTTAAACAAAGAATCACGGCACAAATCCTATGGAAGCCCGTTTCCGCCAGTGAGTAAAAAAACGCGCTATGGTAACTCAGAATTCCGACTTAGTAACTCAGAGTTCCGACTTAGTAACTCAGAATTCCGACTTTATATCTCACATTTGCGACTTCGAAATAGCCCATATTTCATTGTCTGTCCTTTTGTTACTGTAACGGATTCGGGATCTAGGGCTTGTGCCCTCGCCGCTCCCACCCTAGTTCGAGCCTCGCTGCATTGGCTCGAACCCAGGTCTTGCCAGCTGAGCTAAAGAGATATAAAGTCGCAATTCTGAGATATTAAGTCGCAATTCTGAGATACCATAGCGCGTTTTTTTTACTCCCTGGCGGAAACGGGCTTTCATACAAATCGGATTCAAATGTGAATCAGTCTCAGATCCACAACCAGAGGGTTTCTCTAAGGTTGTTGTTGTTTGACACAAAGTAAGGGCTTTTTTATTTTTACATTTTTCCCAATCATATTCAAGCGTCTGGCAGGAGCAGTTGATGATATCCTTCTCTTGGGAGCTACCCCTTAACACTTCAACAAAGTTCCTTGTAAGGAACGGTATGCGGCTCTTAATTTTAGCATGTCAAATGCTTTAGAGACATCTAGTGGTAGGTTGCTAGTGTACATGTTATGAAGAATAAGTGGCGATTATTTATTTTCAATAGACCCGTTTACGATTCAATTTAATTCAAGCTTCATTCTCCCATTGGGGAAATTCTTTCTACAGCCTACTCCCAAATCCCAACATGATAGCTGTCTTTATATATCACGTTTTAGTTAAATACTGTAGGGCTGCATTCATAATGCGTCTTCTCGTTTAGAAAATAATGTAAATAATGGTGTTAGCAAATGTATTTTACAAGTATGTTAGGTATGATGCGGGTTTAAGACTTTTGGGACACTTAGTGGAATACAAAATGGAGATGATGTATCTAATACAACGTATTCAATTCAGTACCCCCCTGGAAATTTGAATTCTCATAAAATGATAAAAACAGTATCAAATAAGAAAGACGCGAACAGCCTCAAGCTAACTTTTTTATTGTAGACGTGCTGTTTATTTGCTTGTTCGCATGTGTACTCCGCAGCCACCGTAGACACGCATATAGCACTGTAATGCATGATATAACCAAAAAGTGCAGTTATATATATTTTGATGCGAGTAAGATTGGCGGAAGCACCACATTTGTAGTCGCCAACTAAGCACGAATCATTTTTTGAAAGTCGCGTACCGGTACTTATTTCTGTGATACAGCGGCGCCGTGTGGTTTAGATGAATCAAACCCAACGAATCTCGTAAAATTGCTTAACCGGAATCACCAGTCGATTCACTATACAAGAATGGACATACAGTAGCTAACTCAATTTGGAAACCCAGACTGTAAGATGATGCAAGGAGACCACTTTATTGCAGTTCCTGGTTCTACATCACCGTCTCTTGCTGATGAAACAATGAACACGTGTTTCCATAAAGCCGTAATGTCAAACTGTGGTCTGGCAGGCTCTTGAGGGAATGGACTTGTTTAAAACACATCATGATTCCAGCTTGGTTTTATTTTTCTTTATTACGTGTGTGTATATTAAGGCATATAATACTTCAAGACCTAATCCAGCGGATTTTAATATAATTTCGTCACTATTAAATGAATTCTTAATTAAACTCATGATATGCAAAATTGAGAAATGTTGTGATCACTTACTGTAGGATCAGCCCTTGAGGGACAGAATTAAATTAACAGAATTGATTAACAGAATTACACATTTCTGTTTAATTCTCTTAATTAAACAGAAATCTCGCTTAGTTACTAATAAGACTAATTGGAATGGGGATCTACCTGACCAGGGTTGGAGACCACTGATCTAGATTCTGGTTTCATTTAATAAACCAGCCAAGTTCACTCCTGTTTTGTGGTTAAACAACAAACACAACAAAAGCAAATTAAGTAAATGAAGTTCATGTTCTGTTTAAAATTGTAGAATGCACGTGTGAGACATTATTTAAAATAGTGAGTGAGAGCAACCAAACAGATTTTGGAGCTTAAAGGTTTGTCTTACACTGACAGGCTGAGCCATGTTGACCTTTAGTTTGTATTGGATGGCCAGCCTCTCCCTAAGGGTTGAAAGGTTTCTCGCCTTCTTTTCCGAGCTTACAACACAGTCAAGAGGTGAGCCGTGGAGTTGAAAGACAGGTTTTAATTGTGCCTGTGACTGGGAGGGGAGACTTTACACAGGATACAAATTCACACTGCGTCCTTACGCCTGGCCGTCTGCAAACAGAACAAGTCCTAAATCGTGGTGAAGGAGGTTTCAGAAGCTCTAGGAGACAGCACACAGACTGCGAGACTGCAGCGTTGGACCCAGGAGAGGACTTGGTCACCAGGGACGCTACCAGGAGCAGAGGAGGAAGGGCCCAGCGTCGTCTTCCTGTCCCCTCTGGCCAAAACTGGACTCTGAGACGAGCAGGGCAGATGGGGAAGTATCAGGGACCACACTGTTCAGGGCAGTCAGGTTCAGAGGAGATGCCCAAGACCACACAGAGCTTCCTCGCTGTGGTGGACAGAGGCAGGTCAGGTCACCGACTGGAGCAGGTCCTGGAGAACAGAACTGCTGGACTGCTCTTTTAGGACATTAGGTTTTGGTAATGGCGGTCCATTTTGCTTTTCTGGATACCCCACTCAAAGTGCTTTAGAGGTAATGGGGATCCCCTCCACCACCACCGGTGTGCAGCCCCACCTGGATGATGCGACGACAGCCATAGTGCGCCAGAACACTCCCCACACACCAGCTCTCAGTGCGGAGGAGAGCAGAGCGATGAAGCCAGTTCAGAGATGGTATGTTTGATGTGTTCTGTTTGGGTAGGCCGTAACTGATTGCAAGGAAATAAAAAGTGGTTAGTGTATTGTCTGATCTGCAGGTGCGCTGGTGGTCCTGGGAGATGAAAAAGAATCCAGACAGATAGCCCCCGGAGTGACACCAGAGACCATCCCGCCGTGGATTGTGATCCGTTCCTGGTTTTTGCTGGCGCCGTTGTGCGGCAGGATTTAACATTACCGGTAGTCCTACCCCAAGGCGAGTCTGTTCCTGGACGCATGAGGGTTCGGCTGTAGCGTGTGCTCTTGGGCTTTTCTCCTCAAAGAAATCCATCTTGCGTCTGTCTCTATAAGGAAAGGTGAGTGTTTTGATGTACATTTTTTTTCCACTATTTTAACAATGCTATAACTTATAGTACAAGTACACTACACATGATTAAAATATGTCACTGTTTAGCGTATTTGTATTCGCTCGGTTTTCGAAAACCACGTGTCTTCTGTCTGGGTTCTGCCTATGCAGCCGGGAGATGACAACGAGCGAACAAAAAAATGCCATTAGGGGTCCTTCTTAAATAAACCACTTTGTCAGAACAGAGGTCTGCGAGTACTGACAGCCATTTAGACTCATAAGCGGGTCAAGCGTTGCAGTGCACGCCTGTCTGATCCAAAACACTAGTCCAAGTGCTCGTCAGAAGAGGTGCTCTGTGCGCATTACCCCGGTCTGCCCAATGTCCCGGGGCGGTCTGACTGTATACCGCATATAATCGTTACAGTGGACCGTACAGAAACACCCGGAGACAGCTCGACAGCTGAAACGTTGTTTCTTCTTCCTGCTGCTCGGAAGAAGGAATGAACCTTTTCGTGTCTGCACTTTTATTTTTTGTCAGCCAACGCAGCCTAACGCACGTCTTTTACGTTTTTTAAAAAAAGGAATAGTGTTCGTTTGTGCGAGGTTTCGGTACTTTGAGTTTCTTGGAAAAGTGCTCATGAAATGTAGTAAGACATTGTATGATTTCCTGGTGGACGTGGTTCCCAGCCCTAGTCCTCTGGACCGCTGTATCTTCTGTATCTTGTGGTTTTCTTGCCGACAGAACTGTTAATCATCTGTGTTACCTGATACCTTTAATTAAATCTGCTTTTTTAGGTTCTTTTAACCTGATTGTACACTGTGTACTTGGTTTCATAAATACTGCACTTATTGTTCCAACAACTTCAGCACAGACAAGTTTCATCTTGGGCATAAGAGTCTGCTCTCCCTTTTTTCAATCTACAGGGCTCTTAATAGGTAGCAGTTAGTTACATCTGAGCCCACGTACCAGAAGGAGGAACTTTCTCAGACTTGTTCATCAAACGGGGAATTGTCTATAGTGCCGAATGTTAAATCCCACTCAGACTTTAAAGGACTGAAACCCTCGTTAAAGAAAAAAAAAACATGCCACAGATTTCAAATTTCAAATCAAATAACCTCCCAATTGAAACGTCTCTGGAATAAAAACCAGAAGACACAGGGCTTCCCAGGGCCAGGAATCGCTGACCTCATGGAAATTTGAGTTGGTTCCAGTGGGAAAAGGGGTCAGTCGGAATGGGGGAGGTTTGTACTGGTCCTAGTGATTACAAACCAAATGCAAACTGTTTTCTTTTAAAGTGATATAGTAAATTTAAGTGGTTTGAACTTGATGTACTGGAGACACTAGCTGAGACACTGGAATTTCCTTAAGTAAGTCTGTAAGTTTGGCTCCAATTCCGACTGTGTTGTAATGCAAACAAGTGCCCGACAGCAATAGATTTTTACAGTCTACTGGATACATCACATTGGATGCCCAAAATTCTGTTGGGCAGCTACAACTAAGTTTTGCTGATTCAAGCGTTTCCCAGAGTTAACTGCAGAGACATTTTTTTTTTAAATGTCTTTTCATTGCTGAAATTTTGGGACACCCCAAAAAATGTTTAAAGTGACTTAATAGATTAAATTTAAAGAGGTCAGTGTACAAGCTTCTGCCTTCACAGCCTTCTACATTCATAATTGCCAGTTTAAAGGAAGATAACTGTTTCTTGTTACCTCTGTAATTATTAAAACCATCAGTTTTCTATCCACTGTCTCCAATACAAGGTCGTTGAGGAGCCAGATCCTATCCCAAAAAGCACAGTGCACAAGGCAGGATACACCCTGGACAGGATGCTTTCGCAGCGCTCCATATCATGTTATAGTTAGAATTCATTTTAGTAATATGCAGTGCGTGATCATTACACTGCTGCAACGAAGTGGCGTCCCATCCAGGGTGTAGCCAGCCCTGCGCCCGCTGCTTGCTGGGGTAGACTCCGGCTCCCCTGCAACTCTGAATTGGATGAAGCAATTAAAAATGTGGATGGGAGCTCCATAAAAATCATAGTATTGCCTTAATGTGCATGAGACAAGTTACAATTGCATAGATCAACACTTGCAATACAAGATCACAGCAGTCTTTTAGTGTATAGAGACACAAAAATATATTCACTAATGTTTACTGAGATCCCCCCAATCCATCACATGTTAGTTGAGGTATTTAGCTTGGGTTTAAAAGTGATTGCTTAACAGACACATTACAGAATATCTTCATGAAACACTAAGTGGGAAGTTTGCAGGATGGCTTAATTAATGATTATTTATTGGGTATTGACAGACTTGAATTTGTAGCGTATAAATGAATCTTTGGTATCGTGCATTATTGTTGTATGTTTTAGTGCATTATACCACATCAAGTGTACCAACTTTTGCATGACCGTATCTTGGCAGATCTCTTCTCCACAGAGCTAGATTAAAGGTATGAAACTCATCAGTGCCTTGTGGCAGTGTTTGCCATCTGTCTGTCTCCACAGATCCAGCGGTGGTTAACCATGTGTGGGATATGGGCCCTTTTCGGCAGCGACGAGTGTCTGTCTGTGCAGTGCGTCAACGCCATGAAGATCGCACACAGGGGGCCGGACGCGTTTCGCTTTGAAAATGTCAATGGCTTCACCAGCTGCTGTTTCGGCTTCCACCGCCTGGCCATAGTGGACCAGCTGTATGGGATGCAGCCGCTGCGTATCAAGAAGTTCCCTTACCTTTGGCTGTGCTACAATGGAGAAATTTATAACCATCACAGGGTATGTTGGACAGGGTAGGGGGGTATAATACGCAGACACGTGTGTGTATAAGAGGGGCACAAAGTGGCAGTGGAGGCAGGTAAAGGTTGAAAGGTGGGATGGCACCTGAAGAAGGCTCCAGAGCCGAAACGTTGTCTCTTTTCTTTTCCTTTCGCGTGGAATACGCCTTTACCTGCTCCTGTGCAGCCTCCGCATGCTGACACAGCTCCGTACCTGAACTGTGTTTTAATATAGTCAGACTGTCGCAAAATATCTATGGTGCCTGTAAAGAACTCGGTTGTCCATTAGCTTGGCAGGTTTTTGTTTTTTGGCACATAAAATAAGTCTAAACCTAAAAAGGATTTAGTCTGTGACTGTTAAATGATGGGGGAGAGGGTAACAAACGTCAGACACAACAAGGCAAACGTCAGCCTTCTCTAAGGGAACAGTTTGTCTAAGCTGGACCTTGGCAAACTACAGTCGAGTGAGGTTGGCATCATAACAAGGTTAACTGATAATCCAAGCTGAAGATAAACTGGAGATAGAAGTGTTTTGTCTGTTGGTTTATTTCAGAAATACATTTCGTGGACTCTCTAAAATGCAGAGGGAATGTCATAATGTCCAAATATTTATGTTCACGTTCACAGAATGTTTTGTGTTAGTTGAAATCAGTAATTTATAACCCACGTTACAGTTACTGTTAGGATTATCCGTAAAATCTTTATTTTGCTTAATTAGTAAATCCATGAGTCAGTTTTGGGGAGTGCAACACTTTGTTCAGAATACTTTCTGTTTCCCCTTCTTTCTTTGCTTTTGTAATGTTAAGTGTAAGAAGCACACTGCTTGCCATGTTCTTATTAATTATTTGAACAACTTTTTCTCCTTTGTGTTTTGAAGCTGAAGAAGCAGTTTGACTTTGACTACCAGACCAGAGTAGATGGAGAGATTCTGCTTCATCTCTATGACAGGTTTGGGATTGAGAAGATGGCAGCCCTTCTGGATGGGGTGTTTTCCTTTATCTTGCTGGATACCGCTAACAGGGTAATCTGTCTGGGAAGAGACACTTATGGAGTTCGCCCAATGTTTAAACTGCTAACTGAGAATGGGTTCCTTGCTGTGTGCTCTGAGGCAAAAGGTAAAATTGCTCTTATAATTGCTGTATATACTCAGTTTCATTCATTATACACATGAGAGAGGATTGAATGCCATCTTGGATTTAATTACAGTTGACATAGGTGACTCGGGACTGAAAAAAACGCAGTGGCTGACACAGGCTATATAGGTTTTTTAAATCTAAATTATGTATTTTTACAGATTTGTTATGCAAGAAGATTATCGGGCAGATGCCTTCTTTAGAAAGTGTGTTATGGTTTACTGTTTGAAATTGCAAATAAGGTTATTGTCCAGTTAATGAACTGACTTTTGATGAACTGAAAAAAAGATGGGCAAGAATCCCCTATATAAGTAAAGAGATGATGTTTATCTTGAATGACCTGTTATTCCTGATGTTCAAAGATCCTGATGTATCTGTGTTGTTTTAGTGTTTGGAAAGTTGTTGCCCTCTGTGCTTTTTATCCAACAATGATCTCTCTTTTTAGGACTCATCAATATTACTCACTCCATGAGTTCGCCAGCTGAAATCACCCCATTCCCCCCTGGTCACATCCAGGTGTTCAATTTAAAGCTGAGTGGCAAAGTGGAGTCTGTGAAGCTGGAAAGGTTTCACAGCTGTAAAGATGAGCCCAAGCATGCAGAGTATGACAATATTGAGAAGCTCCCTAAAGGTACATGTTTAATTACCTTAATGCACAATGCAAACCACAATATACTAACTGGGTTTTAAATACAAAAGGTGCGGTGAAGTACCTCATTTCCCATATTGTCAGCTGTGAAAGGAGAAGCTTGTTTTTCTGATCAATTCTGTTTTACTTGTATTATTTTCTTAATAGGCAAGGTTCCTTATTTAGGAAGTATAGTCTATTCAGTGACTACTTGCGATATAGTTGGACTCTTGTAATACAGGAATCACAGCAGCAATGAAAGTGTTGTGAGAGCTCCTGTAGGATTAATCCATGTTCTGATCATCTCCTAGGCTTTGATCTGGAAACTGTTAAAAACAACATTCGGATCCTGTTTGAAAATGCAGTAAGAAAGCGTCTGATGGCTCACAGGAGGATTGGCTGCCTTTTATCAGGTAAGGGTGGTTTCACACTTGCTCTCGGAGCGACGTTGGTCTTGTTTTGCGCATGATGCAATGAAATACTTATAAAAATCAAGCTAAAAGAGTGTTAAGTCAGCACTCAGGGTGCTCTAAAGCACGCTAAACACAATGTATCTTGAGTACAGACGAGCTTTTCAGTCTAACCTATCTCATGGAAGCTGTAATGTTTCTATGACTTAGACTGTTAAACAGGATGTTGCGTAAACTGTCAGAGACCGCATGCTCTCAGCTTGAAGGAAGCCAACAGACATTTGCTCCCAGCACTTAGGAGAATTTCCACTATTGGTGCAGCACATACTGTAAATAGAATTTTAGCATGTTTGCTAAATCTACAGTGAGCTACAGTTAACCTGCTACCGCTATGACAGGACACTATGAAAACAAGATTTAGGATTTACTTTGCTTTCCATTATCATTGCAGGGGGTCTTGACTCCAGTTTGGTAGCTGCAACGTTGTTGAAACTTGCACAGGAGGACGATCTCAAATATCCAGTGCAGACCTTCGCCATTGGAACTGACGACAGCCCTGATATCCACGCTGCTAGAACAGTGAGAAACATTTTCATTTATTGCTAAATAACAGTCGGTCTTCTGTGGTTTGTGTGCATAAACAGCAAACGTCACACTCGTATACAGCAAAACATAATAGATTTAGCCAACAATTAATGTGGATTAACTGAGGAGATTAATATTGTTTGGTAGTGTGTAGAAGTTGTCCTGTTTCAGTTAGCCGTGTTTAGGATACAGATATAAATGATGAACTCACACAAACCAGAATGGCTGTTGTGGAGTTATGACTAGAAACAGCAAAGTCATCATTGTAACAGGAAATAATGAATGCGTACCCATGTTGTGGTAGGTTGCAAATTACATTGGCAGTGAACACCATGAAGTTCTCTTCACACCTGAAGAAGGCATCCAGGCTGTTGATGAGGTCATCTTTCACTTGGAGACCTATGACATCACCACAGTGCGCGCGTCAGTGGGTAAGACAGACAGCACCAAATTGTGTACTGTTCTCGTCCGTTCTTTCACATGGACGCATCTGCTCATTGATAATTCTGGAGCAGATGAGTATCCTTTGGCTACACAAATGGCAATAGCCTTGTGACTGTGCACCTTGGTTCATGAGGTTAGTGAAAGGAACCCCTGAGCCAGAGTGATACTGTGAGCCACTGCCTGCACTTAAATGCCAAGAAACTGTGGGTAAGGATGCAAGAAAGTTTACAAATGAGAGGAGGCAACTCAAATTTGGTCTCCAGTAGCTGAGGATCTTGTCCAGATATAGTTTTTGAAAGAAACCAAGATATCGCCTTTAACAACATGGCTTGGTGCCTTGTTTCTGATTCCAACCACATTTTGAGGATAACAAAGTAAACACTCTTGCCAGCATTTTTTGAGTTAGAAAAGTACTCAGCAGCTGTTTACTAAAGCTACCTGCCATTACCACGGTGTAACGGGTATGAGCAAAAGAAGTATTTGGGAAATCTGATTTTTATTTCAATTTGATTAATTTATGCAATAGAAATCATTTTGCATAGCGGAGCATTTTATTAAATGCAAACTGCATTCTCTTTAAATGTAAATCTTGTGACAGTAGTGAAGCAATCCAAATACAGGGGGAACAGTTTAGTTTTGGATGTGAAACTCGGGAAGGCTCTGGAATCCCTTCTAGGATTGTTTGGTGATGTTTCAGCTTCCTAAGCTTTTTAGCGAACAGATTGTCCTAAAATTAATTTTGCTTCCTCTTTACCAGATTTTTTTCATTTAATGTTATCCATCAAAGGCATACAGTTTGTTGAAAACACCTATTAAAACACTTGTTTGTACAAAAACGTGATTGTAGACCCAGTTGTTTTTCGTTCTACACCTGTTTGCTCGGCTCATGGCTGAAGAGGAGTGTCCTTCAGTTATAATACCATGAGCCTGCATACAAAAATCACACACCCCACCCTACTGTCAGAAATGCTCAGTCGGGGGTACACCACTGCTTGGGGAATCGCAGTCGCAGTGGGCTAGTGACGCTGACCCAGGCTCCAACCCGCAACAGCTGCATGAAAGATCTCCACCTGCACCCCATTAAATGCCTTTACTGGTTGAGCTACTCGTGAGTCCTTGGCGAATTATCAAATCTGTTTTTTTTTTATTTACCCCCTTTACAGGAATGTATTTGGTGTCCAAGTATATCCGAGACAAAACGGACAGCGTGGTCATTTTCTCTGGTGAAGGCTCCGATGAGCTCACACAAGGATACATCTATTTCCATAAAGTATGTAGTTTTTTTTTTCTTTTAAGTAAAAAAAACATCAACGATACAAGTTCTTTAATCGATGCCAGACCTTCAGGTGAAAGTGGCTCTTCTCTAATGCAGGCTCCAAGCCCCAAGGCGGCCGCGGACGACAGCCTCCGCCTCCTGGAGGAGCTCTACTTGTTCGACGCCCTTCGCGCCGACAGGACCACAGCGGCCCACGGGTAAGAGCCGCCGTCCGTTTCCAGACCGCCGTGACCGCGCTTTCGTTTCTTTCAGTGTGCGTCGCACACGGTTACACACGCCCCAGGCGGCACGGCACCGTTGTGAGACACAGGCTAGGCGCTAGTTCTCTGTGGATACCGTGGATCAATCACTTTTGGCAAAGGGGTGTAGCTGTGCTTTGGGAGTAAAGTATGAAGGCGTCCCTTCTGTTTCCTTGTTCAACACTGTAAACTGGAAGAGGTGTTAGTGGGGCCAGCAGGGGGCGCTCACCCTGTGGTCCACGTCCTAATGTGGACCACGTCCTATACTGGTCCTAATGCTCCAGTATAGTGACGGGGACACTATACTGTAAACAGGCGCCGTCCTTCGGATGAGACGTAAAACCGAGGTCCTGACTCTCTGTGGTCATTAAAAATCCCAGGCCGTTTCTCGAAAAGAGTAGGGGTGTAACCCCGGCGTCCTGGCCAAATTTCCCATTGGCCCTAACCAATCATGGCCTCCTAATAATCCCCATCTATGAATTGGCTTCATTACTCTGCTCTCCTCCCCACTAATAGCTGATGTGTGGTGAGCGTTCTGGCGCACTATGGCTGCCATCGCATCATCCAGGTGGGGCTGCACATTGGTGGTGGTGGAGGGGAGTCCCCATTACCTGTAAAGCGCTTTGAGTGGAGTGCCCAGAAAAGCGGTATATAAGTGTAAGCAATTATTATTATTATTATTATTATTATTATTATTATTATTAAACCACCATGCATGGGCTTCTCATGAAAAATAAAAGACTTATTCGAAACAATATCTTTGTTGCATATGGAAGGAAAGAAATATTCACTTTTAGAACAAGATGTCACTGAAAATGATCATTACTGTTACGTAGTCAAAATCACTAGTTTTGAAGCATTTAGTGAAGCATTTCAAGTAGCAGAGATCACTTCAGAGAGCCAGATCACACATGGGTTTTTCACCTGTGTCCATATTTTAAACCAGTATTAAACTAGTGATCCATATTGCTGAAGGCACATGGAGGAGCGATTATTTAATGACATGGAGGTAGCCAGCTTGAAATGAATAATTAATTCTCTGTCCAGATCTGTAATTCCTCAAATTTACATTTGGAAGATAAATATTATATCCAAATAAACCTTTTCTTTGTTGAGCAGGTTAACACCTGTTCTGGGCAGTTTTAAATGAAGAATGAATGTATGAATGTCTAAATAATTAAGAAGTCTGGACAGTGTAATTGAGAGAGGGTCATGCATACCTACAACATGTGAGCATTTATGCTGTTTGTGTGTATATATGACAAATGTTATATACAAAAAAAGTAAAAATAGCTTTGTAACCAAATACTGCTTTTCCATTATATGTGCATTTTTTGATAAAAACTATTAAATTTATATTAACAGGAAGTGGAATGCAAAACCAATCCCGATAAGTTGACATGTAAACTTTAGCTTCATCCTTTTTTGTCTTGGTAGTTTGGAGCTGAGGGTGCCATTTTTGGACCACAGATTTACAGCTTACTACCTCTCCCTGCCCGAAGAGATGCGAGTGCCGAAGGTAATTGTGCACCAGCAGGAACTTTGTTGTACCTTTCTTCTGCCGTTTCTTTCGCAAAGGCATGATTTGTGCGAACGTTGGTTTTGAGCAGAACGGCGTGGAAAAGCACCTTCTGAGAGCAGCCTTTCAGGACACCAAGCTGCTCCCGGATGAGATCCTGTGGAGGAGAAAGGAAGCGTTCAGCGACGGCTTGTCTTCCACCAAGAAGTCCTGGTTTTCCATTCTGCAGGAGCACGTCGAGTCCAAGGTATTTCTACAGATGTGCCCTGCCCTTAATTCTCTGAGCAATTGGTTTTGTGTGGAATGCACACACAGTGAGGAGAGAGGAGATGTCCAGAGTGTAAAGATTGACAATTGTCCAGAAGTCTAACGCAATTCACATTGTGATTGACATAAAAGTGATAGAAGTGGGAGCAGCCAGCCTCACTGTGCTTCCGACTGAACATACAGAAAAGAACAGGCAGCTGATAAGAGCTGCTGGGATTCCAAAAAGGTTTTCATCTCATCAACATTTTTCCCTTTAGACGTGTTTAGGCTGTTAGGAGTTGCTCTGCACAGGCCTGTTAGAAGCATTGTTTAGTGGTATAGAGATAAAGTCACACAGATTGAGATCAGAGTGGTGTAACAGTGGTGTGGTGGTGTAACAGTGGTGTTTCAGAGACTAGAGAATGCGTAGCACAAGTGTGAATAAATAGTAAATTCTTATTTCATTCTGGATTGCATTATGATAGCCTTCAGATATACAGTACATAGTATCCATATTGTTGTTTGCTAACATAGTAATGCTTAAAATTGAGAGGAAACAATTTGGCCCATATTGTTAGGTTGTCTGTGGCTAATTAATTGCAATTTCTTGTGCAATATGATTTTTTTTGTCCACTTTGAGCTGTGGTTATTGATCTTCACTAGCAGAAGTTCTACAGTTACCCTTTTTATGTTTGCCAAACTGTAAACAAACAAAAATCAGGCACAGAACAGTCAGCTGTTGGAGAGTATTTATTTAAAGATATCCTTTACAGCCATGATACTGAACCAGAAGTCCTCACACACTGGATGTGTTGAAGGAAGATTTAAGAAGAGAAATCACGCATTTCTTACGCAAGATACACTCACGCATCAATGAACATTTGCCCACATAGAAAAAAAAACTCAGTTGCCAGGTTATATGGATGTTATTCTATAGTGTTTAAAACTCAGTTCATGTTCAGCAGCCTGTTGAAAATCCACAGGAGGGTGCCAAGTATTGCTGAGACAGCTCTTGTTAGTGCATCATCTTGATCACATTTGCTTCCTTCCTGCAGGTGAATGATCTGGAGCTGGAGAAAGCAGCAGTGAAATTTCCTCACAATCCACCAAAAACGAAAGAGGGGTACTTCTACCGGCAGATCTTTGAGAAGCACTACCCCGGCAGAGCAGATTGGCTGTCGCATTACTGGATGCCAAGATGGATCGCTGCCAGTGATCCGTCTGCCCGGACTCTGTCCATCTACCAGCCCGAGAAGAATCCGGAGTAGAGTGTCCTCGACTCTCGCATGGTTCCACCCATAATGCTACAGTTCCAACCCTGGTTCCAGTAATCAACACTTATATAGATTTGTATTTGTAAGCTTTCCTTTTTGTCAATCACTCTATTGTCTGTAAGTCATAAAATCTGCGTCATGCTTCACAATTGACATAAAGACGTTAACCTCATATCCCCTCACATCTTTCTGGGTGGCAAAACAGAAACCTGGAGCTTATGTTCTAAGGAAATGTAAGATAATTGTTGTGTGCAGATTTGCTTATTTTCTAGTTATTTATTGACATCAATATTCGAAATGCCTTGAATAAATAAAGAATTTGGAACAGTTTATTTTTCGGTTTTTAACTTTGTAAGAAAATGAAACAGTGTCCTGAAATGTAATTTCATTTTATTCCATTATCTTAAAATGCTGCGTGTTGACTGAAAAATGTACTGTATGTTTAACACATTACCATGGCTTCTAAAGACATTTACATTTTTCACTTGTTCCATTGAGTGATTGCATAAAATGGACAGAAATCTGCCTTTTTAGAGTTTATATTTATAGTTCTATTTTCATGCATATATTGCACTTGCTGTGTACTGGATGGGTTACTTTAATTAAAGTAAGGAACCAGTCTTATTTTTGTCCACATTTTGTGACTACAAATAATTGAAATACTACAGCTTAATTTAAAAAACCTTGATTCCTAGCAAGGCCTTTCGTGTCTCATTTTCAAATTCCCCATCAGGAAGATGAAAGAAATCATTTTAAAGGATGGGATACTTGACAATCCCAAGGTGGATTACTGCTAGTGGCATACTTACCAGCCCTCAGGAATGGTTAAATACTGTCAGAACAAAAAATATAACAGGTATCTGGGAATGTAAATTTGGGAGGTGAAGTTGTCAGATGATGACTGAAACTCAGAAAGATTTCCATAAAGTCCAGTGCTTGCAAAAACATGGTAAGGAACTAAAAACCTCTAAAGGTAAGAATTGTATTCATATGCAAACAAATGTAATCGGAAAACGTTTTTGAAAAGGTGCCTGTTTCGTATTGGAAAAATATAGCATTGACCCTAATGTATGCATAGGAGCTTTCACTTGAATACAGGAACACCTCATAGCCCCTTACGTGTGTTATTTCTGCATGAATGCAACGTTACAAATTCAATGGTATTAAGCTGCCCAACAGGCCTGAGGGACAGTGGTCATGTTCCCAGTGGTGCAGTGGATGTCTTCCTGCGTGTTGGCTACAGGATTTCTCCTGGGAGGGTGAGGTACAGGCGATGGCTTGCAGGAGCCAAAAGAGTGTTTTCATTTATGTGAACTGCAAGGTGTGCAGGTAGAATGGTCAGAAACATTTTCAGAGGAAATCTGGATTTTCACACGAGAATTCATGCTAATAAAACGGACACCTGGGTCAACATCAAGTGTGCGCAAAAATGTTAATGGACATGTTTTAGTCCCCCGTTAAAGCCTTAACAAAACGACTACAGATCTACGATATGTTACTATATATTACTAGGCACCAGCATTAGGTGAGAATACAGTCTCTGGGCATTAGAAGTTAGGTAGTTAGGTAGTCCCATTAACTCCAGAAAAGGAGTTCATTTTTTTCTAATGCGGGGTGCAGTGGCTCTGTGGCTAAGGATCTGTGCCTGTGGCTGGTTCATGTCCTGCAGCTGGCAGAGGAATCCTACTCCGTTGGTCCCCTGAGCGAGGCCCTTAACCCCAACTGCTCTAGGGTAAATGGCTGACCCTGCGTTCTGACCCCAAGCTTCTCTCTCCCTGACTGTGTGTCTCATGGAGAGCAAGTTGGGGTATGCGAAAAGACAAATTCCTAATACAAGAAATTGTATATGGCCAATAAAGTGATCTTATAATTCATGTGAGCAGTGCACTATTAAAAAGCCAGACAGCCTTGGGAGGTGTTCACCAGGCAAGGTGTTCATACAGATTGCTGAAATCATCCATCTCCCTGGTCAGCAGCCATGAACGCTGAAATATATGTCATGAAAATGAACTGATGGCTCGAGAAAGCTGCTAGCATGTTGTTTTCAGTGACTGGGTCACACACTAATTCAAGTGTTACCCTCCTCATCTCACTTCAAATGCGTAAATGCAGAATAGTTCACTGTCCCCGTTCATTTCCAAAGGCTTCAAATTCTCTGCTAATGGAAAACACAGACTTGTAAACCAAGCTGATGTCTGCTGAAAGCATCCCAGAAGCATTTAACAGAGATGAAACCAAATGACCTCATGGGCTGATCCTTTCTGATGATTGGATACCTGGCAAGAGACTGGTATCAGCTTGAAGAACAAAGGTTTTGACCAGTATAAGGTAAAACATGTACAAGGATGTCCTTGTAATTAGTTATTTTGTGTCGTTGATGCAACCACCATTTATCCTGAACTCAGCCCGCAGATTGTTATGCTATCAACAGTATTTCCTTTGTATTGGACAGTGGAGGAATGGATGTGAAAGGTTGAATTGAGTATTATCTGCCTGCTTACAGCCTTGGTGGAATAATCACTCTTCTGTGTTATGGTACCCTGTTGCGAAGTCAGGTTCATCTTGTCATTCCTTCTGATAAGGTTGCTAAACGTCCTGATGTTTTATCCAGCACTGGCACTGTTGAACTACCCTGTAATGATGTTTTTTCCTCTCAGCAGCCTTCAGAATTGATAATTCAGCATGCAAGACGAGCACAACGAGCAATGCTTGAGGCCACTAAAATGGTCGGCTCTGTATTGAAGGGGTCAGTGTAGCCTCAGTCTGGCTGCCTCTTAATAAATTGGTGGGTGGGAGGCAGGGAAGGGTGTCCTGTTACAATAAAGTCCTGCTAAAAACGATTGCCAGAAAAGGTGTGTTGTCCTTTGGCACTCTGGCCCTCTCTGCCTGACAGCCTTTCTAAGGGTAGCTGTGACTGCATGAGTTTGAATAAAGGATCCATTGCTCTTTGAGAAGTGCATTTTGCCTCAGTTCATGCTAGGGCCTTGCAACAGCTGGAACACACTGGTACAATACTGTCTAGGAGTGTTCAGCAGTTGTTTGTTGATCGCAGCTGAGAAGAGACTGCAAAAGGTCTCTATGTTGATGCTGTTGGAACAACAACTTGAAACGGAGCATTTCTGAATCCAAGAACCAAGTGCATAAACAAGTACACCTAAGTCCTAACAAGAAGGCAGATCAGCACAAGGAATCAGTCAACAGCTCGGATGGAATGAAAACCAGCAGGTCCCACAGGATGAGGGCTGAGAACTACAGCAGAAATAATCACAATATTTCTGTGCTCCTTTGACGGGCTGTCAGAGTCCTCTGTAAATCTCAAGAGTTTATTGGAAGCAATCCAAAGGCCTCTGTCACATGGCTTTTAGTTTGATTTGATTTTAGTTTGAAAACAGGTGCCTCCATTACAGCAACTGCTCTCCACATTATGGAAGCAGAAATGCTTCTGTATATGGAAGCACAGATTTTAAATAAGAAAGATCAGGACCAATTAATTATGACAAGGTTAATAATCCGGAAATTACAGAGAAATGACAAGAGCTTCACAAATCAGAGCAGCAAATAACAACAAGCACTGAGGAATAAATGTATTTTTTAACACTGAATTTGCTGAACCATAACACGTTCCTGTTTTCTAAAAGTAATAATAATGAAATAAATAATAGTCACGTAGACCTGTATCTAGAGCCAACAAAAGAGAAGAATACCTTCAAAGCAAAACAAAAACAAGACTTAATGAACGTTTTCTCCCCAAAAGCCAAAAGATGCATCCACTAGGTGGCAATATATCCCTTTAAGAAGTCTTAAAAAATCTTTAAAAGAAAACTGCTTCTCATGGCCCAGTGATGTGTATGTGAGATAAAAAGTCGCAATTACGAGATATAAAGTCACAATTCTTAGTTTTCAAGTCATAATTCCGAGTTTTTAAGTCGCAATTCTGTGATATTAAGTCGAAATTCTAAGATACCATAGCGCGTTTTTTTTTTTACTCCCTGGCGGAAACGGGCTTCCATAGATGTGCAATTATTTAGAACTACAAATTGGCTTCTAAGAGGTGTGTTAAACCCATATACTTTATTAGTGAATATTTTGAATTTAAAAACAATAAATGAATGATGTTAGCATGAGTTGTTAGTAAAACAGTGTTTTTAAAAGACATGAATTCTTTATTCCTCACACCAGGTGGTGTCAGAAACCTGCAGTGTTTCTGCACAGAATGACCACAGTGTTATGTCAGCCTCAGACTGGTCTAAGCAGGTGGTGTGGGTGTGATTTTGGCTTGATGGAGTATGATAATACTAATAATACAATTAATGTTACAACCACATTTGGCAGGCGCCCTCACTAATTGCCTCATTTTCCAATCAGGCCTCAGCTCTCCACTATTTAAACCCCCTGGTCCTGCTTTTCCGTGCCCGGTATTGGAGTCCCTGACTTGTCAGCTTGCTGCCAGCTTAGTCTACTCGCTCCACGCTATTGGATTTTTTCTGGATTCTCGACCTCGGCCTGGAATATTTGATTTAGCCTTCTGCTCTGCCCTTATTGGATAATCTGCTCTCAGATCTGAACTAAGCGATCCGCATAGGGTCCAGCTCTTTATTAGGCCACCGCTCTGACATTGACGCTTTACACCCCAGAGGATCTCAGTTTGTTCTGCATATACTGTAGGAAGGTACCCACTGCATCCACCAATACAGCGCAGAGCACACCTGGGGGGTATTTAGAAGTCATTATACATCAGTATCCCCACCAGGGTTTATACTCCTAGTCTTATGAACAGTGCCATGGGCTCGATGTATTCACCAAGCAGTCGGGGGCTCAGTGTAATGTTTTCTCCAGTAGCACATTGTCCCCAGTCACGGTGACGGTCAGGAAGGAAGTAGTGTCACCTGCGGCTGGGCCACCAAAATCTCTTACAGTGTCAAACTTGTAATTTGATCGGCTGCCAATTCCTTTGCCCCGCCAAGGGGTTTCATGATATGAGCTGCACCATCTGATGACGAAACAAGATGGTCAGTTCGCCTGTGATCTGTTGTAACACCATAAGGTTACCTTCTGGTATTTAACAACTTTTCAGTGGAAACCGGCAGAGGTTTTGTTAGGGTCCTATATAAAGTTAACTGTATCAAGGTAAGTTTATTATGTGCATTGCAAAACACAAGACACAAAAAACTCTGATGACTGGGCCAGGGGCGTTTAAAACGCAACAAGTGCTGTTGGTTCCAATTTTTTTTTTTTGCATTTTATTGTCTGACACTATGTGTGCTGTACACACAGTGACCCACATCTGTTGAGTATTTACACATTTACCCTTACAACAAATAAAATTAAATAATAAAAAAGCACATTGCAAATTCTGTTTTCTTGTTTAAGTGCACTTCCTAGAAGCTGCTTCTTGTGTTCCTTGTGACTGTCTAAGTCCAGAGACTGATTTGCCTTCCAAACAGTACAGTAGGTTTTCCAGTGTGAAGGCAAGGGAAAGATATTTCTGTGCCTCTTATTTCATGAAGAAGGCCACATCCAGGGGTCTGTGCAACAGCCACAAGGCAAGAGCAGGTTTATTGTCAGATCGACTGAAGGACCACAATCTGTGATTGTGGACAAATACCGCAGCTGTAAATGTAGTAAATTTTGTAAAGGAGTGTCTTCCAAAAGAGGACATGAATAGGGTAGCCTAATGGAAAGATGCAAAGCCTTCAGAGTTCATGACAGGGAGAGAGAAACAGGTAGGTGAGAACAAGAGCTCTTTTACTGCCTTCTGATAATTAACTAATGGAGATCCTGCAAAGACTAGAAATTCCGAAACAGTAAAAAAAACAAAATATTGGAGGGGAATAGAAAAATGCCCTTTTTGTTCTCATAATACAATCTATAGGAACAAGGATTAGTAATTGCTATGATATTAGATGCTCTTTTACTGTTCTTCGAGGCTTAGTGGAGACCGAGAGGGCTGAGAGTTTTTTCCCAAAGGCAAGTGCAGAACATTGGCAGGCATGGGTTACTTTGTGTGACATCACACAGCCACGTAAAGTTCCATATCAACAGAAAGAATCAGAAAGTCAGGGCCAGACCGGTGGGCAGCAGTTCTCTATTTCGATCTCCGTTTATAGTTGAATTTTCCTTGCGATTATTTGTTGCGTTGTTTTTCTTAATTTCATAATTTTCCACTTTTCTTGTTATATTCCATAGATCCATCTCACCTTGTCAGATATTTCAACTGAACCCCTTGAGAGGTTTTTTTCAAGTATTACAACTACCTATTGGCAAATATTGGCAAACTGGGGGCCATGTACTGCAACTGCACAAACCATTCCAGGAAAATGAAAGTTCTGGTAATTAAAAATATTTTAATATGTTCTGGCACTATCACAAAACAAGACACTGACTTATTTTAGAAACCAACACCTTAGAAATAATAACAATATACAATCACAAAGAATAAGACATGCTGTGATAATACAAATATATTTGAATGCATTTTTACTACAGTACGTTATATGAAAACAGAGTGAGGCACTATGTTACATGGTTTGACTGTGCATAATTCCCAGGGAAGAGGCCTGACTGATAATTAGTAACCAAAAATAGTTTCTTCCTCTTTTGTTTCAGTATTGTAGATGTAATTTATTCTGTGACAGACAACATGAAACCACAGATTTCCTTTTATACAGACTAAACCTTGACAGCCCACATCTCTCGTTACTGGAAAGTAAAACTGGTACAAGTAGCATTACCACAATGTGAAAATAATGGCTTTATTAAAGGTACAACCTAAACCAACAATAAATAAAAAAGAAATGAGTTGTCAAATTTACATATCAGACCTCTCTCCCACCATTGACAGGAATGACTCTGAGTGAAGCGAACATTTTTTTTAGCTGCTCTACTAACGTCGCTTATCATAGTTCTGTATTGTGCTCCATTCATATGAATCTGCAAAATAAGAATAAAAAGACATGGTTTTGCAGTTGTAAGTGTACTGAGACATGTACTACTTTCTCTCTACTACTTTGTGTACTACGTTTGTGTTCTTCAGCTATATTTTTATCACATTACAGTACTCACTTGACAGCCATCATGATTTGAATTAAATTTAGGAAGGGCAGGGCTTAAATTCTTAGCCAGAGATCCAGCCTTTTTGAGGCAGTGAGATGGTCTCTCTGCGGGTAGACTGAATTATGCAGGCTTGACTTCTCTAGAGATTCCCCCAATAAAAGATATCAGATCCCTTGACTGAAAAAAAAGTGTCACAGAAGCTTATCCAGTTGCTTGCTTTAAACTCTGAGCCCAACAGACCGGACCGGAAGGCAGAAAGAGAAATTAAGTTCAACTACATAACAGCATCAAGAGAAGAAGATATCTTTTCCAACCACGTGTTCTGGTTGAGTATGTGTGTACTCAGGAAAGGACAGAGCGACGCAAGTGAGAGAGCGAATTTGGAACAAAAAGGTCTTCTAGAATGACAGTCCAATTCTTCCTTTTCTTCTGATTCTTCAGATTATTCTAATTTGCTGAACAAGATCACTTACCTGGCTCCTCACTTCGTTTCCCCATCAGGCCAACAAAGGAATTCAATTTTTGCCCTAAAAAGAAATGCAAATCAGAATTCAGATCCTGTTTTTTCCGAGTGGACAAAGGTACATGTACAAGGTACAAAATGCTTAGCACCAAATATGTTTTTTAAAAAAGAATTCGCAAAAAAAAAAAAAGGAAATGGAATCCAATTCCCAATAAAAAACCAGGAAAAACTTTCAGGGTATGGTGAGTTTAAGGAAAATGCAGTCACTATAAATTGTAGGAATTAATATTAATTAGGTGTTAGATGTTAATTCCAATCTGAAAAGTAATTAAAATTGTTGTTTTTTCTTTCTTTTTGCTTTTCAGCACATAATGAATCTCTACTTCTTTCTTTGGAGATCACATGCTACACGGCATACACTAACCTCTTCTTAAATAGCTCCCGCTGTTTCACAATGCAGTGGTAGAACAAAAGCTGTTTTTCTGGCAAAGTCAGTTAGGTCTTGGTCTACCCTGACAAGCTCTAATAATGGAGCAGCTATCCATGGCTGCTAACTTTGACCTTATACAGCATGCGCAAGGTGGAGTTTAGAAATTTTTTCTGATAGTTCTGCCACCCTCATCATTGTGAAATGGTAAGAGCTCATAAATATTCATGCCCATATTGTATATCTATCATGGCTCTAAAGGGATTGTTTTTCTTCATTTTTTTATTTCATTGTGTAGTCTTCTGAGCACATTGCATTGTGCAGAAGGTGTGAGAGATCAAAGGGACATATTCTTTACTCATCCACTCTGTTTGTTTTACTAACAGCCCTATTGAAGGCTTCCATGCCCTTGTCCATCCGCTGAAATGAAATGCTGAACTGGGGGACTTGCAGGTTTCTCCCGATCAATATTCTAAATGGCTTCAATGTGAGTAAGACCATATTTAATAATTTTAAATGCCTGTTAGACGGCTTCATGTCGGTGAAAAAGCTTTTGCAAAATGTTAATTAAATCTAGGACTTTGCACGTTTAAAGAGAAGCTCTTGCATATTTTCTTTCAATGAATACATACAGTAACTGTAAAATGCTGAAGATGTGAAGGTAAACGTCCTTGATTCTACTCTGTGAAATACTTTTCCTGGCTTTTGAAATTAATTTTTCAGATATTTATGTTATTGTAAATACACATTCATGGAAATATTAAAAAAGAGTCCAGTTACACACAAAACCTATACCATATTTCTAACAGCATCAAAACAATTAACAGGATACATATGAGAGGAAAGAAAACTAATCATTCAAAGAAAGTTTTTAAATGTTTGGCAGTACACTATGTCTCACAGAAGTTGAGATCATGTGATATCAAGAAAAAAGTGATGTAATCTGAGTGAAATGGCTAATTTTTAAACCAGAAAGTGGTAATGCACATATTTGAAGGTTATACTTGTTGTGACTACTTCTTCAATTAATTAATGCCTGAAAAACTTTCTGCACTTTGCTATAACTGACAAGACATCTTTTGGTGGTAAATCAAACACAGATGTCTGACAATTGATTAACTCTTATTTACTGTTTTGCAGTTTTAGAAGTTGTTTAACGTGGAGTCCTGGCAACTATAGATGTCCTACTCTGGAAATGTGAGAGACTATTGGGAAATGTGCCTCAACTATGAACTGTCTTCCTATTATGAACCTACAGTATGTTGTGTTATTTTTATATTTAGTTAAAGACTACAAGTTTTATGACTATTTCTTTTCCATGGGGAAATATTATCTAGAATTCTGTTAAGAGCTGCATCTTTATTCTATCAGTCATTGTCCTCCATGAGGATTTTGGGTATCTTATGCAGCCCAAACGTCCTCTTGTCCTGCACATCTGTAGATCCTCACCCTGTCTTTACTGAAGTCTCCATTAAAAACAAATCCTGCAGAACCTACAACCACAAGTCTTTGGTCTTTGAAATGTGGCTCTGACATCTTGTCTGTGTTGCTGACCCATAAATGGGCTATACAAAAAGCACATTCTCTACAGATAACTGAGAATTAACTTTAACCTACAGTTGAAATTATTCTGGTACAGGATTGCTCTACAGAACATGTCAGAAAAGCAGTAAATCTCCATTTACACTTTTCATATAATTTTCTCATTAGTACAGTCCATTTTTCCTAGATTAAATCTAGAGTACCTGCTAAGACATGAACTCAATTATCATTGAACACTAAACAGATAGCATGTACAGTAACAAAAATGTAGACTCCATTTTAAATAAATTAAAAATTCAAAATAGCTTCTGCGATCAACTCTTTAGAGGTTTTACTCACATAAAAACTACATAGGAATGGGACTTATAATTGCATCGTATAAAGATGTGGGATGAGATTTCTTCAAATGGATACATCCACAGATAGAATATTGGTGGATCAAAACCAATCTCACTTTCAAACAACTGAAGGATGGCTGTAATAGGTCTTTACTTCTTTGGCAAACCCTTATCTGTCACTTAGACACATCTAAAACTACACAACAATTGCAAATAATAAGTAGAATGTTTATAACTTACTTTTACGGGTTATTTGTGCATTTGCTAAAATGAAAAAGAGAAAAATACTGAGTTTTCATAAAAAGTAAATACACGTAAATGTGTTGCACGGTGTTAGCTTTTCTAACACAAACATTTTTCAGGTTTTTAATGTTTCCATGAAAAGCATTAACCTTAAACATTAGTACAGTCAAGATGTTATGTGTAAGTAATTGCTTAGTTTGTGGAATTCAGCTGTATGAAAATATCTTTCCTAGGTTCTGAAACAGTAAAAACACATTAATTCGTCAAGTAATTGAAATCATGAATTTAACATGTTTAACAACTGACTGAAAATGGGAAAAGATTAAGTGCCATTTAAGAAGGCAAAAACTATTTTTTTTACACTGTGTTGCAACAAACCGCTTTCTGCATCAACAAATCGAGATCAAAAGAACATGTTTTTTCTCCATAAAACATGCAGATTGAAATAATAGTAGGAACAGCGAGAGTTAATGTTACACTAAACCACTTCATCAACCGGCACTCTAATCTTATTGATTAGACATTGTACCATAAATCCCTGGTAAAGAGGAGAGAAAAAAATATAAAACCCATGAGCACGTTCATTCATCTGGAATTTATATTTTAGTCTACATGTTCTAATGCGGGGTTTTCGATTTGTCAAAGACCATCGTCACCATGAAATAAGAAGTGAACTTGAAGAAACTGCTATCTGCCACTCCAGGACATTGCAGTGGTGGCCAAAAAGGAATCCGTCGCTACACTTATTCTCGCCAGGCGGCTGTTACAACGTGTAACTTCACGTCATTGATGAAAACACATCCTTTGATTTCCATAAAGTATAGGTGGACGGTAGGTACAGCTGCAGGAATACAAAGGCAGTGGGTTGTCTGATCTGTGAATGCGAGTCTAAATGATTTATTCAGCTACTCAGCGGAGAGAAAAATGGAGAAGGATGGACAAGAGCAGGGAAGGAGAGAGGAGATGTAGGCAGAGGAGAAGGACTGGATCTGGAAACGGTACTCAAGACCTTACCAGGGGATCGCTTGCCCATCAAACCAAAAAACTGGTGAGGTCTAGGTTTTCTCGTGATTCGTCTTAGAATTTCTTTAAACGAATCGGGTGGTAGCCATTCATCCTGGGGAAAAAATGAGCAAACTGCATTAATAATGTTAAAATTGTAGACCTTGAAGGTGTGCCTCTTCCACCTTTTATACAAGAAAACCAATTTTCGACACAAAGAGGAATGGAAAAACAGTGCAATTATTCTTGAATGGAAGAAAAGAAAATCAATTTTAACTTTAAAATAAACCCTATTTTATTTCCTCCTGTCAAACTAGCAATTCAAGCACAAACATAACTCTAATCTTGTTTTCCGGGTGCAGAATTGTGATTGAAAGCAATGACGTGGAAGCTTTGAAAAATGTTGGTAACAATCTGTGTTGAGCAACAATTAACACCATTTTTATAATCCGTTATCCTGAACAAACTTGTCACATCCAAATTAACCTCAACTTTAAAAAAAAATAAAAAAATCCTATATCAAATTTTGGCATTTGATTTCAACTTGTGCTTAACCGACACCTTGGTGTTTATGATATGTATGTGATACTTTAAAAAAAAACTTTCATTTTAGTTATTTTACAAGAAATTAAGGCGACGTATCGGCTGTTCTGTAAGGCACCTGTTTCGGGTCGACGAACTGACAAATTTGCGCGCTGTGTAAGAAAATAATAATCTGTACAAAAAGGAGACTGCCCCCTTCTTTGGCTGTCGTCCAGTCCGCAATGTCAAACGCAAAACGCGCCGCGCAGAGAAAATCCAGAGTCTGGAGCAAAAGCAATCAGCTTTAAGTAGACACCAGGCGGCATACATTAGTATGAGTATTGATTTATAGATCTGTTCGTCTAATAAAGCTGTGTCTGATGTTAATGTGTCTTATAATCAGGTTAAGGGTTCTGGGCAATTAATGAAAACAGTTTTAACTATGTAATACACCATTCCCGTTAAAGTAGAGGAAATTTAAACGTTAAGAGGAAAAACATGTATTGATCAAACAGTTTTGAACACAAAATGTTTTCAATCTGTATGTTAAACGGGCAATACCTCCAAAAGCATCCAGTGACCTGTTTTGAATACAGTATTAAATAACCATGTGGAATTATCTTGAGTGTGGTGTTATAGTAGTAGCAGTATATTTTATTAATTGGACGTATGCTTTCACGGATTTCACAACAAACAATAACAAAATAGCACCTGTATTCATTTTAAATGTACATAATAATGTGCGTTGTTGTAATATACGCGTTTCCTAGTGCGCGATTTATGACTTTCGTCTGCGTCTTACGCCGGTGCTGCTAATACAATTCTAATTGTGAATATTACCTCACAGATAAAATGTCTTAAAAAAGAAAATGTAAACCTTACAGAAACATAGACTGCCCAGCTAAGTATCAGAACAGACATTTCTGTTACTAATGTGGAGCAGAAGAGCGAGAATTGACAATATCCGCCTTCGATAGAGTACTTCGAAGTAATTTAAAGTGTGAAACATAAACTGAGAACTGGAAAAATATGACAGGTAAAAATCTCACATTTTAGCAGGCATGTATATAACAGAATGGTTAGCACATTATGATAGCTTAGCTGAGTATGCTGTCAATGTTTTAAAGGTTACCAACAGCGGCAAAGCGCAAGAACCATCTACTCTTTCTCAATGGGGCAAAATGTCACAAAGTGAGTAAAAACAAAAACAAAAATAAGAACCAGTACCTGTATCTGATTACTGTCAGTCCAATAATTTAGATCTTCACTCGGACCCATTTCTTCACTGAAGACTTCGGCGAGGATGAGAAACACTACCACGAAGGACAGCAGTCGCTTCATTGCGAAGACCGCGATGCGCGCACTTCTGCGGGAGCTCTCCTCGTCTGGCTCAGAGAGCGGGCTGGGAGCGGGTCACAGAGCAAGATGTGAAGGATACGGAATACACAGTCCTATTTAAACAGAGCAACTCGAACTACTGTGCGGCTTCGGGTTCTTGACGTGATGAATTCCAATTGTTGTTGTTTTTTTCTCTTCCCCTCGTCCAGTCAAGGCTACACCTGCGAACAAAATACCTTCTCCATACAATGTAGTTCACGCACAAAACCTCCGCTCTGTGAACCAAGCCTCAGCTCCGCGCTTAGCAATGCTTTCACTCCGCTTTTGGCTGGTCCTAGAGAGGACACTCGAAACGCCCCGCGCTTTTATAGCTAGAGATCAGGGGGTGTCAGGACTCTTTTAATTTGCTTAAAAACAATTACTTTGCTTGGCAGGTGGTTTCCAAGAATGCCGTGACTAGTTTCCGCGTATATTTTACATACAGTCGATATTCGATTAAAACGATGTCCTGTGACTCCTTTTGGCTGCCCAAGTTATCGATTGAAGAAATCAGTGTGCCCTGGGAAACACAAGTCGTCTTAAAAAGTCTTAGTGACGCACGTATCCAAGACTTGTACGTAGATAACGCGGCCGAATGATGGCTAAGATAGGGAAAGCGGTGCAATTTTGTTACTTAATCAAAGGCACGGTTATGATATAGTACCGAGGAATACTGTACTCTTGCGGCATTACCGTTTCCTACACATTCTTGGGAAGTAGTTGTAACTTGCAACAGTGTGCAGCAAGTTATTTCTATGTTCTCCTACTGATACACGTTTAGATCCACTTTTTCATTTGCGTATGTTGTTGCTCTAACTTTTTGAACCTCCTGTGTGCTGAAAATAAACCTAATAATTGATGGACCAACAGAAGTACCTCTAATAGTGAACTAAAAATGGAAGCACTGGAACCCTTTGTCTTTGTATAGGTTGTTAAGCAGAAATATGTGAACCGAATGTCCGGAATATTTTCAACACCTGAATTCACTGAAATCAAACATAGTCTTACAATATTATTGAAGGTCCTATTCGATCATAAAAAATCGTTAGGAACAGCATGTAATTAAATAATTGCACTTTTAATACAGTGTATGTCCTGTTTTCACACAAACATTCTGTGGGGGAAGAAACCTAACTTTCCCATAGCTTTAATAAAATAAAGCTAGGGATATATTCTGTTCTGCATTCGTCTTTTTTTGTTTCCGATACTTTTAGTCTCCAGCAGAGCACAACCTCTGTATAATCTATGTGTACAGAGAGCTATTCACATGTACCAATTTCCATAGTTTTCAGGTCATCCCCACAGAGTCTGCAGAGGTCGAAAAGCAGAGCTAACGTCGTTAGGATAAATACATTTCTGCATCTACTGTGTCGGGTTTAGTGAGGACTGAGGATGATGTTGGTTGAATCTATGGTACGCGTAAAAACAAATGCACGGAAAAACAAATAATAATTGATATTTACTTGTTCAATAGATAAAATCGTTGACTAATACTTTGTAAATGCGATTTACAGCTGATGGACATTCTTTCATTTCCCGGCAGTAATCCCATTTAAGAAACCAAGTCATGATCAAAATGATCTCTTGACATTACCTTTCTAATCAGTTCGATCACATTTCAGCAGAGCAGAACAAAGAAAGCTTTATCTGTTATCTTTTATCTATTTATCTTTATATGCGAAAAAAGGGTTTCCTTTTTCAACACCACCACCAAGGGTACGCCCTGTCACCAGAAAGCTGTCGTTTTAACAATCGAGAAAACAGGTTTCCTTTTCTGTTAGGGTTTGTATTAAATTCCCTGTCATTCATATGTTTCATCTGGTGTTTACGGCTTTGACTCGATTAAAGTACATGTCCGCCGTGGGACCTGCCAGCCCACACACTGCCCTCAAGATGAAGCTAAAAATGTGTCCTTGTGCCTCTCTTTACACCAGTGTCTGATGGCGAGAATCCTGACCCTGTCAGTGAGGAGCTGTCATTCACTTCTTTCTGTATCTCCACGGATTATAGAAAGAAAGGACTCTGCTCTCTGGGGAAGGGATTCTTTAGAGTGGAAGTCATATGTGGAGCTTCTGTGACAGCGAAGGTTTTTGTTGGCCTTTTTATGCAGGTACTGTGTTACTGCATTTGTCCAGCCTTGATTACTGTCCATATTGTAGTGTGGTATTTGGTTCTTCTACAGTGTTAGCACCACGGCCTCATCTTCGCTCCCTTAGCAAACTTTATGAGCTCACTAAACAAATCAGAGTCAAGTTCATTGGTGTGAATCAGGGAGAGGAGCAGGCCTGATGCAGATTCCTGTGTTACTCCACTAATGTCATCCCAATTAGAGCTTTCCCCTTTTCCCAGAGCTCTCTGCTTTCCGTACATCAACCAGTTCCCAGTCCACCTGCATATATTAGCATTGATTACTTTAGTTTTCAACTGGAGGACTAATCTTTTATGTGGAACTGCATCAAAGGTCTTAAGCTACTTAGGTTAATTTGTTCTTTTGCTTGTGTAGGGAACTAAAAAATTAAACAGGATTCCAAGTCCATGCTGACTACACTGTACAATCCAATTAAGACTTCAGCCAAGACATAAAGAATCCTCTAATTTAAGTCATCTTAATGTATCTAAAATGAAACATATACAAAGTCATTTCAAAAAAGAGGGTTCAAGGAGTATAAATAAGGTAATAAAGAGGGTAAAAGACCACTAACGGTGAGAAACAAGCTCTTTCAATAGATTTGATCAAGCAGATTGTAGTAACACCATTATCGGTTCCATTATAGGCCCAGGGGAATAGCATATCAGAGCAACGTGTTTGTGGAGTAAATATCTTTGATGATAACAGCAGGACAGGCCTTCCAGATGAGCCACAACCTTGGTGTTCAATCGTCTCTTCCAAGGAGGAGGATGTCTGCAGTAGCTGTGTCCAGACTTGGTCAGGAGAGCAGCTGTGTCGTCCAGTTTGCATTCCAGCTTGGCTCTTCAGGAGTGAAAGCAGCTGGCTACTGGCTGTACTAAACCACTTTAACGGCTTCTCCCAGCTCTTTAGGTGCTGCTGCTGCTTTAAAGGGACCGTGGCAACCTGCAGATACACGGGAGAAACAGGAGTGCACATCCTTCCTGTTCTGCATTAAAGGCCGGATTAGGGAAGACAGAGGTGTGAAGAGTGCCGTTGTGGTCAAATCCTGCTCTAGGTACTACATACTGTCACGGGAGTCAGAACTGCGTTGTTAAAGACCCTGTGCAGACGGAAGAATCCGGAAATGACAGCTGAGGAAGATACAGCAGGGTTAGGATGGGTTGACAGACAGGGGGTGGTGACTGTAGGGATCTGTGCACGGGGGGGAAATTCAGAAGCAGCCAAGTCCAGGGAAGTCCAAAACGGGAAGTTGGAGCGCAGCCTGTAGTCCAAAGGCCGGGAGATCCATCCAAGACAAAAACAGGATTAAAAGGGACTGGGATCCGGAACAGGGACAGGAACTAAAAGCATAACAGGACCAGGCGCTCTGAGCCCCAGACCCAGATGGTCAGGACGTCAGGGAATAAGGCCTGCCCTCGGGCTACCCGGGGAACAGGCAGGCCTTGTGGTGTCCATCTTCCAATACTGAGCCCAGAACTGCCGAGACGCTAGGCTTTTGCTTTGAACCAAAATTCAAACGAGACGCGCCAGGAAATAATAAAAGCTAATCATAACAGAAAGGGGTAGGAGTGCCCTCTAGAGGAGGGATGTGGAACAAAACAGATACAACATCATTCATGGGCAGCTGGACTACTGCAGTGTTCATCTGCTGCGCACAGAGGCAGCGCCTGGATGTTCACCCACCTAGCCAACTTAGTCTACTGCATCTAACCATCCAGTAGAGGTGCAGTTTTGATCAGGGCATGGCTGCGGGGGATGGAACAAGAGACAAAAACAGGACCCATGACATGGAAACATCAGCCATGCAACAGGAAGTTGACAATGTTGCAATCAATGTTGTAACAAGTACGTATCTGGGGACCAGAAGGGTGCGCTTCAGGTTGATTGCCTCTGGAGGGGCGACACCATCAAAGCCGAGCCCCACTGCTTTAAGCTGAACCCGTCGTGGGGAGGCTTGTCGATGACACTGACCCACGTTGCTGTGTTGCGTCATCATCTGGCTGCTTGACAATACCAGGACACAGCTGGCTTGACACTTCTCCCAATCGACCCGTTAAACCATTTAAACCTAGTTTGTTTTTTAAAAAAAGGTTTTCCTCGCTCGAATTGAGTTGACGTGATTTTGTGATGAATTGGGTCCACACGTCTCTCAGGGTATGACCAACACCGAGGACACCCGTAAGAAAAGCAACCGTGCTTCACCGCAGGAGTGCTGGGACTGAACCATCACTGTAAATGGTTTTGGGATATGTACCATTTTAATGTGACTCCGGACTCCTAGGCTGAGATTCCTCTATTCACACCTGTCCTTGTCTAGCGCTCTACCTTGTGCGTGTTTGTGTGTCTCTGTCTCTGTGGAGTCGTTTGTAATGTAATGGGGGTGGGATGTGGTGCTAGTGTACAGTCCAGGGAAAAAACCTGACTGCTTTTGCCACTAGATAGAGCTATCCTTGTGACACTACGCTGCATTAAAATACGGAGTGATCCCCCTTTTTAAGCGAAACACGTATCCATATTTAAAACTGAACAAGAAGTTCCTACAGTATGTTTGAAATGTGACCATTTTATCTTTTCGTTTCTGTTTTCTTCAATTTTACTTTCCAAAAGCTTTGCTTGCATGATGTACAGTTCTGAAAAGAGTATACCACTGGTATAAACGAGGACGTTCAGGGGGCAACTATAGGGTTGAATAGTGCGTCTCAGAACATACCATATGGTGATGGCAGGTTCTCTTCTTTTCTCAAGACTGTGCAAATACACAAACTCACTCACCACTACATTGGTTTAGCCTCCATTCTCCTCAGTATACATTACAAGAGCCATTTAGTATTCTGCAAACCCATTATTAAGGTTATTATCAAGATAATTATTCATCACGTAGCGTCAAGTTCCTCAAAATATTATTGTGACTGGAGGTTTATAGAGTCGTGCACATGTTAGATTATGAATTAAAAAGCTTCCGTGATTTACATTTGCTAGGTTAAATCGTTGTGTGAATTGGAGAAGCGCTTTTAATTTTCATTTTTCTAGCACATAACGAAGTCCAAGGAAGATGCATTGTGGCGGCAAGACGTGTTTCGTGTACACATCAAATAATGAATGAACCCAAGCAGATCTTCAGGCCAAATGACCGATATCCGATTCATTATTTTCATTTATTTAATAATCAATTTAGCACCTTAATTTGTTTTGGCAAATCTGGGCCGCCGTACATAAACACAGCCCATGCTTCTTCTCACATGACCCTACAGGCAAATCGAAAGCGGTAGGGTTTGGTTCCTCAATTTGAAATCTGTTGCTCTTGCTGGCTCACTTCTGCAGCGCGTTGTTAGATTGCTGGATTGTTAAATACTGTTGGACAATTTTGACAGCAAAACGGCAGAACCTGTCCGCGATTTTAACTCCGAAGCGAAAACGATTCGGTCTTAATTCTTTTTATACACATGGCTTGGCTGTACTATGTGCCTTGGGCTCCTGTATTGTTCATCTTGCTACTCAGTTTGTCCAGGGGGGGTCATGCCTCTGCTGGTAACATTAATTCTAACAGGGTCGATACTCCTGAAGACCAATTATGGGGTGCATTTAGTCCAGCAAACCAGTTAAGGAAGAATACAGAGAAATTAATCTTTTTCAAATCTGGATGGAATTCGAAACCATTTAAAGATACGGATTACGCACCAGGAGACACGGCGCACGGATTTCAAGTTAAAACGCTTGATGGGGACTTTGTCTACCCACCTCCCGGTGGGCTTAATATTTCCATAATCGTCCACGCATTTACTAATAAATCGGCTTTTCTTGAGTGTATGTGGACGTCTGACTCTTCCCTGACGGACTTGGTGGATAACCTTCCTGACAGTGCTCATGTAGTCTTCGTGTCCCTGGACGACACCGCCGAAGTTGATGTGCACTGGATGAGATACCAGATTCAGCGTGTGGCAAAGCAAAGGTGAATTCTCTTTAACATTATCGATTCAATCATAATGACATAAGTTGGAACACTCGCAAACCTCCTGGAAATGGCCTTATTTACAGCATGGCACAAGTCCTTGACAGGAGTCCGAAAGTATTTTTACTCTGGAAGCGAAATAGTTTTTCGAAGGTTTTGTTTTGTGCCTTTGTTGATGTAAAAGCCATTATAAAGTTTGTAACTAGTGAGAACTCGGGGTTCATCCATCTTGAAAATCCAGCCAGGCGTACATATTTAAATTTGAATTCGTCGAGAAACCAAGTACAGATGGGTTTAAAACATGACAAGCATTTGTATGTAGAACGTTGGAGAATACTATTATAAAGATATTATTTTAGTCACTGTTGTTTCAGACTTTAATGTGCATTCATAGACTATTTGGGAACAAGCTGTTATATTCAATATAAATTCCACTGGATCTGTTTTGGGGGGTAGATTCTGAAGGTATAAAAAGAAGTTAAACATACTGTAGCACCTTAAAATGCTTTTTAATGAAGTACACTATGAATATGCTGTTAAATACAGGAAGAAGGATATACTGGACAGACTGCATTTTTCCTCTGTTCCTGTGTACTCTCTGGGTAACTGGATTCCCAGTGTGCTTTATGACTGGAGATGTGAGGGCATCAACTGTGGGCTGAATCAAGCTGTTTTCACATCGAAAGGTATGTTATGGACAGAAATACCGGTCTGTGCATTTCTGAAATAAGTTTTGAGAAAGATAACCCCTATATTTGTACGCCTATTCCGAAACTGCATGTAGCTCTTAGAACTTGTGCTTTTTCATCCGGATGTGACTTAACAAGGGGTTATAAGTCAAAGGAGGGAATGTGGAGGGAATATTGCTTGATTTGAGGTCCTAGCAGCTCATTGATATGAGGATATCATCTTTCCATTTCTTGAAAATCATGTTGTTTACAGAGGTCCAAATTGTACTTCTCAAAAGAGCCTGGGATTTTCTGAATATAGTACATGCACATCTGTTTTGAATTCTTTTCTCAGCTTTCATTATCATTGTTGTTCATGATCACTATTTTAGTTGTCTAAACGAATCTGTTTAGTAAACCCCATAGCAGAACGCGCAAATTAATACAAGCTTTTCTTGTATTTCCATTACACTTCTTTGGCTGTAGAGCGAGCAAGTGGGGTCTTCCCCTCTTCTGATGGCTCAGTTTGTAAAGGAATTACAGTGCCTTCCATATGCCCTGAGCAGTTTTAGGGTTAATATTTGAATCTGCCCTTTTTATGAAAGCCCAGAGTATTTTTTAAAGACTAGTAGCCAGTTAAAAGGCAAGTTCTGGCACACAAATAGAGAAGCTACTTTAATTTACATTAGAATAAGTGTCTATATTCGTCTGTCAACAATGTTTGTAGCAGGCAGGCAATATAATGAAAACGCGGTTTAATAAACCTTTTATTCTGATGAACACTGATGTTTTTTTTTATTGTATAATGCTTGGTTGTAAAACACAATGAGCAATTTACCATTTCACAGGTCTAGTGAAACAACCGCTTCAGATACTTTGGCGTATTGTACAATATAGAGGAGCGAGATCATTAATTCTGAGTGAGTGAGATTCTGAGGCTGTTAGATTACTAGCAACTAACATGAGTAAGATGCCATTTTGCTGCCTTTTTTGAAAGATTTCTCTGCCCAAAGCCTTATTCCTGATCAGAGTTTATGGAAGTAAAGCACTATAAGTTTTTGTTATTTACTGTACAAAGCAAGAGTTTGTTTTCCATGTATAACAGTTCATGCATAAAGTGCTTAACCAATGCTCTGTCTGCATGTGCAGGATGTAGTTGTGGTGACAGATGCACTAATGAGTCACAGCAAGGCAAAAGAGTCATTATAATGTGCAGTAGTGCCAAGTATTCATATTGAGATCCAAAATCAGACCATTTCACCGTGACTGTTATAGATGCTGAAATAAAAGAAAAAGGCCTAAATTTGCATTAAGTGGGCGTATTATTGTCAGGCTTAATTAGTTACATACAAACTGTAACATTTAAATATTATTCTGAATACCAGTGGCACCAAACGCATGACATGTAGGTTTATTCACATGGAATTCAGCCAGGCTGTGTTGCAGATTGTTATATTATTTTTTCTTTTGTTGGACCGTTGGAACTGAGGTTAATTTTTGGATCCATTTCTACCGTAGACTAGTGAGTAATTGCATTGTTTTTGAAGGGAGGTCATTAAAAGACACGTTTTGAGGCCCAAAATTATAAGTCATCAAATGTAGCCTGTTCCCTTTTCTAATGTACAAAGGGCACCAACGTTTTTGGTCACAGCTCGTGGTGACACATTATCTGTAATTAAAAAGAGTGGCCTGTAATTTCAGAAGTTTATGGAATGACTGACTTTAGCACAGTTTTATACTTCTCACATTTGGATGTTGGTTGTTCTGTTCGTTGAGCAGTTGATTTTCACATTTAAAAGCTACAGAGGGTAACGCAGACCTGCAGGGATTTTGTGGAATGTATTTTCCTAGCTGTTTTTTTTTTTTTCCTGTTGCGCAGATTGGGATACTCCCATTGTTGCCAAGCGGCTCGATGCGAGATACGACTGGCTGATGGGGCACTGGAGCAGACAGTCGTACGAGCTTGTCGATGCTGCCGATGGCTGCAACGTCTCCTCTGAAGTCAAGGGGGCCGTTGCGTGGGTTTCGGAGGGAGACTGTTCGTTTTTCACAAAGGTATGCATTCACGCTTTCTTGTAAGGATAGACAGAACGATTGGTTACGTGAGGCGGAGGATCAGAAGACAACACGAAAGCCTTCTCCGACAGCTGTAGTCTGCCAATGCAGCTGTTCCTCCCACTGCTGGTGGCCACCTTCCACTAGGGGCTGAACAGAAAGCACCAAACTGGCTTCACTTGTGACCTGAGCAGATTTTTAAACCACAGGCTTTCACCGATAAGGGTCATGAAAACACTCCTTCCCTTGCATGACTAATTCCCTTTCTATAGCTTCCAGACTTAATGAAAGCATTTGTTCTTGTCTATTGTGGCTAATATTAGAAGGCACACAATGTTCTGTACAGACCCTGACATCCTCTCAGCCACACAAAATCATTTAGTGCAAATTTTGAAAACATGTATTTTTATGTTGCTACCAAATTTAAAGACTTATTTGTTTAATTCACTTCATGGTTTGAGCAATGTCAAGATTATCCCAGTTTTTATTTAAGAGAAACGGACTGTTGCTCCCAATTTATCCATTGAAATCCTTCACTGCCTAACTCCCTCTTAGCTCATATTATCAACTTTGTTTCCACGTCCAGTTAATACAGTCATTTTTGTTACTGCTGTTTTATTTCTTGTCCTAAAGCTCCAAATTTACAGCAACAGAAGATTAAGCCAAAACCTGTCTTCGGCTGTGTAATGACATTAGTCTTTGAAGGTCATGCATGTATCTAAGAGACTGATTCACGTATTTAAGGCTGACATCATTATATTATTTTTGTATGCTTTACCCTTACAGAGAGCTAGATTAGAGGACTCTCAGTGATATTCAAATGATTGTTTTAAAGACACTGTTCCAGTCGTCTTCTTGTAATGTTGATGTATGGTTAACCCAAAATGATCAGTAATAAAGCACTTAATTACATATTACTTAATAACACTTATCTAAATATTACATATTTCCTTCCTCATCTAGACTCTTCTTCTAAATATTTAAGTAGGCTCATATTATTTGTTTCAGATATACATTTTTCTTTAGTTATTAAACAGTTAAAAAAAACAAAGCAATGATCATGGTGTAACATTGTTAGTGTATAGCTGACATCTACTGACTTTAGAAAAAAACAAAGGAGCTCCTGTTTTTGAGAACCATTTCTTCCTTAGTATGTATGCAGGAGTACTTTTTATGTTTTTGTTTTTTTATTACATCTGGACTGAATCTGGCGAATGTGTTGCCTGATTAAGCAGCTAATTCATCTGAGTGAAACTGACAAATGTCGAGTCACAAGTGACGGGCCAGAATGTAGATTTATTGAAGCTGCTTCTGATATTGTTGCTGCTGTGATTGTCATTTTGCCCAGTCAGGTAACTCAACTGGCTGATTGTGGTTGTCAGCACAAGTCAGGCACTAGCAATAGAGTGAGCTAGAGAGGCTCAATGTCTGTTGTTTTGAAGTTTTTAGGCAGCCTTCAACAAAATAATTATAATATGTAATGGATATTGTTAATGTCAAATTATGACTTTTATCATTCTATTTGTCATGATTGTTTTATTCAACCAAAACATCCTAATTCCTTTATTAATTAGAAATAGAGCTTGAGGGTGTACTGTATGTGTGCTAATGTTTAAACATAGTTAAAATAGTAATTGAAACTTATATAGTACCTCGACTATATATAATTGTACTTATGAGCCCTTTTCTGACTTAATCAAACTTGAGATATTTTCATTTCAGTTTATTTAACATCATTCTATGTTATTTTTATAATAGGCTTTTTATCTGAAGTGTACACACCATTACCAGTCAGAAGTGTTTTTTTCAAGTGGAGTAGAAAATATTCAGGTTAGTGTTCGATTTCTTAGGTCTTCCATGCTTTGGAGTTGTTTCCCTACAATAGCTGGAAAATATTCTGTCCCCGTACTCGTGAAATGCCTGTGACCTTATTTATCCTTCGTGTTCAAATATAATAATGAGAGAGAACTTTACTAACACTTGGCTTGAGAGCAGGGATCTCAAGCTATTGAGAGAGGTATTGAATGTCATAATCACAGTGGATATCCTTTGAGGTCCTGTTAAATTAATGGCCACTGCCAGATGAATATAAAAGAAAATGAATATGTACAGAAAAGGCTTTGAGCTTTTAGAAACAGATGAAAACTGAACTTTTACCCTGCAGTTTATTAAAATTCCTCTCAATCACTGATAGAGGATTATGCAGCAAATCTGAATAAGAACCCCAGGAAATGCAGTAATTAGTCCCGTGCCAAAATGTAAATTGTCTTCAGAAAACAATTTAGAAGAAGGTGCAGCAGCAATCTAAAGATCCGAAGAGACTGGACGGCGCAAATTGCAAGTCTACATCCACGTTTTTTGCTCGAGTGCCAAGTCTCTCAGTAGACCTTTCATTTGATGCAAAAGAGACTGGGCCAAGTGGAGGGAAAATTAATCAGAACTAATTCTGTTCCCTGACAACAGCCAGGTTTTAGAAATCATTATAGCGTCATTATCTTTCATATAAACATGGGCAGTCAAGGTGAATCTGACTTATCAAGATTTGGTGTCCCAAAGGCAATGTTTTGTTAGTCAAATGAAGGATAATTCAGCAAAGAACACCTTCCTCTGGGAGGCAAATGTAATCCTTTTGCAAGCAGAGAAAGTCACACTTTGTAAATCTAACTTAAATTAGATTCCTGATACTAATGTGTAATGTGGTGGTGGCTCCCCCAGCAAAGACAGATTTAATTATGTTTCCGCCATCATTCCCTTTCATACTTGTTTACACAAGGAGTGTATGACAGTGTTGCTGCTGGGATTTTATGTGAAAATTGAGATACTGTAAATGTATAGTTATAATCAAATGCATTTAAAAATCCTTCATTAACAGCTGCCAAGACAAACTGAATCATTAAGCATACATTCACTTATGGAAGCATTTAAGTATTAATGATTCAAAGCAAATGTTCTCAGAAGAGATTTAAAAATTTTTGGAATCATTTTCTGAAAATGTGAAAGTAAACAGCTGTGGATACAGTTTTGATCATCTTATCATGTCAATAAAATGAATTATACGCTCTGCTTAGTTTATTTTTTGTCTTTACTTATACAATATATTAATTCATGAATGGATAAAGAAATACAAGGAAAATACAAAGGTTGGTTAGCTTGAGGTCAAAATGTTTTGTAATTGTTGTCTTTTTGTGTTTATTTGCTGAACATCCATTTAAGATTCATAGGAATAACCAAAACGCTGTGGTAGGACATATTTTCGCCACAGTGTCCTTTACCAGAAAATGCAGGTTGAAAATTAATGCCTGTAGTTTCCCCAGATAGATGTAAAACAGGGACATTGCAGATTTTGAAAATCAGAATCTGGTTAGTAGGTAATGAATTCTGTTTCTAAAAATCTGTAGATGTTAATATCCTTTATCAAGGTAGACTAACAGTAAAAATTTACATTTCTATATACTGTATGCCAGTTAGAAGAAAAATAATCTTTCTTTATTGATGTAACAAAAAACAATAGGAACAAGTAAAGGTTAATTTCACACTGAAAATGCAATGTTTTTGTTGTTGAGCCCTTTTCAGGTGTGAGTCAGGGTCTACATCCAAAAAATTCAGTTTTTCCTTTGTATTTTTCAGCATAGAATTAACCTTCACTTATTCCTTTGCAGCCAACAGACACTGACACAACAGTACCGTTTACTATACTCCAATACCATAAATTGCTCAATAAGCGTTACAAATTTTTATTAATATAGAAAACCAATGGTTATCTAGTTTTTCCAATTACTACAGTCAAATTCAGCGGAGGCTGTTCTATCATTACATGGTTTGTATTGAGAGCATCCTTGCTTTAAGTATATTGCCAACTGATCATGTTGGACATTTAAACAGCAACATTCTCTTCACTTAGTGTAAAATGATTAAGATCAAATTCTGTTAGAAAATTAAATACAATTTGGAATGAAGCAAATGCTGAAATATCTTGCATAGTCTAAAGTTAAAGACTCAATGGTAATGTAGTAGAGGCTTGGAAGAACTGATGATGCAGAGCAAATTGCTGACATCATGTGAAATTCTAAATCTTAATACAGTCCGTCCCTCTAAGTCTCCTAGGCTCATTCTCATTTTCCTTGTGGTACTGTTAATCTTGGCACCCTCCTGAATGCATGGAAATATTATCCAGGAATAATTAATTATTCCCTTTTTTGGTTGGTATCCTGTTTGGTTACCAGGAGCCAATGAGCCTGTTTTAAATCTGATTCTGTTGCACTTACTGTAGGCATCCCTTAGGGCTCTGTGCTGGGTCCTCTGCTCTTTGTGTGTCACTTGTGACTCGGATCATGTGCCATCGTTGAGCTGGGTTTCACTGTTCTGCTGACGCCACTCAGATTTATTTCTGGTGAACTCGGATATTCAGATGGCTGTAGTTTCTGTACTTTAAAAGGTCTGTCTGAAATTAAGAAATGGATTCAAATTTTGGAGCAAGATCTTTACTGTGTGACACCGATACATGCCTTGATGTAGTCAAGATTAGACATAATGCCTCATTACCTTTTAAAAGGGGCTTCAATATCTTCAGAATTCTATGGCTAATGTGCATCAGCACGCAACTCCTGTCTTCTGGAAATTATACTGACCTCCTACGTAAATTTTAAATTGAATTTTAATATTCTTCTATTCAAAAGCCACAGAATGGTCTAGCTCTGAGTTAAGGACGTTTGACATGATTACACGCCAATCTGAGATCTGCTGCTTAGACGGCCTTCTCTGAAGACCAGGCTGCACACAGTGGGCAGTAGAGCTGTTTTTATGCAGCACCACGTCTGTGGAGCTCACTGCCCAAATCCAGTAGGGGTTTTGTGACTGTGCATGTTTTAAAAACATGCTGAAAGACTTATTTCACAAATGGCCTTAACATGCAATTTAATTATACTAATTAGCGGTGCTTCTGTTCCACCTTTTTTACTTTTTAGTTTATAGTTTAGTGGAGAAAATGAAATGCTTTAATA